ATAAATACGAATTAATTAACGTTTTTAATAATATTACCGTAATTTTTAAATTAACATAAAATAATTTTAACGTATATATTACGAATTAATATAATTCCGTTATTATTTATTTTTTTTAATTAAAAAAAAATAAATATTTTAATTTCGTATAAATTAATTAATATAATTATTTAATAATATATTTTTTTCGTTAATTATTTTTTACCATTTAATTATTTATAATTAAAAATCCAACCATTAATTAATATTAATATAATTAAAAATTAATATAAACCGTAATTAATTTAAAATAAAATAATTAATAAAAAAATTATATTAAAATTACGTTTTATACTTTTAAAATAAAAATAAAAATTTAAAATTATATATATAAAAAATATAACTTTAATAAATTACATAATTAATAACTTTAACATTATTAATTACGTGTTTGTTATCCCGACATTATTAATTCGAATTTTATTTTTATTATATATTTTTTTTTATTTTTTTAAAAATAATAATAATTTTTAGTTTTTTTATTTTTTATTTAATAATATCGTTTTTTAATTTTAAAATAATTTTATTTTTTATTAATAATAAAATAAATATTTTCGTAAAAAATTTATAAATTTAATATAAGTTTTAAATTTTAATAAAATAATTAATATTTTTAATTTTTAAATTATTAAAATATAATTTTTCGTAACGTTTAATTTTAAATTATTTATTATAAATTTTAATAATATAATTATAAAATATTTTATAAATGTTTTTTTAAAATTAAAAATTAAATTAACGTTTTTATAATAATAAAAAAATTTTATTAAATATTATTAATATTATTTTTTTATATTTAAAAAAATAACGATATTATTTATATAAATTTTAATAAATTTTTTTAAAAATTTTAATAAATAATTTATATATTATTATTCGTAAATAAAATTTTTTTTAAAATTTATTAAAATAATATTTAAAATTTCGAAATTTCGAAATAAAATTATCGTTATTTTAAAGTAATATTATTTACGTTATATAATTAACGTTAATTATTACGTTATATATATTAAAAAAACGCCGACGAAAAATATATATATTATTTTATATAAATTAAATAAAAACGTAAATATTTTAATATAAATTTTTAACGTTAATTTTAAAATTTATATTTTTTTATAATATTTAATTTTTAATTAATTATTTCGTAATTAAATTAAAATTAAAAATTTAATAATTACATTTATTTAATTATTTTTAAAAAACGTTTTCGAATAATTTAAATTATATTTTAATTAAAATTAATTTAATTTAAAAATAAATAATTAAAGTTAAAACGGGTTAATATTAATTCGAATTAATTAAAATAAATATTTTTTTTTTAATTTTAAGTTTTATTATTAAATTTAAACTTAAAAATTTATAAAAAAAATAAAAAATAATTTAAAATAAACGTTTTTAAATATATTAAATTTAAAAAATTAAAACTTTAAATTAATATAATTAAAAAAAGTTTAAATTAATCGAATATAAAATAATATTTTAATATAATTTATAATAAATTCGAATTAACGTTAAATTTTTTTTCGATATAACGCGCGTATTAATTAAAATTATATAACGTAAATAATATTATTTTAAAATAAACGAAAAAAAAATTAAATTAAAAAAAATAAATGAAAAAAAAATTAAAATAATAAAGTTTTTAATTTATTATATTATATTATATAAAAAATAAAAAAAAAAATTATTATTAAATTTAACGGTAAAAATTATATTAAATATATAATAAATTACACGGGTAAATATAAAATTATTAAATTATAAAATTATTTATATAAAAAAATAAATAATAATTATTAAATAAAAAAAAAAATTTAAAATAAAATAAAATATAAAAAAAAAAATTTTATATTATATTTTAAATTACGTATAAAATATTTTTTCTTTTTATATTATTTATTATATTTTATTAAAAATAAAATATTATATTATAATTTAATATAATATAAAATTTTTATATTTTAAATAAATAAAAATTTTTTTATTTTTAATATATAATTACGTTATATAAAATATATATTTTTTTATAAATTAATAAAATTTTAAAATTAATTCGATTAAAAATTTCGAAAATTTCGATAAATATTAATTTTTTATTACGTTTTATTACGATATATTAATTTTTAAAATTCGGGCATTTTTTACGTATTATTATAGAGAAACCCTGGCCGCGCAGTATGGGTACATCGTCCGATGCGCGCAGTAGCGCTAATTCGAAAGAGGTATAGCTTGAGGGTACTTCCGTCGTTATACAAACTAATATATGGCAAGATGTATCTTTTCGCGCAATGTATCTTTTTGGAACACCTAAGTCTCCGACCAGTTTCAATCAATTGTTTCTCCTTCAATACTACGTCAAAAGCTTAATAATCATGATCAATTGAAAGCTCTCAATCGAATCTACAATCAGGTCAGTTTGCATCTGTTGAGTCCCTGGTGACGTCACAAAAAGTCAGCTTCAACCTCGAGGCGCTACAAGACTGCGAGAGGAAGTCTTAGAATTCCATACCTCTGCCCGAATCTTTTCAACCTTGAATAGCACTTTCAGCTTAAGCTATCTGGACCTGCAATTTGAGTTGAAGATTGAAGTGATTGAGAGCTTTCAACTGATTGTAATTATCAAGCTTTTGAGCCTGTGTTGAAGGAGAAACAATTGATCAAAGTGGATTGAAGGGAATGAGGGCGTTCTGGGTACCTTTCGAATGCGCTAGCGCGGATTTTAGCGTTACTGCGCGGATCAGCCGATGTACTCATACTGCGCGGCCAGGGTTTCTTTAAAAAAAAATTAAATATAAATTTTTCGAAAAATATATAAATTTAATTATATTAACGAAAAATAATATTAAAAATTTATTTTAAAAATATATATTTTTATATAATAATTTATATAAATAAATTTTTTTTTTAAACGCGTTATTTTAATATTATTACGCGGTTAATATTATTTTTATTTAATTAAATGTATTTTTTATAAGTAATGTTAGCCGCGCAGTATGGGTTCGGCTAATTTCCCGCGCAGTATCGGATAAAAGAAATGCCGAAGAACGGTGTACATTTTGTCCCATACTGATTTATATGGGGGAACATGTACCTGTTTTAGGCTCGAACCTTATTCTGACACTTGTAACTTTTTTCCCCAACCTAACTTTGAATCAATTGTTTCTCGATCAACCGCACTTCAAATCCTTAATAATTACAATTGACGTAATCGCGTCAAAAGGAGGAATCGAATGAGCCTGGTTGCATCAAAATCCGATTAGAAAAAGCTGTTGCATCATTGAATCTAAGTCACATCGCTGTAAGGTCAACAGGATCAACAGCCAGAAACTGAAAGTAGATCTCCCCTTTCGATCCAGCTTTTCAAGACAAATACTTCTTCAAATGAACGATCCATCGAACAGAAGATATATCGATCCAAATAGCTTTCGATCAAGTCAGTTTCCAAAGTTTCAATTGAAAACTGAATCGAAAAAAGCCTTCTGAAGATGGGCTGATACAACAGAAAAGTCAGGTGTGGACTGGTTGGAAAGTGTACAAGTTCAACTGCGCTAGCGAAAGATAGCGCGAAAAGCTTATTTCCAGAGTACAAGCTATTGTATGGCGATTTGTATGGGCAAAAAGGTACTCTTTCGAACGCGCTATTTTAGCGCTACTGCGCGGGAACTTAGCCGAACCCCATACTACGCGGCTAACATTACTCTTTTTTATATTTAATTATTTATTTTTTAATTTAAATTTTTTTAATTAATTATTTAATAAATTATTTAATTAATTATTAAATTAATTATTAAATTAATTATATAATTAATTTTAAATTAATTATTAAATTTTAAATTTATTTTTTAATTTAATTAAATATATTTTTTAATTTTTAACGTTTTAATTAAATATATTTTTTAATATAATAAAATTTTTTTAATTTAATTATATAATTTTTTTAATATATTAATTATTTTTTTAAATATTAAAATTAAAAAATAATTAATATTTATTTACGTAATTATATTTTAAATTTAAATAATTTTTTAATTAATAAAAAATAATATTATTTACGTTATATTAATTTTAATAATATACGCGTTATATTAAAAAAAATTTAACGTTAATTTAAATTTATTATAAATTATATTAAAATTTTATTATATATTTAATTAATTTTTAATTATTTATAATTTAATTAATTAAAAATTTTAATTTTTAAAATTTAATTTAATAAAAAACGTTTAATTTAAAATATATTTAATTTTTTTTAAATATTAAAATTTAAATGTAATAATATAATTTAAAATAAAAAATTAATTATTATTTTAATTAATTTAAATTAATTTTAATTTTTTTTAATTTTAATTATAAATTTTTAAATTATATTAATTATAAAATAATTAATTAAATTTAAAAAAATACGAAAAAATATAATTTTTAAAATTAACGTTAAAAATTTAAATTAAAATATTTTAATTTTTATTTAATTTATATAAAATAATATATATATTTTTCGCCGGCGTTTTTCCGGTTTATATAACGTAATAATTAACGTTAATTATATAACGTAAATAATATTATTTTTAATAAAATTATTTTATATAATTTAAAAATTTTTTTAATTTATTAACGTTAAAATTTAATATTTTTAAAAAATTAATTTTTTTTCGATAAATTTAAATATTTAATTAAATAAATTTATATAATAATATATAAATTAAAAATTTACGTAATTTTAATATTTTTAATTTTTATAATTTATTAATTTTATTAATTTTTATATATATAATATAAAATTTATAAATTTTAAATAAATAAAATTTATTACATTTATAAAATATAATTACGTTATATATAATATATGTTTTTTTATAAATTAATAAAACTTGAAGATTAATTTAATTAAAAACTCCGGAAACTCCGACATGTGTTAATTTTTCCCTACGTTTCGTTGCGACACAATAACCCTCGGAGCTCGGGCATATACTCAAATTTATTTCATTAAATCCTACTCTAAAAAAAGCCACTATACTAAATACTAGATACGATCATAAATTCGTGGCGTAAACGTGAGCGGCAAGCAGTGGTGATTGTCCCAGTCGCGGCAGCAACATTGGCATATAGCAGAGGAGACGCGTTTGTGAGTGGCAGGAAAAGGATCCATAGATGCCACTATCTCTTCTTCCTCGAGGAACCGCTGGAGCCGGTGGCCTTCCGCTTCCTGCCCTTTAGTTTTGGCAGGGGGATCTTATTAGTCTCGTCCCACGAGAACCCGAGGCCCGCCTTCATCTGGGTAAAGGCCTCTTTTTGGCTTGGCTCCTTCTCGGTCTTCGTTCTCAGCCGGTAGATGGCTCCGCTGACCTCCTGGTGTAAAGTGCCCAGGTCGCGTTTGGCTCGCAGCTCTCGCACTCCTAGGCCGTTCACGAGAACGATCTGGCAGTGCCGAATACACAAGTGGCCATCAACCTGGAGGACTTGGGACATCAATGGCTCGACGTCCTTGTACCCGCAATCATACCCGAGGCCGTCCAGGGCGTTCTTGAGCTTGTCAGGCACTTCGGCAGTGCAAGCGCACTTGGTGACGAAGACAAAATGACGGTGCAAAACAATCTCAGGCTTCTCTTTCTTGGCCGCAAGTTGTTCGTCGTCGTCGTCGTCGTCGCGGCCCTCCCCCTCCCCCTGGGGGGGTTTAGATTTGGCCAGGCTGGAGGTCTGCTCAGCAGCGCGCCTGGCTTCCTGGAAGGTCTTGATAGCCTCGTCGAACTTGCCGTCTTCTATGAGCGGGGATCCGGTCCCTTTCCGGACGAAGAAGCCGTCGAGGCCGATCTCAACCCTGGCGGCCGCCATCTCCTCTTCGCTTATGGTTCGGTACGTGACGACGTCCAGGTCGGTCACATCGCACGGCTGCGCGGACTGAGTCCTCTGGACGCCCCTGCGACCTCGGCCCGCGGCCGGTTGAATGCGATGGTACGCCTTAATGTTTACTAGCGCCGTGACGAGCGGATAGCTTATTCCATGCATCGCCATCTGGCGCTCAACGGCCTCTATAAACGACCGCGAGCGTAAGTTCTGCAGCTGTTCGAAACGCGGTCCCGAGGCCCCCAGTCTCATAAGGCCTTGGATCGCCTCCCTTCTCCGGTCTCGGATGCTCCTCCCCTGCCCGGCGATTTCCTTGCAAGCACCGTTGGCTGCCTTCCAGGCTTCAAAGGTAGTATGCGGCCGTTTCCAAAAGTTCTTCTCCGTCACGAGGTCCCATATCTTGGACACCCAGACCTGGAAAGACTCTAGCGAGTCTCTGCAACGGACGATCTCCGTGAAGATCGCGTCGACAGCAACGCCGGGCTCGGGCTGTTCATCCAGGTACTTCTCAACCTCGTGGACGTCCAACAACTCCAGTGTGCCGTCTTCTGCGACGCAGATCACGTCGGCGAGCTGTTGTTGCTCCGCTTCCTGGGAGGCCATGTTGGTGGGGATGGGGGACGAGTAGATGGTATTATTGCAATGGTCCGAAGGCGGGAAATGATGAGTCGGCCGGACGCTTTGATGCCGCTGAGCGGCTCTGTGTGTCGTCGACTTAGCCAACAGTGGTAGTCGGGTGATGGAGACGGGAATGGGAGGACGCCCGACGTCTCTCCCAGTCAGCCGGACGTGGGACGGGCAGGGTAATCGCTGGCTGCGGATGCTGCAGCTTGACCCTAGTACGCAGCGTTGGAAGGGGAAAGTACGGAGAGCGCGACGTTGAGACTGCAGAAGACTAATTAACCAGACCGGCAGCTCGATGCGCCGATGCTAACGTTGGACGCCAAAGGGGTAATTCTCACGTTGCCTGATGAAGGACGGGATGGGGTATCTTGATAGTAATCGATGATAGATAGAGGGCAGCGGTGGCGTTGGGTATGGTTGTGACGGCGTTGCAACTTCGCAGAATGAAAGATAGAGGCAAGAGAACGGCGTGCGCCTTCGCATTTTATAATGCGATGGATGTCTCTCGATGCCTTACTGATACCAGCGGCTCATGCCTCAGCCCGCCTTAAGCGTGTGCCTAAGTATTAAGATGTTCTATTAGGAATTTTACGACCTGAAGCTTGCCTTTTCATTAATACCTTAAATGGAAAGCCAACTCGTTTGACATGACCTTGCACGCTTCGTCGTTACTTTAAAAGTTTAGTTTTAAGTTGAAAATGTCGTGATGTTTTAAAATACGTATTTAAGTACTTAGCTATGTAGCTCATGATTTAGATGCACTTGTACGTTTTAATATTCAGTCGCTCGTAAATATAATAAGTTCATTCGACAGCCTTTTAAAAGAACTTTTTATTTATATACACTTTATCAATTACAAGTTAGTTTTAATACGTTGAGGTTCAATTGAACTTATTATAATCCACATGCGCTACTGACATTTACCCGATGAGGCCCAGCGTGTCACGTGACACCCTTTGTTTTGAACTCTTACGCGTATAAGCTTACGTGCTATAACTTCTAACGATACCTGGTAGCTTACGAGTAATCTAAATAAAGAAAACTTTCGGGCAAAGTATTCTTTATAATAAGTTGAAAATCAAAGCCAAGCTTCGATTTTAATTTCAGTTTCAGTTTCGAAGTTACGTAAGCTTTTTTAATTACGTAATGTCAATTACATAATATCGGTCAAAACCTTGAAGGCACAGTAAATATTAGAAATAGCAACGTAAGTGAAGGCTAGGAACGACTCCTTCTAGGATAGGATATATCGAATATTACTTGATCATATGTTATACCTTAAGATTTACGTATAGTAGCGAAGGGAAACTGCGATGGTACCTGTAGCATGTATAACATAGTGTATGATCTACCTTGCTGTTGACTGATCCCACTTTAGTATATATGGCAAATTAATGTAAGTATATAGGTTAGGACGATTGACGACGAGGTATGGTACAGGTGAAAGGGGTCGGCAGCAAGGGCAAGGATGATATTCGGAGGAGGAAGGTATCGCTGTATCGCAGTAGTCATATGGGATTAGTAAATAGCTTGCTAGCAATAGAGTGTTAGTAGATAGGTTGTTAGAAATAGCTTGCTAGTAATAGCTTATTAGTAAAAAGTAATCGATTTAATCAACCTAAAAATAGGTAAAACGATTGATTTCAGGTTAATATTAGGGAACGAGGCTGGCGATACTGACCTTTTAGTTAGATTTTGGTGTTTTTATAAAAGGAAAGAAACGAATTATTCAGCTTGATCTGAGAGCTTCCGAAATAGGCAACGAAAGAAGCGGTGGAATCTGGCAAAACGTTTTAATTGGCTGATTGAAAAGGAGCTAGTACCTGAAAAGCCCTAGTTCAGTAAGCTTATCCGTAAAGAGGTCTAGTTGTTCTCTTGGCAGGATGCACGCCTTTTAATTGGCTAAGTTCTTTATCTTATCAGTTTCGCAGCTGTTCAACAGGATGCACGCAACCTGATTGGTCAAAACCCTTATCTAATCAATTTTGCAGCTTTTCCCCCACTTATTTTCAGAAATCAGGTCCTTAGAGACCCACTAATCCGAATTTAGGTAAGAAAACTTTATTTCTTAATAAGATAAAAGAATAAAAGAATAAAAGAATAATGTACAGAATAATAAAGTTTTCTTAATAAATAATAAATAATCCTTTCGTTTTTTAATTCGACTAACCTTCCTTAAAGTTAGAGGTTAAACCGACAAACGAACATCATGGAATTTCCCTTGCACATTAAATTCCACCACACATATCTTGGACACAAAAGATGCCCTCGATGCCTCAAGCGATTTACTTTGCAATTTGAGTTATACAAACATTTAAAATCCTGCCTTGGCATACATCCTAAGGCTACCCGCGGTGGCATACCATGCAAGCATGGCTGTGGGCTCCTATTCTCGAGATACGGCATAGCGCTCAGGCATGAGAATGCCTGCCCAAGAATAGCAGATAATGAATTCGAATTTGAACGCGATGGCTATAGTGGATGGCTACGATGCCCCAGCTGCGGAGACGAGGGGTTCTCCGACGAGTCACTTGCCTTCCACTTCTTGAAGTGCCGTCCCAAAGATGAATGCAGCAAGTGCCACCGAGGCTCGTTTCGAACCAATAAACACTTCAAGCTACACGAGTCGTCTTGCCAAGGTCGTGCCACAGAACTGCCATCTCTGTGCAAGACATGCGACATTGAGTTTGTTACTCTGAGAGCCTTCACCGCCCATCGACCTCTCTGTCCAATCCGAGCGTCCCCCCATATATTCCTCATGGGCAATCCCGAACCCGAGATTCGAGGTATGTCGTACCTGGAGTTCCTTCACACCTACTCTCTTGGGCCAGGCGGATCTCTCTACTGGAATGATATCATCAAGAATGTCGGCAGTGGCAGTCCCAATAGGGCCGACCCGACCCACCCACCCCCTCTAGATGGGCGTCGGCATCCTAATCGACCGGATACGACTTGGATAAAGCGTCTCGACGATGTGACCAAATCCGATCTTGCGATGCGGACGACTAGCGCAGTAGCCGAAGTAGTAGAGCGCTTCTTGATCGAGGTAGCTTTCTGCTTCTATGCCATATGGATGTCTGCAGCTGACAAGGTTATATATAGGCGCGACACCGTTCGACTGAAGAAACGGAGGATGGGGCCGAACGTTTTTGTCAAAAGCTTTTGGAGATGTATAATGAAATACGGCGTGGCGAAAGGATCGCTCCGCCTAGAATGAACCATCCGTGCCGTGGTGTCTTCTGGGCTCACGGTTGGTGTCCATGCCCAGTAAATTGGCCCGTGAACCTCTCAACCTCGATTGTATGCAGATCACGGCGGCCGGTTGCCTGTGTCCCCCTCAGGTGCTTATTTTGTCGTGCTACACAACTGAGGTTAAGATATTGGATGATAAAAGGTAAGACCAACATTGAAGGTCAACAACTTTGCACAATGAAGAATTGCACAGGCGTTGTTCCGGATGATCACCGGCTAGTGTTTATACAGAAGTGTAACAATGAGCACCATCTTAACTCACAAGAACGGCAAATCTTAGGTCTGGACGCAGCTGGGTCACGCCAAGAAGCAAACGAGGCCGTACCGGTTGATGGCGGCTTTAACTCAATGGACCTTCAGGATGTTGAACCTTGGCTCCCTGGCGAGGAGGGCGAATATGACGAGGAGGGCGAATATGACGAGGAGGACGAATATGATGAGGAGGACGAACATGACGAGGAGGACGAATATGATGAGGACGAATATGACGAGGAGGACGAATATGACGAGGAGGACGAATATGATGAGGAGGACGAACATGACGAGGATAGTGGCGGATACGACGACGGCGAGGAGGGACGAATCTGTGTACCTAACGTTACAGCCAAGAACTAATCAACCAACGGGTCAGCCACATTTCATCTTAGCTCCGATCATTCCGAGATCTTCTAGTTTGATCGGTTCATCTTCCATAGCTAGGCAGGTAGACATAGGAACCTACACCATGACCTCTTACTTTACACCGAGAACCGGGGGCGCAGCTTAAGGCGAGAGCGCTACCGGAGATACGGAGGGGTCTATGCGCTCGCTCGTGCTATCGGCGGCCGGAATATTTAAGAGGTCGGACAGAGCGTCGAGACATCTTCCCCTTGACCTAGATAGAGGTGCGAGGAAGGCCCAGGTCACCTGCCCCATCTTACGACGCCGACACTGCATCGCTTTCCATACATCTTCGAAATATCGCCCTGTACCGGACGAGCGGTTTATCATCACACCGCGTTGTTTGCCATCTATGAATAAGTGGGTAAGTGGCGTTACGCCCACAGGTATAGACCATGCGTGGGATGCAGCTATTTTCGCCACGTCACCATCAGAAGGCATGTTGAACGCCGCATACCTTTACTACAAGTAGGTAGGTGTACAAGCGCCGCTGCATAATATTATGCAGTTCGATGCGTCGTAGGGTCGCGTGCGAGCAGTCCGAAAGCCGTCGGTGTGAAGCCGGACAGCTTTCCCTCATACTGTGTTCGATGCTGCCGAGGCACAACTTGCTGACACTTGCTAACAGAGATATCAACATACGTCAGTTCTCAACACCTCATATCACAAGTACATTCAACAATCCCTCATCTCTCCATTTCTCTCGCCGTATTGACCATTTATTGTCATTTTCTTCTCTCCCGCTACCTATCGTATCAGTGCCGATACCTCAATTGCCTTACGCATTCCTCTCGCTAATGCAAGTGCCAGCTCCACTGCAGACCCCAGGAACGCTGGAGTGCCCTCTCCACAGCCCACGATGGAAGTCAATCCAACGCTATCGTACTATCCACGCGGTTGCCCCACTTAGTCATCCTCCTCCGGGACCTGCTGCCTTTCTTCATCGTCTAAAACGCTCCGCAGCTCGGCCTCTTTTCCCTTAATTCTGGTCCCTAGCGCGATAAGCGCGCTCGCAGCTGTGTGGAACTCGTTAATGTCCGCTCGCAATTTGACGATCATCGCCTTCGACGTAGGTGCCTGTGTATCATTTGACACAGCCTGGTCAGTCTCGGCGCATAATATAGGGAGGGGGAGAAGGGGATTACCTACCTGAGCAACTGGGAAAGCCAGGTCTTCGTCTTCGCTTAACCCATCGAACATCTAAATGTCTCTTGTTAACATAAATGTTACGAGTCACGCATATATTGTAAACGTACTTCGGCATCTTGCACGTACTCGACCTTGAGTCGTTGCTCCGCGGCGTCAGAGAAATCTGCCACTAGGAGGGCCTCCATCGCGTTAGCGGCTTTAAAAGCCTTCACTCCTAATCTCTCCTCGCATAATTTTTTGCAATACTTCAAACCCTCAACTAAGTATTTACTTGTGGCGTCGCAAATTTCCCTGTTAATGGGGAAGCCTAGGATAAATACTATAGCAAGGGCACTACAATCCCTTCGGATCCCCCGAAATGGGTGACCGTTCTTTTCTAGGAAGGCGCAAACCTGTTGTCTTTTCCAGAACCTGGATACTTTGGCGAACATCATTACTTTTTTAGCAACGCCGGGCGGGAAAGGAGTAGCGATGTACCTAGTAGGGGCCATTGTAGGTATGGAGGCCATTGTAGGTATGCGCGTCTGGGGTGTTCCCTACAAGTATGTCGATTTGGCAAGCTTCACGTGAATGTCATACGAAGCAGAGTAGATGTATTGGGGGGGGGGGTCGGTACTAGGTAGGCAGGAGAAGATCGAGACTACCCGACAGCGGGCTGCGACTTATGTATAGGACCACCTGTTGGAGCACAGGTATCCACGCGCTTTGAGGCCTTCGGCATGCCGAAATTGCCCAGAGGGCTCTAGATTACTCTCGCCTAAGGCACCCGGCATACATGCAGGATATGCCTTTTGTCTAGCCCGCTCGGGAGCTAAGCCGGGTCTCTAACATATGCCTTGAATATCCCGAGACACGTAGCTTCGCGAGCCCTCGATCTTCCATTACCTAGGCGACTTGCAAAACCCGGAACCTCGAAAGTTCGAATAATCCCGAATGAAGGTCTAAAGCGTTTACCCTTCCTGCTAAGGCGTCTGCCTACCAGCCTCTGGGTCATTCGGACGCCAAGAAGTGCGCGGGTACCTAAGCTGCCTAACTAAGGCTGGGCAGATGGTATAGGATATCTAAGGATGCGAGAGCGGTTAGAAAGGAACAGAGCAGATATAGGGCGACGTAGAAAGGTAGGTATGAAGATGATCAAGGCAAGGCAGACGTTCTTGTGGGTGCAGCTAAACTGGCCTCCTTGCGCGATAGCGCGGAATCTCCTGGATGGCTCAGAGCCGGTAAACCCTCAGCGCTAACGAATCAAAGTGATATTAGGGCCGCGCGAACGGCTTCCGTGTTCATCTACCTGATGCTAGAATGGTGGCTTTGTGAGATGGTCCCTCGCCAAGGCTGCGATAGGCAGCATTGGTAGCTGCCGTCTCCTATTTAAAGCCTTGTCGTGGTGCGGTTTGGTGAAACGACGAAACACCAGACGGCAAAAAGCTCAGGAAACCATCTGTCATCGTTCTATTTAACTTTAGATCCCGCTCGCTTCGACCACCGATCAGTAGCAGCACGATTTTCTACGTCGATAGCGCATCATGGCGGACGCTACTCTATGCTGGCAGTGTTATAAGTAGTAAGTGTAGCCTACGGCCTCCGACCCCTAGCTCCTCTAACAACCTGCCAGTAGCGACATTACTCCGACACTCAGAAATGGCTGTGGAAAGATACCGTGCCAGAGATGCACGGACCAGGGGTTAGACTGCCTTATCGTAAGTGACTTAGACGTTGCCCGTAGATGAGCTCCTCTGATGCTTTACAAGGCGCCGGGCCATATCGAGCAGCAATGCCGAGATTTCGAAAAGGCGCTCGCGAAGCTTGACAAGGCTCGCGAGGAGATACCATCCCCGCGGGCGTCTGACCTCAACTTACCTAAAGTCCCGGACAAGTCTCCGCCCTCGAGCGCGACTTCGTCCGAGGATATCGTTGTGGTAGATATCCAGAAAACCGATAAAGCGAGCAGCTCGTCCGAGAATTCCCCAAGCACAGCCAAGCGAACTATAGGCCCCGACGCCGAAGTCGCCAATGCCAAAAAAATCCGGCCCTCGACACCGGAGCCCAAATCTGCGCTAGACGAACTTCACGATCAGTACGTACGCTTGATCGAGAAGTTGCGTAATCATTTCATCGACGACGGCGAGTAATCATGCTAAGCTATGAGCATGCGTACTGGATATGATTTCCATTGGTGAAGTTATTCGTTACCTATTATAGTAGGTACTTACCAAGGCATTCATGGATTCTGGGAAGGTCTATGTATTTCATTGATCCGTCTGAGAGACCAGAAAATTATGTACGTAGGTGGGGATCGATATTATGTAGGTAATTGGTTCCCGTTTATTGATACCTACCGCAGCGGCAAAGGGGGGGTCTCACAAACGGTTGTTGAACTGCAAATGCGTTGCCCCATTAAGATCCGTCCAGTTGAGCGTAAATGATTTTTGACCTAAAAACGTTTTTGATTTGCCAACGGAAATTTACCTCCCTCTGATTGGCTGAAATAAATAAGATTTACCAAAAATTCAAATTCTGGTATCGGTGGGAATCGAACCCGTGTCATCTTGTAAATGTTATTAGATCAGAACATTCTAACAATTGTTTTTAATGTATTTACAAAGTCACTTTTCACTATTTCATTCATGGGATGGTACATTTCAAATACTCTTCAAATCATATTCTACAAGTAATTTTTAAACAAGTTCTACGCACTTTACAATTGAGCTAAGTAGTCTAGCCATACTAATAATGGTCAAGCTTTAAACCTTATTATAAAGCTCATTGAGAGCAGCCAATAACCAGTTTTTTCAAGCCATGTCCCCACCTTTTAAGCTTTTTAGAAATGGTTTTCCACCAATGCCAACGATTATTACCATGCAAATGATTTTTGGCTCAAAATAACGGTTTTCGCCCTGAAACAACGGTTTTTTGCCATAAAATAACCGTTTGCAACACCTATGTATTGCCGCTGTGGTAAGGAAGTTGACAGCGGGAGTTCCCGCTTTGAAACAGGAGATCGATTGATTATTGGGTGAGTAAAGTTCGGCCAATAGAAACCTGTAAGATATCTTGGCGTTGCACATGGGGTGGTTCGTGTCCGGGGTCACTGCAATTTGAGATAATACATACATAAGTACGAAGGTTCCGGCCAAAAGTTTGGACCATTAAGCCACGTCCCTTACTTAGTGCATAATTAAATAAGCAACCACTTTATACTATATTAAGTTTAGGCTGAAACTGCTACCTGGTAGTGATCCGTTCGCTAAATTCTAATAAATAACTACTATTATAACTTAAGCCTATTCCATTAGCTACTGAAGAAAAACGCCACACGGTGAGAGAAGATTCCAATTTACACGGCTTTAGACCATTAAGGCCTTCTGCGCATGGTCTAAACTTTTGGCCCGAATCTTCGTAACGCAGAGTTGGTTGCGAAGACGTTGTATTGAGAATCTCCTCGTACAGCGCGAACAAGCTATAGAAAATCTACGTAACCCAATAATGACTAATCAAATGCCCCGCAATCTGACCAATCGCCGCGGGTCCTGTGGATCCTCGCTACATTCATCGTCGATGCGGATCCGACGGACTTCAAATCCGATTTAAGGTCGGATCTCTCTCATCTCTTACCCAGGTCTCCCAGGTGATTGGTGTCGCGATGTACCTGCGTAGGTAAGGTTACGGACGCGAAGGCTGGTGCCTCCCATCTCGAACCTTCTCTCCTATCTTCATCCTTCTCAAATCGGGGGGGGAGAAGCGTCGTCTTCCTGCCGCCGGGAGAGGTTGTCGTTGAGCTCCCTAAGCTCTACGCAGATCGATGCCAGCATGGCACAGTTCATGATATAGCCCAAGCCTTGCTTCTTGATTTCCTCGAGGAGCTTGTTTCTGGCCTTTTCGAGTAGTATTTTCTCGCACCGCATACGTAGCTCTTGTGGCACGCTTTCGATTTGTCTTTTGATCTTAGGGTCGTCGTGCAGAGGCTGTGGGAGTGATATGTGTAGTAGATCGTCCAGCAGAGAGACGCCGTTAAAGACCTCGACACGCTGTGCTGCTATGGCGTTTAGGCGCGACTTGGGGATCGGCGCGGGAGGTGTATCGTCGAACTGCGATGTTATGTTAAGACTTTTTTTTTTATTGTTGCAGGATTGAAACGAAAAAGGGGGAGTGGCGCGCAAACCATTGTGTGTAGGATAACAAGCCGCTTCTTAACTTGAGTAAAGTGCTAGCGAGACGGCAAACTGGACTTCTCAGGCGTATTGTAATCTTATACGTGAAATTGTCGCTGCAGAAGGAGGGCCTCTTGATTTATACAAGTTACGCACTAGGAAGCGATCAAGCAAGCTCCTTATACGATATCGAAAAAGGCGATGGTGAGGCCTAAGAACGTAGTCTGAGACACCTAGGCAGTCCATCCGTCCTAGATTCTATGTTTACCTAGTAGGTACCTGCCTAACATACCCGCATGTCCCCACGTACTTTGGAATTCCATGCGAAGATTTCTCCTGGCTCCCGAGTGTGTAGTGGAACTTGATGTTAGAAGTGAGCCGTTGGGAAGATAGGATGCTTTTTGTAAGGTAACAAAGCATGTTTCTTAACTGGCGATGCATTTTTTTGTGCGGCTGGGTTGATGTTGTTTTAAGTAGACATTGCTAGTTTTCGATCGAATATAGGATTTTGATTAGTTGAAGAGGGATTTCATTGGACATGATTATCACGGCCAGACAAACCTTGACTCATATCTTGATCCTCGCACTACGTGCTAGAGGCATAAAGAATTCAAAATATGACTTGAAGCTTTGAACGATGCTTAGTAAATACCTACCAAGTACTTCTAAAATGAAGGTTTCCTTGACCAAGATAGAGATGGCCAAAGAAAAGTAAGATCTACGAGCTTCTAAGATACCTACAAAGGCTTACGAAACGTACACGCCTTTCGAGAAGATACATTCTTTCTTACTTACCTGAGTCTACGATCATTCTATAATACCAATAAAAAAATGCCGGATCGACATGTTTTCATACACTGGGCAAAAATTCGGGAATCCAGGATCCGTTCACTATCCAGATGATCTTATCGTGCATCAACGTCGTTTCCACCATCCCTGGTCTATGGGCTGTCGATAAAATTGGCCGTCGTCCCCTACTTCTCTGGGGTGCCGTCGGCATGTGCGCGAGCCAGTTCCTCGTTGCTATGCTCGGAACCTTGACAACGGGACAGGATGCCCAGGGCAACATTATCGTGTACAACGTCGCCGCGCAAAAGGCCGGTATCGCCTTCAACTGTCTGTACATCTTCTTCTTCGCCAGCACCTGGGGGCCCCTTGCGTGGGTCGTCACCGGCGAGATCTACCCCCTGAAGACGCGAGCCAAGAGCTTGTCGATGACTACCGCTACAAACGTATGTAGATCCTTCCATCCAATTAGAGATTTCTGATCTAAGCAAACTAACTCGTAAAAACAGTGGCTTATAAACTGGGCTATCGCATACTCGACCCCTTATCTCGTCAACTACGGCGAGGGCTACGCAAACCTGCAGTCCAAGATCTTCTTCGTCTGGTTCGGCGCCTGCTTCTTCTGCATCGCCTTCGTATACTTCTTCATTTACGAGACCAAGGGCTACTCGCTCGAGGAAATCGATGAGCTGTACGCCGAGGTCAGCAGCGCCCGCAAGAGCGCCGGATGGGTCCCCAAGAGCACCTTAGCCCAGCGTGAGGCCGGCGGCGTCGTCGAGACTGCCCAGGCTGAGGCCGAGAAGGGGAGTAGCGGCGCAAGTCACCATGAGGAACCTACTGTATAGGTAATAAGTTATATAGAGCAACGATGGTGTTGTTTTTGGTTTTTGTTTAAAGAGAAGAAGTCCGTCGGTTGGTATGCATCTGTTTGGTTTATATGTTGGTTATACACACATACATGTGTGTATGATGAGATCGCATTTGGGTTTTTGAAGATACCCCCCGAGCTGTTTAGTCATAGATCATTTTTCTATTGGCAGAGACATCGATGTCAGGTTAGGAGTAGCGCGGTATGGATTGTATATATGTAAAAGAATTGAGAACTACGAACATAAACAGTTACGGTTTATCTTTTGGAGTGTGTTTATGGCGATTATCTACGCTAAGTACGCGTTGAATGCGTTTTGGACTTGTGTGGAGATGATACTTCCTTTAAGGGGTTTAATGTTGCTGGGGTATAATATAGTAAAGATGTTAGAGGCTAATCATCCATATCTATGCAGATACCGCCGCGTCACAGCTAAGTAGCCTCAGGGGATGTCTCAGGCGGCAGATGCAACCCGTGAAACCCGATCGCGATAGCGAAGTCACACTCGGCACGTCCCAACTCCAACATATTCCTCGCATCCAGGCACACGAGATAACTCTTCTTCCCACATCCATCAAGTATAACGCTCAGAAGCACGCCTTCATCTTCCGCCACTTCATCTTCCGCCACTTCATCTTCCTCGTGAGATTTCGGACGCTGGATGAAGATTGCCTCGCCTGGTGTGTGCCCCTTTAAACCTTCCCAATATATGCATTCGCGCGTGTCGATATCCGTCTTGACGATGCAGTCGAAGAGAGTGCTAAAGCCGCGGCTGGCTGTCGTGTACACGTAGCGGTGCTTCTTCGTCGCGTAAGCCGGGTTGATGGTTGGTAGTTCTCCTGCGAGTGGCGCTGTAAACATGAGAACTTTCTCTGCTGTCTTATTTGTCGTTGGATTCTTCGACTTCCCCTGTTCGTCGTCGGGGCCCAGCTTTGGTACGACGAGCTTCCATCTAACCAATCGGGCTTGGCAGTTGTGAGTGCGTGCTTCATCTCTCCAGAAGTTCGTGGTCGCGCCGTTTCTCTGGAGAATGACGTCCATCTCAAATTGTCGTATTACGTCGAGAGTAGGGTATTGGATGACGTCGCAGTACACATTGGTGTTATCAGTTGCTTCATCTCTCTCTTCGAAGGAGTTGACGCTGTGAAAGAAGAAACTTGCGGGACTATCGAAGGAGGCGACTACGCCACGGTCACTAAGACGGTCGACGATGAACCATTTGCAAGATTTGGATTTGTCGAACGGTTTGATGGCATCGACCATGTTTCCTTCCCATGGAATCTTGATGCCCATTAGACCAACATGGGATGATGGAATGCAGAAGATGACGAAGGAAGGCGAAAGAAAAAAGGAGTGGATATACGCCGGCTCTACATCTTTACCATATATCGTAGCTAAGATGTCAGTCTCGCCCGTCGAAGCTCTCGTTCGAAAGACGCGGTACGTTGCAGGATAGCCCAATTCGAGATTATAGTTGAAGAAGTCGCCCGTCGCCGGGTCTCGCTGGGCATGGGCGCAACTAAGGGGCCCCTTAAGGAGAGGATGGAGAGTCTGTTGCTTGGCTATCCCGATCGGCTCTAGAGTCTGGTGGTCGAATTCCTTCACGATACCCATATCTGAGGTTAACCACATAGACTTATTGCCTCCTCTGTGACCGGCGGACGGAGTTGTGCTTTTAGCATTGGACGGTAAACCAGGCATGTCCCTGTAGACCACGACTGCGATATTGTTAAAATCGGGGCTTTGGACTACAGGAGCACCACGCCATGTACTCATAATCTTCGCGAAGATACCGACACAAGGATCCATGCGTTGTCCAAAACTGATATCATTTCGTCGTCCAGTTTTCTTGATAGCATCACAAAGAGCTTGGCTTTGGCGGCGGGAAGAATATTCAACCTTGACGGGAGAACCAGAGTCATACGACTTGGCAATAATGTTGAATTTATGCGTATGTCCCAGGCCATCGAACCAATGTGTGGTGCGGAAGGTTCCTTTGGCAGTGTCCTCGATGGTGTACTGCCCAGGGCCGGTGCGGAACAAGGTGCCAGCAGCCCAAGATGGGATTGACCCCTTCACGGTAAGTTCTATGGGGCCACGCACTTCATCTAGACCTTCAAACTGAGTGTATTCGTTAGAAAAATGTAAAATAAATAAGAAGGGGGTAGTATTTTAGACTTACCCCCGCCTCGTTGGGCCAATGTGCATACGCCTCGGTCTCTAAGGCGTCGATTACGGCGTAGAAATCGCATTCTTCGTCCTCCTTTGAACTTCCGAAGAATAGCTCGGTTTTAGTATATGGCTGCATAGCGTTCTAGAGGTAGATTAGGTATGTGGATGTGTGACTGTGTGTGACTGTGTGTGCAAGAGTTCAGAGTTTAAAACTCACGATTTTTCAAATATGTTCATATGAAAAAGGTCTAGAGATTTCTCTACATGAGTGAGCAAGTGGGGAATTCCTCCTGGTCTGGTTGCCGTCGTGGCCGTGGTCAAAGCTGTAATTGCAGTTTTAGTTGTGGTTGTAGGTGTAGTCACACTGTTTGATCCTCACACTACTAGGTGCTGTCCTTATATCCGAGCTGAACAGTCCATCCCTGATTAAATGTCAGCACTATGTGGTTGAAATGTGGTAAACGTGATAAAATTCGCCTTTGTGGACGAGTATCCCAACGATACCCAGACATATATACCTTAAAAGATATCGCTGATGTGTATAGGAGCATCAACGTACTACAAGATACGCGAGTCCGAGTGTTAGTACTAAAAGTCATACAGAATAATAAGTATGCATGATATGACGTGAAAAGGGGCCCTGGTTTTGAGGTAGACAAAGGCTTCACAAAGGCTGATAATCATAGCTACATATGTAGGTACTGACCAGTAGAATGGGACTCTTACATTGTACATAGTAGAGTACTAGAAGTAAGGGATACTTCATACATGTAAGTACTATTCACGAAAAAGTTTATAAGGTTCAAATATTATATGCAAGGTTTTAGCAAGTTTTATTACGTACTCGTCCCCTGTTCGCAAACACGAAAGTGAAGAAGGTGCCTCCCTAGTACCTACCTAGTCCATCTGGAAAGATAAATTTCGGTGCAAGTTCTAGGAGGCCATTCCTTATAACCCCATAGGCACTTAGTTTCTTGGTTTCCCGAGTGTTTGTCCATTAAATGTATCCGCGGGTATGGCTACTTGGAATCTTGAAGACTTGGATACACCTGGCAGCCACTTACCAAGAACTTGTATGTAGGACCTAGCTGCCTAGGGCCCTAGGTATATAGGTAAATAGAATGGTAAGCCATGACCTTAAACCTACTAGATACCTATTCAAGGTTGTAACCACCTATCATGATTCATGACTGGACAACGAGGTAGGTACGGATGTGACTTTACAGGTGTACTTACTAGATTGAGCATTTGGTTCCACTGCCGTCCAATAAGCTTCCAGCAGACCGGAACAATTCCGAATACCTGGGTAAGCAGCGCAACAGTTTCTATTGGTCCGACATCTTATTAAACTTTAAGACCCGTATATTGTACAGCTGTATCCATGTACATACTTCGCATTCGCATCTTTCTAGATCTCTTTGTTTTCCTATCCAATGTTTATGAGCGTGGGTATGAGCAAAGGACAAACTTGAAGAAAATAGGTACATATGATTGTTAGAGCATCCATGGTCCGAGAAAGATAGAGCAACAAAACGAGCAAGTATCATGTCGCTGCAAGTTTACCTAGGTAACTATCCCCACTGCCATGCGTCTTGCTCATCAACTCATGGTTTGCATCGTCCCAACCATTTCCAAGTTAGATTCTTGCTGCTGCTCGCATTCGCCTATAACGCCACACATACATAAATACCAACGTCAACGTTCAATGTTTGGAGTGAGTTAGCGGAAGGTACCCACATGTACCTTATAAATATCGTAAGGATCAACGAAATGTGAGATATGACGAATCGAGCTTCAAGTTACTTAAATCGTCAATCCTTGTAATCAGGCTGTCAGGCTATGCCAAAAACGTAATAGCTTCCCCCCGGGTCCACGGTATGAGGAGATTAGTCATGTGTGACGGCTTACCTAACTTCAAAGTTCCTCCTTCTGCTCCTTCTACATTATTGTGGCTGTTGGTGCGGCCGACAAAAGCAAAAGAAAAAACCCAAAAAAACATGGTCTTTCCTAGTCGGGGCTGCATCACTTGTAGAAAACGGAGAATTAAGGTAAGGCGTGACTCTATCCTAAACACTTATTTATTAGTTATCCCAAGCTAAATCCTTCAAGTGTGATTCTGTTCATCCTACCTGTGGTAGATGTAATAAGGCAAGTCGGAGTTGCGTCTGGGACGAGAACGAAGAGGCTGGTTTGGTGTTCAAGAGTGAAAATGCATTCGCTCAGGGTAAACCTCGTCGCCCGTGGAAAGCGAAAGAACGGGATGCAAAGGCAGGAGTAGAAACATCAGCGTCTTCACCGGATCTCTCGGTATCTTCAACCCCATCATCTGTCCCCGAAGAGGATGAAGCCTTTCGTTTCTGGCTCGAAAACTTCATGTTTAGGGATGATGAAATCCCTGAGTTCGTACGCGAGTACAGTCACTACATCATAACATACCGAGATAAAACTCAGCCTGGTTCGAGTCTGCACTTGGCCGTGTCGGCTCTTTCTCACGCTGCCTTCGGCCGAGCGATGCAAGATGAGAAAGCCATTCAAGATGCCGAATCGTTGTTCTCCAGGAGCATAGCGAAAATGCAAACCGTGTTTCGTGAATTGACTCGGGATAATATCCATGAGATTCTGGTCACGGCCATGTCGATGGCCTTCTACGAGGTATATCCATTGCCCTTCGGATTGATGAAGCCTCGAATACTAACCATATTGATTGAAGAATATCATGTATGGACACGAGAGGCATCATAGCCGAAAAAGGGATTCGTCGTCATCTTGGGATCCCGACATAACAGGATCTCGGTTCTGGGAGAATATCTGTCATCACGAAGGTGCTGCAGGTTTGCTGAAACTAAGGCAGGAACGCGGGTGGACGCCAGACCTTTCCCTCGAAAGAGCAGCGCGACGGCAGCTGGTCAGTTGTCGGGTTCACCCTTAAATGGTTTGCGAATATTGTTCATATTAACGAAACTAGGTCCGAACGTGTATTCTCCGGGGTACACTTACAGCTCCATGGCTTCAAGACGGGGCAGAGTTTGGTGAAAAAGGGCCAGTGCTGGATATCGACTCGATCATGGTCCGCGTAGCCAGCCTTCGCTCAAGATCCCTGCACATTTTCCTTCCAAAGGGTGAGAGATTCTCATCTCAGCTCAGCCCGATCGATATCGCATCCGAGGCTCGAGATTTAGATATTGCCTTGGAATCGTGGTCTCGTAATGTTCCTGAGGACTGGAAGTTTTCCACACATCAAGACCCTTTGATCGATGCCACGTTCGATGGATTGATTCACACTTATGCCAGTCATGGTCATGCGACCATTTGGAACCGGTACCGTGCTGTTCATATAATCATCAACAGCGTTCGAAAACGGGCACTCTCGATCGCTTCTCACTGTTCATCTCAATCCATATCGACAAATATGGAACAGGAATTGTGCCTCGAGAAGATATCCTTACTATCAACAGATCTGTGTCGATGCATTCCCTTTTTCATTGCCTCGCAACCCGTAACGGAAAACTCTCCGCCTAAGGAATCAACTAGCGCCAACGACGCTGACAATGCTACCAACGTTCGGTATGAAATCTTACCTAAACTTGCGACACTCTTAGCATGGCCCTTGACGTTAGCTGTTAGCACAGATGCAGTACCAGAGCCCCAAAAGCAATGGCTGAAAGTAAAACTGAAATCCATTGCGAGATCTTTAGGAGATTCTATCCTAGAGACTGTTGCTGAACAGAGCGAATTCAAGTTCTAAAAACTTACACACACTACCTATGGCTTGAAATAAGTGTACCTTTTTGAGCATAGGTACCTACCTAATACGGGGACTTCGTTAAAAATGACCCACGACAGGCTTGGCCACATACGGTTCCTCAAGGAACGCAACCTCTTCGGCTGTCAGTGTTTTCCCTCTCACGCCACATGCCTCGTCGATTCTAGCGACGGAATTAAATCCAACAATTGGGACACTGCCCTTCGCTTGATGCCATGCCAAATTGACCTGACTCATCTTCCAGCCTTTCTCCACAGCCAGCTTCTCCACACGACGGATGATCTCTTCGTCGGCTGATGTGAAACCCTTTCCAACCGGACTCGGTCCCTTCGCGCGGGTTGAGTCTCCTTTTCCGAAAGGTCTGGCAAGGTTGCCGCCGAAATTGGCCGAGTACGGCAAGATACCGACGCCGGTTTCGTTACAGAAACGGTTCATCTCCCGCTCCTCCTCACGGTAGCATAAGTGGTAGTAATTCTGCATGCTGATGAATTTGGTCCATCCTTTGCTTTCGGCGACGGCTTGCATGCGCGCGAATTGCGTCGCCCACATCGAGCTAGCGCCGATGTAACGGACCTTTCCGGACTGGACGAGATCGTGCAGCGCTTTCATGGTTTCCTCGATTGGAGTAGTTGGGTCGAAGCGGTGGATCTGGTATAGGTCGATGTAGTTCGTACCTAGACGTGTGAGAGAAGCCTCTACGGCGTTGAAGATGGCCGCACGGGAAAGACCTGTGTTTTTTGTTATCAGTCTGAATTTCAAGATTTATTCTTCCCGGCCATTTAACGAGGGCCGGGATTTTTGAAAAAAAAAAAAAAAAAAAGGATTGGGATTTCATCTACTTACCTCCTTGGTTCACATAGTCCTTGCTTTTCGCAAGCGTTGGCCCGAACGGTGCGGAAAATACGGACACGTCTTCTGCGACATGAAGGAAGCATTTAGTCATGATAACGACCTTCTCGCGCGGAATCGAAAATTTCCGGAGGGCCTTGCCGATAACCTCTTCACTGAGGCCGTTGGAGTACGCGTTCGCCGTATCCCAGGTATTGAGACCCCTGTCATAAGCGGCTTTGAGAATCTCGAAAGTCGCGTCTTCGTCTAGCACCCACGGTAGCCATTTACTAGAGCCGAGCGACATGGCTCCTAAGATGGGCGTAGATACGTGAAGTCCCGAGGAGCCAACCCTGACATACTCGACTTTGGTGCCGTCGAGGCTCTGCTGGACTGATGATGGGACCTGGGCCATGGTTGAATAGGTAGGTAATTTGTCGTTAAGTTGACGATCTGAATTGGTTAAAACGAAGTTTTAATAAACTTTTGGTGTTTCCTAAGCAGTAGGATATTCTAGGTGATCTGTGTCTGATGAGAATGGACGGCTAGACACAAGACGACGAAGAGGTCGCCGCCCATTATATATCCCATTTTCCTTATGACTCTTCGATCCTTCACAGGAATAGCTCAGGCAAGCTTTTCGCATTCTTCTCGACTAGACTCTGCTGCGTACCGTCTAGATGAGACTATCCGCGCACATGGCCAAGCAATAGGACTAATGCAACGGGAGTTAAGATGGTGAAGTTGTCTAAAGGCCGTGTGTTGTTGTTAAGTTCGAGATGGGATAATTGCATTCCGGTCGACTTATTAATCAACAGCTCGCGGGTTTATCCAGGAACGGTATAGCGTTGGGAGCTCGCGGGTTTATCCAAAAAGGGATAGATAGCCCTGGAGCGCTTACGATGATGGCATGGGATGAGATGACCCTCCTGGTCCCTCCATGACGATATTTCTATTCCTCCGAGGCAAGATTATACCAGCTACCGTTACGAGTTCATATTTCTAAGGTATGCTTATTTTCAAATACCAGAAGTGATGAATAATAAAGACGTTCCCCTTCTAGGTATCAAACGAAATATATGAGACTCCAAGTCCGGATCTTTAGCGATTGGCTGGACAATTATTGATACCGAAGTCCGACACGGTAGATGTACGATTGCTGCAGCCTGAAGGGAATCATGCCTTTCGCAAGAGATACCTAATAGGGTCACCGGAAGCCCTCATGTTGAAAGTTCACATAACTTTTGAACAGAGCGCCGTAAATACGACAGCATACGTGTTTATCTTCCGATATATTACATCGATGATTATCAAGTTCTCATTATCATATTGCCGCCCTCTTCAACGCCTTACATCAATATCTCGTCAATACAGGGGAACCCTCACACGCCGGTAACGAGAACTTGGTCTCGACGAACACCTTCTGCATCATATCGACATGCTCCTCGAACATGGGGTATACCTGTGCCAAATCCTCAACATGAACACGATGTGAGACCATTTGTAAGGGGTCAAGCTCGCCACTTTGTATCATCTTTAATAGTTCCTCCCAGTATTTGTGTACGGGCGCTTGACCGTTGCCAATAAGCCGAATACCTCTCTCCATAAGCGATCCGATGTTGAAGTGGTTGGTCTAAACATGTCAGCGTATTTTATTGGGAAGGATATTGTCTTGAGGGGTAGGGACTCACATAACCGACGTAAATTCCAGTAACACCACACCGGCCAAAGGCTCGAACACCTTCGATCATCTCATTAACGATTTCGCTCGTGTCCGTTTCCGCACCAAGCGATATCTCAAGCCAGTGCATCCAACCCTTGGCATACTCTCCTGCGGCACACTACATCACAACGTATTAGTACTCATACCTAGCCATATTCCCTCGATTCTACACTTCCCGTGTGTATGACTTACCTCAATAGCAGCATCCGGACCCCTCCCACCGCACAAATCCTTCAACTTCGAAACAACAGTAGGCTTATTCGTCACCCCAAACGACAACTTCTTATAGTCAACAAGCTTCAGCTTATCCGCATGAGCCTTAGGCCAATGATCATCAATAAAGCTCAGTCTCGGCTCCGTATCGACGAAAATGATCTTGCTAGCCCCAGCCTTAACGGCAAAGATCCCCGCCATCTGCCCAATCGGCCCGGCCCCGAATATGGCGACTTGGTCGCCGGGGTACACGGCCGTATCGTGCACGGCGTTATAACTCGTCGCCAGGACATCACTGAGATACAGCGCCTTCTCGTCGGGCACATCATCGGGTATCTCAAGTAAATTCACATCCCCCAGCGGCACACGCACGTACTCGGCCTGCCCGCCGGCAAACCCGCCCGAGAAATGCGAGTAGCCGAACATTCCTGCAGTCTGGCCGCCGTACATAGCGCGCTCGGTGGTATTCGAGTTCGTCTTCTCGCATTGCGAGGACAGCTTTTGGTTGCAGAAGAAGCAGGAGCCGCAGGCGATTTGGAAGGATGCGACGTATCGCTTGCCTTTTCGGACTTTGGTAATGGAAGATCCGATTTCGTCGACGATGCCGCAGAATTCGTGGCCGAGGATGTCGCCTTTGTTTAGTTGGATAACGGATCCTGGAAGGTTGGGTTAGTTTGGACGTGTGATCGGGTTATAGGTAGGTTGGTTTGGTGTTAAGGGGATGATGCTTACCGTGGTATAGATGTAAATCGCTGCCGCAGACAGTGCTGCCGGTGACTTTGAGGATCACGTCTTGTGGTTCGATGATCTTCGGTCGTGGGACATCGAGGACTTGAACGTTATTCTTTCCCATCCAACATAAGGCCTTCATCGTTTCGTCCTTCCCTGTCTCCCCATTTGGATGGGTGATGTCTTGCGCGGTAATCGAGCTGCCATCGTGACCGACAATCTTCTCAGCTCCGTATGCCGCTTGTGTTGTTGCCATCTTTATAATCCCGTATTCTATTCGTTACTTACGGTGTTTTGTTTACTCGTCTTTTGCTGTAGCTTGCATGTATGTTTCTTCACTAAACTACCAAATCTAGGGATGTATTCCCTTATAATAAGTTACACGAGCCGACGACATCGTGGCAACAATGCCATACATCAGAGCATCATCATAGTTAAATCGATCGGTATCAGATCAACACGGATAATATTCCACCTATGAGGATTAGGTAATGTGTGTTTATACCTGGATATTGTTACGAGTGTATGACGTTGAGGTTATATGGGAAATAAGCCACCAAGAACTGATCTACGTCATGACTGGAATAGCGGGTATTGGTCTTGGTAAACTCAAGGCAATTAATTAATATTGCTTCAGGTAAGTCTGGTGAAATAATTAGAGGATATTCTCATTGAGTGATCATGTTATTAATGATGATGCTTTCGTCTTGAAAATCTTAGCTGAGTTTAATGATTTGAGAACTCCGACCGCCAGTCATACGTCATAACCCCAGCCCCAACCCCAACTCTAACCTTAATCATAACCCTACCCCTAACCCTTAATTTTTCTGGAAGGTGTCTACCTATACCTACCTACCTGTATATTTTAATCAAGACAGGGAAATCTTCCCCTGAGCCATTACCCATCGTGAAAATGATGAAGGTGATGAGTGGAATGGAAAGTTTCAGTACCTACCTACCCCCTATTCACTTCGAGACGGTAATCGCCGCTTTCTAAATCCCTATATGATTTATTCAAATACATTTACGCTAATGTCTATGACAATAAACTCCTAACTCATTAATATATTGCTTTTCTTTACGTAGGCCATCTAATATTTATTCCCCTTATTACGTACTCTCATGATCTATCTGGCCCCTTACTCCCACCAATCTCCTCTTCATCTAGCTCAAACCGCGCCGCCTAAGCCGCACCCCCTCCAATCGGCACAGCAAACGCGCTCGGACCGGTATACCTCTGCGTGATAACCGCACCGTGCTGCTCAGCAACCAACTGCTCAGCGGGAACCGCGTAAGAACCGGTGAAGTTGGTGTGAGAGTCCTGAGGCGTCGTGACGCTGAGCGTGAGTCCGCCCTCCTTCAGAACATCCACTGCCCACGAATACGCGCCCGCGTCCGCACACCCCGTCAGCTGCACCGGCGGCAGGTAGTCTGGACCTTGCAGCATGAGGCTGCATTGCGCTGGGGACGGGTTGCCTGAGGGCGAAGCGGTGGTGGGGTCTGTTATTACGGCGAATTCGTAGCTGGGAGGTGTTAGTACGGGTTGCGACTGGGTAAGATTAAGTAGGTAGCGATTAAGGGGGGGACCTACGTGCAGAGAAGACTGTGCGGGATGCATGATGCGGTGAAGTTAGACACCGAGAACGAGTTCGCTTGTCTGGGCTTCATGACGGCGCCTGAGACGGCGGATGCCGTGAAGAGAGCGGCAGCGATGGTGTTGGACTTCATGATTTCGGATGAGAATAATATGTAAATAATTATTATTTCCTTGGGCGGTAAACAGTAAATCAAGACTTTTGGTTTTGATAGTTCAAGCGAGTGTTATTTGGTACCTGGGTATGTAGGGTAGGTATTAATATATTAATGTGAGTTGGAATAAATAGCGATGGAATGAATAACGAGTGATATCATGGACTCTCTCTTCCTGTACCAACTATAAACGGCGACATCGTCATGTTATATATTGTAAACATCCCTTGTCGCTATTCGCTACCCTAGCCCCCTCCCATATTAGCTACCTAATGTATGGCACCGTCGCAACAAAGTCGGCTGTGTTTGATGTCTCAAAACGTGTATCTCTCAACGGCAGATACGACGTTGCATGCCAATTTTCGGTAGCGATTTTGAAGGCCGCCGACCCCAATCAGCCCGATTCGGGTAGGCGATCATCTCGTATTTCGCCCCCCAAGGGTCTCGTAGGCGCTGACTGATGGCGGATGACGTACATGCATGAACGTCGCGACCTTTCATCTCAGCCCGAAAGTAAGGCCGGCCATGTAATCCGGATGCTATTTGCTGTTTGTTGGTGGTATCGTAACTTAAATAGAACCGTAAATTGAGACAAACATATAGATTGCTGACGAATAAGATCCCTTTTTACCATTCCCATATCGATCAAATTAGAGATCGGCAACGGTCTAGAGATGGCGAGTTTGCTACTACATCGGGAATCCCGTCAATCCGCGAATCTCTTTTCAGTAGCAAGTCCCAAATTGGTAGGCTTAAGTAGGTATTAAGTAATAGCATATGAGAACATATGGCAGATATAACCACGAGTTAGATGTCAGGAACAGTCCCATCACAAGGCGAATACTTGACCAGAGTCATACATCATATCATGGTATCTAGACCCCTGACCCGCATACTACAATATACTACTGTATAAGCAGGTATATCATGCATATTATTGCCCTATCTACAATCCCCCGCCGGTAGATCCCAGAACCCGCTGTCGAATGGCCTTGAAACATCGTTTATTTCGTCAGTTTCATCAGGGGTAGCATGTTTATGTGCCGATTTCGTTGCCTCACTTGCAATTAAACGTCTGACTAAGAACATATCTCCCAAATGACCTTAGCAGCCCGATTTTTGATTCCAATTTCCCAACATAGTTCTAGTAATCCAAGTATCACCACCCCGAAATTCGGGATGTGTTGAAGTCATATACGTACAAATCCTCACTCTCGTATTCCCCAAAATGAAGCCGAGGCGATCCTTTCTCACCTGACCATCACTACTAGGTAGGTAAATCTTTTTGTAAAGCACCAAGTATATTCCCCTAGGTGTCGCAAGAGATACAACGACGGCCAGATTGGCCACAATGTTACAGAGAAACAATTAATTCGGCTGCTTAAAGAGCCAGTCGCTATTCGCATCGACCATGAAATTTGTGATATTAAATTCATTGGCTGTTGTTCCATTGGTACCGTTTATGGTGCCGTTGCTGTTACTGTTGCCGTTCCCGTTCCCGTTCTCGTTTCCATTTTCGTTGTTCGTCCTCGTGTTCTCTGCATTCATCTCATTCGCGTTTGGTGGCGCCGTAGAAGCCTCGTGGCTGAATGGTAGCCGTGGTACGTTGAAGAAGTCAAAGACATCAAGGTATTCTAACTCATTCGGCGCCGGAGTTCGTGCCGGAGTCACGCTTGGTCGGCGGCTGGACACACCGACCAGAGCACGGGGTTGGCGACTAATCAAGAAATCTAGATCGAACGCGGTTCTCCTCATGTCTGCTAAAATCTTCACCGACGACGGCGTAATCCGTTCTCCCGTTTGGCCCGAGGCACGCTCGCTATCGCTATGCTCGTCAAGAACCCTCTGGAGCAGTTGGCAATATCTTCCCGCTACGGGCCAGTATCTACCCATGTCGCGGAGCGTATCTACCAGGAAGGCAATCTGTGGCGCCAACTTGTGTTCAACTGTTGAGCCGTGAACGAGCAGCAGTCGTGCAGCGACCCATAATGTGAAGGCGAAAGGTGGGCCAAGTTTGTTCAGCATGCCATTCTGTACCACAAATTCACCGAGGGCCGCAATATTTTCCACAGCCCCGAGGCAACGTTGGCTGGCGCTGTAAGACGGGGTGAATATGGGCGACCGGGTGGTTGGATACGCCGCCGACGAATGCAAACGAATCACAGCCGTGTGGTAGGTGGCATGCAGCATGACCCACCCGCAGTTCAGCGTCTTGCTACCGCCAGGTTGGAACAATTTAGCCATGTTACCATACTCGCCGGGAAGTCCGAATTTCCAGGACGCCAGAAGGTTATCAAGTTCTTTGTATCGGAGTTGCCATTGCTCGACGTCGCCCAATGCGCCGATGTCGACAGGTTGCTTTAGGAACTCGTGGATCTTGGAAAGTATGCCAAGTATTTCGATGTAGTACGAAAAAGCCCCTAGATTTTCCGGTTTGTTCACATCATGATCCGGGTGGTCTGAACGACCTTGAGTGTGAAACCATCTCGTCTCAACTTTTTGATTCTTAATCCACAAGTCATCCCGACAAGGCAGCGTCCGGTCGATTTCCTTGTCGCCGAGTGCAAAGTCGAATGCGGTAGCGATCATCGCATATCGGTCTAGGAGGTATATCATCCAGAACAGTCTCCGCCTCGACTCCTCTTCGATAAAATCTTTCGGCTCTGGTAGGACCATAGCTCTCAGGGTGTATATCGACGCATAGTTAGGCGACACGGAAAGCGAATTACTTTCAACAGCTAAGCCCAACTGAACGACAGAACGAGTGATCAGAGCCATGATATTCCAACCCGGTGGACCATTGCTACTTCCACATAAATCTAATGCTAGGATCACCAGAGCCTGTAATGCCTTAACGGATGAGTTCTCCATGCCATAGAGCAAGACTCTCTGTTTTGAGACGTCATGATAATGCCTCCTTTTCTCTTCCGTGAGCCGCGGATCTGTTGAATATCTCAAAGTTGCAGCGACGATGGAATGAAGAAGTACTTTGTCAGTATCGTCCAATGTAGACGGCCCAAACAATGAGTCTAACGTGGTCTTTCTGTGTAATATAGGACACCAGGTATTGATATGTTTGAAGTATAAATCAACTAGGGCATATAGCAGATCATACGGAGGCAGGTCTTGGTCGGTTTGGCCTTGGGGACCGTTCAGGGCCGGGGACCGAACCTGCTGTTGCTGCTGGGCTTGATTATAATACTCCTGAGCTGCTGGGCCTGGCTGAAGGTTATTTCCTAGTTGGTTGGGAGGAGAGATGCCGGCCATTGGCATCTGCGGTTGGAAGCCATCATGCATAGAATGCATAGACGGAGTCGACGATGGTATGCCGAAATCCACATGCTGCGACGACGAAGGAAACGTCGAGGGTTTCTGTAAAAACAGAGCAGTCTCAGCCTGAGGGGTCCTGATAGAATCGTTAGGCCGAAACAACGGCGCAGGTTCGCGCGGAGTGCCGTGGTCGCTAGGTAAGCTCGGGTTACTGTTGCGCACACTCGGGGCGACGTTATGGTGAGCGTGGTTGACGAAGGAACTCTGTAAAATCTCGGAATGAGACCTCAATATCTCTTCGAGCTTGTCGAGCCTCTGTTCCAGCTCTCTTCCATAGCCAGCTCTAAGCCCAGGCTTTTTGCGTTCGCGATATTCGCAGAAGACCGAGTTCCGCCTGCACCAACCACATGATGGCTGTCCACGATCGCATTTTACCTTTATGCTTGTCAGTAATTAGTAATCAACGACGACGCAGTATAAGTTCGTCATTATCGACTATTAAGTAGATGAATGTATACATGTTCATGAGGATTACGCACCTTTCTCTGTTTGCACGTTTCGCAGCTTTATATATTCGGAATGTTAGTATATGTCTTTTACTTTAGGTAGAGTAAGTAGATTATGATATGTACTGATGGGATGATGAGATGATATGAGATGGAATGAGATTAGATCAGATGAGTAAGAATGCGGAGGCGAGGTGAGGGATGAGACTAAGATCAGACGGTGATAGTCAAGAGAATTGGAGATTGGGGGGGATAACGGGATGAAAACACAATGATACAAATACAGCGTTGATCTACATCCGATGCATAAATAGACGGATGTAGATGGAGATACACCATATGTATATGTGAGATGTCGATGCAGTGTGAGATGTAGGCAATATATAAGAAGATGATAATAGAATAATAATAATAATAAAATAAAAAAAATAAGATGTACAATTACTTACGAAACTGAGATCGGTCTCTTGCGTTTTCCGCTACGCACTGCGCCGGAGCTGTCGTGATCGTCGTCTTGATCATTCTCGTCCCCGCTCTGCAGTGCGTTATTACCGTCGTCGCTGTCAGGTTCCTGTTTACTTTGCAGCGACACGTGGTTTTGCTGCTGTCCGTTCTGAGACTGAGCAACGGCCTGCATCATTGTCTCGGTGTCAATTACAAACTCTAGGCCTCTGCAACTCGGGGTTTGTGCGCGACAGCATCGCGCGAGTTTGGGTCTTTTCTCGGGTTAATGTTGAGTAGAGGATAGCACCGTGTTAGGTGTTAGGTCTTCTATGGAAATGGGGCTGGGCTTTCGGCCTTCTGGCTCCTGGTTGCTGGCTGCTGGCCTTGCTGAATGCTGGCTCTGCCTCGGCTTTGACCTTAGGTCTCGAACGTCTTTTTTAGGGTCTCGGGAAATTGTGGATTATGGGGGAGAAGACGGGAAAAGTTGAAGAGAGAAAAAAACCGAATTTAAAAAATGACTATGCCAAGATAAAATTCTAAAAAAGACTCGAATGGTGCTAATATTCGAAACTAAATAGTACTAATAAATTTCCTTGTGAGCTCCATAAACTCGTGATTGGAATCTCATGCGCTTGTAATTCGCAGCTATCGTAATACCTGACTAGTAGTTATGTAGGAGGTAGGTAATGGGCATAATAATATAGTAGATGGTTCTATGTATTCATCGCGATGGAGCTATAGAGAAAAGAGGAAGAAGAGCACGCTGTACCAAGAAAAAGCATGGATAGATCGGTCGACGATGGATGGCTTCCGAAGAGGACCGGGCGGCATTACTGTTCCGATACGATTATACGATAGACGTACTCTGTAAACCCCATTTATATCCATATATCGGAGCCATATATGGTAGGTAGGTATGTAAGTAGGTCTTGTCTGTAGGCTGTAGGCTGTATGTCTGTATGTCTTCCCGTTTGTCTCGAAGGCTAGGCTACCAAGGCTGGTTGATACTGGTAACCAGACTGCAGGACTGGCAGATTGCCAGATAGCCAGACAACCAGCTGAGGAACTTGGTGATTACGGTGAAGGTGACAGCGGTGGGAAAAGGTCAAGCAGGTGATATTGAACACGGCCGGGAAAAATGAAAGCCGTGGTTCGTGGTGACCTACTCGCATCATATCCGGTTCTTCATTTCTCTAGCGTCCTAGGAAACAAGAAGCACGTTTGCTACTGGTCCAAGGATCGCTATCACCATTTGCGGGGGAAAGTCAGTGCATGGGGAATGTCTAGGATTGCTGGAATTGCTGGGATTGTCCGGAGGTGTGGTTGGTGTGGTTATGCAACTTCGTGGAGGAAAAAGGAAAAAAAGTTGGGGAGAAGAAAAAGATGAAAAGGGGGGGCCACAGAGTGGAGGAGGTTCTTATGCGGAGACCAATGACATATTCCCGTTCAGGGGTTACTCCTTGGCGTTTACAGGGATTGTTCCCCATATGGACTAGTGCGCGAATATATTATGTTCGGATCAGATTCCGTCATGTATCATGTATTCTATACAGAGTACCTACTAGGTACATGGATGGATACTAACATATGTAATATGTATGTAAATCTTAATTGTTACCTAACATTGAACTCAACCTTGAAATGTTGACCAACTTGATCTTCTTAATGGTAATTGCCTCAAAATACCAAAATACGTCAATCTAGATTCGATCAGTTTTGATGCTGACTTGCTTTCAATTCGGCATCGTCGCCATCTTAGCTAATCATGCTAGCTAAAATCATGCTAGTCAGGGCAAGTAGTTGTGCTACTGTAACCTTAGCCTTAGGTAGGTAAATACGGATACCTTAGATTCTTAAGGTATCATGGAAAATCCCGATGCGATAGAACCATCCATCTCATCCACCCTATCCATCCTATCCATCCTATCCTATGCGAGCCGACCACTACTCTGCTACATTAGGCGGGCAACTCTCCGTACCCTAGGATTCCGTTCCATTCTCGGCAGTGTTCCCCGGACGAACTGCCTCTGTTAATCTGCCGGTTGTTCACTTACATACTTCCTTGGCCTTCCTGCTTTCGAGTGCTTCCTGCACTCAGCATCTATTTCGGTATTCTGATCATTCCAACGAGAGCGCTTTCTTGTTAGACGCTTGCATTCTGTAGCAATCGTCCGGTTCGGTCTTTTACACCTTCGGTCACCTGATCTAGAGGCCTGCCTGCCTGCCTAGGTAGCCTTCTCTTCCGTCTTCGAGTCGGGTAGTCCCGTCGCCGTTTGCAGCGCGTTGGCCGCCGGCGGACTTAAAAGGTAGTCCGATGGAATCAATTTCGCCCTTGCCACCGGGTTCAATGTGAGGCCGAACCCGGGCTTGTCAAGGTCTGCCGAAGTCAGATAACCCTTAGTCGGGATAGGTTCGTCGAGGAATAGGTCGCCAAACACCGGAAGGACACTTTTTCCATCGGCGGAGTTCGCCAGGTACTCCTGGAAGGGAGTGTTAGGCTGCGAGATGACAAAGTGGTAGCTGTAAGGGCCGCTCGCGTGAGGCACCACGGGAATGTCGTACGCCGCAGCCATCGCGGATACCTTCAGCAGTTCCGTCATGCCACCCAACCACATAACATCCGGTTGGATGATGTCCAGGTTACGGCCCTCAATCAACTTACGGAATCCGTACCTCGAATATTCATGCTCTCCTGTCGTGAACTTGAGGGTAGGGTGGGCTCGCTTGATTTGTTCGAAGCCGTCCGTGTCGTCCGGGCTTAAACACTCCTCCCACCAGTTGATGTCCAAGCTCTTACACTTCTCCGCGATTTCGATAGTATACGGCACGTTCAAGCTCATATAACAGTCGACCATGATAGGGAAGTCTGGCCCTACGCTTTCTCTGTGCTTGCGAAGGAACTCGATGTTCTTCCTCAGACCCTCGTGGCCGTCGGCAGGGCAATAGGGTAAAGGCACCTTGGCGCCCCAGAATCCCATCTCCTTAGCCGCTACCGGCTCCGGTCCCGTACAATAGAAGTCTATGCGCTCCCTCGCGGCACCGCCGATAAGCTTATATACCGGCTCATTTCTCAGCTTTCCTATCAAATCCCATAGAGCCAGGTCGATGACCGAGATGATGGCTATCGGCAATCCCTTACGGCCGTAGAACATAGAAGCTCGGTACATCTGCTCGAAAAGTAGATTCGTATTTCTGGGATCGGCCCCGATAAGGAATCTCTCGAAGTGCTTGTGAACAATCCAGCAAGCCGGTGGGCCTATATGAGAAGTCTATATATTAGTATTCATTTTTGTTCATTTTTGTTCATTTTTGTTCATTTTTGTTCATTTTTGTTCATTTTTGCTCATTTTCGGTATATCGTCGATGCTAAACACGGATAGTTGATCGACTGAGGAATGTCTTCGTACCGCCAAAGCCCGTCGCAAAGCCTACAGTGCCATCGCTAGCCTCGATCTCGATAAGAAATGAACCTAAGACGTTGATACCCCAGCTAGTTCTCGATTTCTTATATTGGTCCCAGATAGAGCAAGGTGTCGAGATATCCGTATCGATCAGCCTGTGATCCCACATTTATTAATTAGCATCGCCGTCTCAAGGTTGTCCACCCGGATGACTGTAAAACTTAAGAGACGTACCAATGGCCACCTTTAACATTGTGATAGTCACCACCTAGATCGAGTTAGTTAGCTTCGATTCATCATCCCCCGCCTCCCCGACTCAATCTCTTCCCCCCAAACTGGTTGCATACCTGAGCCTACACCACCAATCACAAATGATCGGACAGCTTTAATGGTGGGAAACTGCCTCGCCGAAGCCATTTTGATCACTTCGTCTTATGGATATACCGTTTTTTCTATGTTATTTCTTCTATTTATATCGACGACCAGACTTAGACCTAATAGGTAGTGGAAAAGACGAAGAGGGGATAGAGTCGGATCGGCAGAGGCGGCAAGAGCTATAATGACAAACACCACTCAGGATCTAAGACACGTCGTGACCGGAGTATTAATACGCATAGGGAGACACAAGGCACCAGCGTCAAGCTCGGCTTCCCGGACAACGACCTCCCCTGTGCTTCTGACGAAAGGACCACAAAGACCGAGGAGATCCGTCAGGGCAGTGGGGTGGTTCCTGGGATAGCCATGGAAAGCCGTCCTAGCTCCTTGCATTCGTCCCAACAGACGCTTCTTCAACGGATGATTGGCATACGGATTATTCGTTCTAGTTAGTAGTACGTGTATCGGTAGCCAATCCCCCGACAATGACTAAGGGACGCCGGTCTCAAGCCTTACGAAGACCCTTCGTTCACTTAGTTCACTTAGTTCACTTAGTCAAGGGGGGGGCCCTTGAGCTTCCGGGTTTATCGTACCAGGTCCAAGTCACGAGGTCAATAATATTCTGCAGGTCGATACTATCCTGCGTTATCCTACGTACAGGATGCATATTAGCTCGTTCTATAGGTCGACAATCCATATAAGTGAGGCGTCTGTTCTAGACGTGAGGTAGTACGCCGTGTATACCCCGCGACGGATTGGCAATATTTCCACTAATACTAAAGTGAGGATGAGCGATAAGGAAACGCACTACTCTACGATGTAATGATGTTATGATGTTATGATGCTATGATGTTATTATGTGATGAGATAATTAACAACAGGTCCACAGCAGGCTTTAGAGGGAAATGAACACGTATATGACAGTATACGAATGTCTTCCCGGTCCTACTGTGCGCCCATATCTCCAAAAAAAGAGTCTAGAGAATGCCGAGGCGGATCCATGCGTCTTTAGAGCTCAGTCCCGAGCGTAAAATCTCGCTGAACATTGCACCGAGATCGTGGGGTTATGTGCTAATCGTACGTGCCAAGGTCGATAGCGTCACAGGCAAAGCGTAGAATGATTACCTAGCAGAGTTGGAGATCGTGGAATTGGTCGTGGGCATATGAATTCCTACGGTTCATATATCATCTGACGTAGGAAAGTCGACTCCGTATACTACTCTTCTATTCAAGAAGACCTATTGAGTAAACACGACGACGAATAGCAGTCTTCCGTCACATGCCAACCAAGACCCAAAGCTACCTACCCCGCTATAGAGTGCATAGAGCCCTGAATCTAGCCAGGTACAGAGCATAGCGTCGACGCCCTTGCCCTGCATCTGTCACACCTCGTTCAAGTTCTTAAACGACGACGACATTGAATCCCGGTCCTAACCTCTACCGAGTGAATCTTCACCTTCCAATTCCTCCTACCGACCGTCGCCTCTCGACCCTTGACCCAGACGACAGAATTAAACACCATATCTATCCATATCCATACACATAGAGAGGAGAAGAGAAGAGAAGAGAGAAGACGACAATCCATAGTTACCACAATCTTCAAAATGCCCGCGATAAACCTCCTAGCAGGCAAAACCGCCATCATAACAGGCGGAACCACCGGCATCGGTCGCGCCATCGCCCTCGAGTACATCCGACAAGGCTGCAACGTGGTCGTAAACCACCTCGGCCTCGCCAGCGACGCGGCGCACCTCGAGTCCCTCATCTCCGAAGCCGCATCACTCAAAGCCCTTTCCCCTCTCGAGGGCCTGACAATAGGAACCCTCGACCACATCCCCGGCGACGTCTCCCACCCAACCACGGGTCCCGCCCTCGTCGCCCGCGCCGTCTCCCTCTTCGGCCGTCTCGACATATGTGTGAGCAACGCGGGGATATGCCAATTCGCCGAGTTCCTAACATTGACGGGGGATCTATTCAGCAAGACCGTACGCACGAACCTCGACGGCGCATTCTACGTTGTCCAAGCCGCAGCGCGACAAATGGCCTCTCAACCACCCTTCCCCACAACCACAACCCCCTCTCCATTCTCCGCTCCAGCCCCGTCCTCCTACTCCCCGCAAGTCCACCGTGGGTCGATAATAGCGCTATCCTCTATATCTGCCCTCGTAGGCGGCGGCGAGCAGACGCACTACACGCCCACGAAAGCGGGCGTGCTATCGCTGATGCAGAGCTGCGCCGTGGCTCTCGGCAGCCATGGCATTCGATGCAATGCGCTTCTTCCGGGGACGATCCGCACGCAGCTCAATGATGAAGATCTCGCTGACGACACCAAGCGTGCCTATATGGAGGGCCGCATCCCGCTGGGTCGGACGGGAGACCCGCGCGATATGGCGGGTCCGGCCGTCTTCCTCGCCTGCGACGAGCTGAGCGGATACGTGACGGGTGCGCAGCTGTTGGTCGATGGGGGTTTGTTTGTGAATCTGCAGTGATTCTTGGTGATAGTCTGTTGTACCTAACCTACCTTACTATCTACTTACCTATGTAGATGAGAACTGCATAGGTACCTACCTACCCTACTTGCCTACTTGGTAGATACTCCAACAAGGCGACACCGACAAGCAAACCGGTCAGCTCGACTCAGCCAACCATCCATCCATCTTCGGGAATCCGGCCCCTTTGACCCCTTTACCCCTACCCCGACCCTGCTAACAGCCCACGGAACGGACGGTGCATACCCGACCATACCCCGCCCTAGATAGATGGCAGTTTGGCAGCTTTGGTACCTACCTACCTACCTACCTACCTACCTACCTTAGTCGTCGTTGAATAAGGCGACCACACTTCAGCCCGCTAACGAAAAAAGCGTTCCCCACGCGGAGAAAGGGGACAGAGTGACAGCCGACGTGCCTGATTCGGGCGATCGAGGTGGCGAATACGACGTGGGTAGTGAGACGTGCTAATAGGCGAGTGGGAGGTGCAGACACGCGGGCGTGAAATGGGCTGATCCGAGAGCTGAAATATATTACTCTTTAATGTGAGGCTTAAAGGTAGGGTCGGCTGGGTCGGGAGGTGGCAGTATTGTGATGTATGGTGGATGCATTTGTCGATGCTGTGGGGGTCGGTAACGTGGCCTTGTTGGTGAATATTATGTAGGTACTCATCGATTAGTTAGTACTATTCCACGTGTAAAAAATAACCAACAGTAGGAGTGTGTGTATTTAGAACTTGCTTGCACACTGAGGAATGCAGCAAGATTAGAAATGTCAATATGACGAGTTAAGATGGTAAAACAATGCTAGGTAGCCTTAGTGTATTATTGAGGTGCATAATAAGTAACGGCACAGCGATGTATGTTAATGAGAATATATAATCGATGAAAATAGCTTCATATAAATTGAGCTTAAATATAGCAGTTTTATCAAGAACGCCGTAAAATGCAACAATATCCAACATTATTTAATGAGACAGACCCCCATCCTGATACTACAAAAATCCTAATAATGCCCGAACGAATGCCCTTACTACCGCATGATCCCATGCGTGAAGAGTGTAATGTAGTGAATAGTAATAGAATGTGGTAAAATTTGGGAATGGAAAAAATATGGTATCATGAAAACATCTAAAATATAACAGTCGTAATATCGTATAAATCATGCTGTAAGCTCAAGAGGACGCTCCTCAGCGGGGCTGAAGACGGCAAGATCTTGAGCCTCTTCCAAGGTCAACTTGGGCATATCGACCAAGCGGGGCTTTCTTTGGGCCTTCATTTTTCGTCGCTCCATCTCGCGCTCAATGCCGTGGTTCACAGCATCTAGCACGGTATTGACGGTAACACGAGGCTTGTAAGCCGGTTCAGTACCATCCTGGTAGACACCGGTCTTGACCAGAATGCTATACCAGTCGTTTTCGGCTTTCTCGTTGTACTGGTTGGTGCCCCGGATATCGCTCTCGGGCGTGTCGCCGACGAAATACACCGTGTTCGGGGGAGCGTTGAGTCCGTGCTCATTCTTGCGCCATCGCTTGAGCAACCGGGTAGCGAATTCAAAGGTCCCGATCTGGGGTTTGCCGAAAGCATGGGTCTCCAGGGTCTTGCCCTTGGTGACTTCCTTAAAGGTGTATTCGACAATACCTCGGAGCGCGCCCATGCCGAGACGGACATTGTCATGGGCAGCCGACCAGACGACGTCGTTGTGAGAGAAGTAGATCGGTGGGCCCTCATCGAAGGTCTCGGAGAGGGTACCGATACGGCCACCTTTGGACATGGCTAAGTCGAGGATGATTTGCAAGTCACCGGCCCAGTCACGAGAGTCGGCAAAAACGAAAATTGCCTCGATGGTGACCTTGCTGAAATCTCGTTCCTTAGAGTTGCGATGCTCTTCGGGGGTTAACTTGCGGAATGGTGTAGTGGCAGCGTCAGCCTTGATGATGTCGCCGGGAGTGACAACGTCTTTGAAGCCGTATCCCTGGGCGACGGTACGGCATTTCTCACCCTCACCACCGACAACTAGCACCGTATTGTACTTGGTAGCCATCTCAGACATTGGTGTGTGGCCACAGATGAATTGAGCTGGAGAGATCTCAATGTCCAGCTGGCGGGATAGGTCGCCACAACGTTCGGCCTCAGTTTTACCACCGCCATTGGTTAGGAAAATGTAGGGACTATTTCAGTCAATATTTCATTCGGTATTTGAGACGCAGTACGTAAGAGATATAAGCCACTTACACCTTGATTCCATATTCATTCTCGCCGTTAAGGGCCTTCATGGCTTGGATAGCCTCGGGGATGGGTCGGCCACCTCTAACTAAGACGCCATCGATATCGAAGGCGAAGGCGAAGCTGTCTGCAACAAGTTCGTCGTCGACAGGAGGGGAGATAGGTGAGACGGCCCCATCGGACTCCGGGCTCGACGGAGTGGCGCTGGCAGTGGGGCTGAGAGACGGAGCGGTCTCTGACTCGGACGGGCTCCTGGATGAGGACTCACCGACAAGCAGCTTGCGAGAGAGATCAGTTCTCGCTGTCTCGATCTCGTCGGCAAAGCTGCCGCGGTGGAAGGTAGGTTGCTGGGGTTCTAGAGACATGGTTGATGTTGAAGTGAATGGTAATGATCGAACTCGACACGCGATATAAAAGCAAATAAGTAGTTGTGATAACTTAGAGGGGACCAGCCAGAGGGATTTTAGTCGCCGTTGCACAAGATGTCTTGAAGTGATATATATCCAATCCAAGAACACTCGGACTCGTGATAAGATGTTGGTCTGAAAGTTAAAGGGGAGAGAGTTAAGTTCATATTGAAGGCCGGGAGAGGGTATATATATATCTTTACATAAACCGACCTAATACGTATGGAATATGGAGAAGAGTGGTTCTATTTGGTACTTCGAGAGAGGTAAACAGAAAATACATCGATACCGTCATTAAACAGCATCAACAAAGAAGGAAGACTACGTATAGTGTCAAAGGATGTCAAGGAGGGCGTTGGGAATAAGTGGATAATACTATACATGTACAATGATACAATGATGTGTGTCTACATCTTTCCACCGATCTAGTAACTCTTTGTACACTTGTACCGTCCGTGGGTCAATGATGTCCATGTACTATGTAATCCTATGTAATGGCAATGTGGATGGGGGAGTACGCTTGCAGTGTGGGTCCGGCCCTATACTACCTTGCAGGGCTAGCGAATATAGTAGTAGTATACCCCTACATGACCTACTTAGGCATGTGTAAAGATTCAAGAGAGGTATACTGGTGGAAAGGCAAACAAGTTCGGTTATCGCTTACCAGGTGTTTTACACAGGCAGACAGGACAAAAGAAGAGGAAAAAAAAAAAAAAAAGAAAAATTGAGTCGCTGAGCGCGCGAAGCCAATGGAAATTGACGTACCTAGGTATTTTCTTGTTGATGCTAAACCAGATAGATAAAGCGGACTTCAAATTATAATCTGAATGCTGTTCACGTTAACGTCAGCCTTGTGGGTGCTTCACTGGTTAGTGATCTGTAACGTCGACGTTGACCCTGTGTCTCGGCTTCTGGCGCATTTGGCGCATCGATGAACTGCGCATCATTGTCTAGCTGAGCCATGATCCAGGGGGTCCCTTGACTAGGTACGAGAATCTCTCCGTAGTTCGTCTAAAGGCAGCTGGGCAGGGCATCCGTTCTTTGCATGGACCACGCCCGTAGGAGAGGCAGAGAGGTAGAAAGGTAACGGATGAGATTGTCGGTACTGTGATATCCCATACGAATACAGTACGCACGTATGTATCCAGGTATCCAGGTATCCAGGTATTATGCCGTAAGGAGGATTCGCCAATGAGGGGTCGGACCCGGTTACTAACCTAGCATATATCGAAAATCAGGGTCTCCATAAACCTCTATTATTCGCTTGGGCTGCCGAACCAAGCAAGGCCGAGTCTTGTCACACCTCGAGAGCATCGACCAACCCGACAAGTCTTCGTCGTGTGCAGAGCCAGTAATGCTAGCCTCGTCAGGTGTGGATGATGCCGTGGCCTAAAAGGGATATGATCGATTACGTAGGACGCCGCGTTTAGCAGTGCTATCTATCTGGACTTGATGCGAAGATCTGGTTTTCATACTGTACAAAGATGTAATCATGCTTCTTCGATATTTCCAGAGGGTGCCTGTTGCTGCTAGAAAATGACAAGGGTCATGATTGGGCGTAGAGATTCTCTGGCTGATTCGACCCGCGTGTGGCGTATCCCTGCCGTATTTCCTAAAAAGAAAGAAAAAATAAAGAAAAAAAAAACGAGCCCGCCCGACGGGCTGTCATCGGAATAATTATTCAGGCCTGGCTGATACATAGGTATTCGGGTAGCATAAGGTCCGTGAAGAAATTTCTACAGGACTTGCAGAAATGCCTCGAAGGAGATCTGTCACTCAAAATAGGCCTTGAATCTGGTCGAGGTAAGCAAGCGACCAACTTGGTTTGGCGCTTGAAGCACGTGTTAGGTAACTCTTCGCTTGAAGCTAGAAAGATTGACGGCGGCGGTGCTTTTTTTTTTTTTTTTTTGACTCGGGCCGTAATATAGAACGACTCAGGATAGCATCGAAGTCGACGTTGGCTGCGTTGGGTTGCCGATATGCCACCATTCTAGTAGTCTAGTATTTTGGTACATTATACCAACAAAATATGGTTAAGAATTGTCGACAACGTATCAACCCGTCTTGATCCGCCGTTTTTGTGTTGCTTTTCCTCGTTACACAACTTGAAAGGCATCAGCCATGTCATGTCCAAAGCAAGGATCTCTGATAGATCGGACCGAGAAGCCAGGCTTCTGGGCGTTTTGGGTGTTCCAGGTTGTATGTTGTATGTTATATGTTATATGCTGTCTGTATGTTGCAATGCTTTCTTAGGGCGTCTTACATGCCTAATAGGCCTGAGAGAATGAAAGAGCGCGTTTACAAAGTACCTTGTGAGCTAAATGAGATAGATCTGGTACGACGGAGCGGTTAGAGAAGGGGTACAAGTTCGCATAGTCGGAGAAAGATAGGACAAACGAAACGAGTTGATTGGATGATTGGATGATTGATGAAAAGTTGAAGGTCGGTTGTTTAGCGGTTAACGAATTGGCGAAGAGTAGAAGTCGGAACAGCCGCAGAGGCTCTGACGTCAAGCGCCTCCAAAAGGTGGGTTTTATATGGGGACTGTTTAAAATATTTTTATGTTCAATGTTATGCCTGTTTAGTTCGGTGTTTTTAACCCTCCAGTCCTTTGCACCACTCGGCACATTAACCAGTCTTTGGCCGATACGCCTCTTTACGCCCAGATAAAACCCCTCCTCCTTAAAGTACGTACTGGCCCATTTAGGTAAGTTGGGTCCGTGCTTAGTGCCCCTCCCCTGAACCTTCCCCCCCCCTCTCCCCCAAATTGATGGCCCCCACATGTGCATCTGGCTGTCTGGGCAGAAACCCCTCTATCTTTTTAAGACTCGATGCCCCTGGAGATCCATTTATAAATCCACCTTTCACTATAAAGTCGAAATATTCGATATAGTCCAGACTACGGATAACCTCTTGGGGTAAGAGACGGGACAATCAGCCTGTTAGACGGTGCTTCAGCGGCGGTTATGACGGAAAGGAACATCTTCCCTTTCCGGATGTATCTCCCCATTGAAACCTGAAAGATCTAATGTTAGACAGGTAACAATGAAATCTTTTCGATCCTAGCAGCATAGCAACCTGGCTACATGACTGTCCAGTATCCTATCTAGGATTCTAGGTACCTACATTGAAGTATCTCTTCTCTAACTTGTACATGTCCAGAGAGACAGGTGTACCTTCGAGACCGAGTTAGCTACCTAGGTACATTAGCTACATGTACGTCTGCTAGGTAGGTAGATAATGTGAGAGTTGCGGTGAGAGTCGACGGCATATGCCTGACAGGTATGTAGATACGTTATCTTCGATTCGGATGCTAATGTCTAGGACCCTTAGGTGTCTAACATCTAACTGGTTTAAGACACTAGGGGATTCGTGTACGAATTCGAGATTTATTATACCATTAGCAAAACAACGGCTTGATCAGAAAGCCCCTCGAATAAGCAAGGTGATCGTCGCAAGACATCCATCGACGTGCGTGTCGTTACCCAGATATTTTGCTCCTCCCCCGGACCCATCGTTCTGGCGAGTCCACGATTTCCCCAGACGTTTTCTGCCTCTAAGCACCGGACGGGCGGCCGTTGGGTTCGTCTTGAGTATCTGATAGGCACTGCCGTCCTTCTCAGCGCAGTATGAACCCACTATTAGCATGCAAAATTGCTGATCATCTTGGGGAGAGAAGTCCACGAGCGCACAAAGATCGATGATTGCTTATTACTAAGTTATTAGCGTTGTCTGAAACAGGGAAGTCATAAAGGGAAAGCACATGATTCAAGGTGTTGAAAACAACCGACCCTTACGGATTGCTATAAACGGTTAGGTACGTTAATGTCAAGTCTAAAATTCTACGAGCCCCATTGTTCTCCTTGTGTTCCTTGTGTCCCTTGGTCCCTTGTCTAGTTTAATATTGACATCCCATATTTCTTGATAGTTGTGGGTATAATGGTTGGATATCTCGATGATTGCTGTCAGCATAGCCACCCTCAAAGATGAGGGGGACGGGTGATTCCACCGAGACATCAATAACCGTCGCTTGCCGTCGCTGTCGAAATATGACAACATATAATACCTATTACATAGCTGCATAGCACAGTAGCTCTATGTAGGTATTGTACATTCGATTCATACGAATGGAACTTTACGAGTCGAGGGGGCCTAGGACCTAGATTGTCATATGCCTCCGACGGTCTGAACCCATGAGAATGCATTGCCTTACCGGGCTATCTATATATTGCCTAATACGATACTCAGTCTATCACATGAGGCAATGTGCATGCTTCTCTAAAGAGATGTAAGACTAAACGACCGGTTGAGGTAAATTAAAAGCACGGGAAGCTATTCTTGAATCGTGTTAAGGTGATGATGCGTGCCATAAACTCAATCTTCATTGGATCTAACTATCCTATTCCGTTTCTGGGGTCTTCGATATTCTAGCTAGGTACCTAGAGGTAGAGGTAAGCATGCGGCGTTCAATGTTGCCATGCCGCATCAAAACCTACTCGAATTGCGGAATGCCACCTATCATGCATGATGACGTCCGAAACAAATAGCGTACACTTATCTGAGCCCTTGAAGATAAAGGGGTCAAATACCTTAGGTACCTATACGCAGTAAATTCGATTCCACAATTGAAATAAACGTATAACCGTCGTCAGCGACCCATCATACGCGACACTTTGTCATACGAGGAAGTTTTGAAACGGAGTAGTCTTATCAGGCAACTACAGATGATGACAATTGATGTTTGATGATGAAGCGGACTTGGCGGGGCAAGGGCTGAAAGAGAATCCACCAGGCGGTGTTCTATTGAATGGATGTACCTATTTAATATCCAATCGTCGATTCGTTATTCCGTCGATTTACGATTTACGATTTACCATGTATGTATACCATAAGATAAGGGGAACTAACGACGGAGTGTGTGTGGATATAATATGCGTTCGAAACTAGGGTAAGGCAGGGTGAGGGTCTCACCAGATTTCCTCCAGTCATATTTTCCGACACATGTGAAAGCTCTACGCTGTAAAATTACCCGCCTCGAAGCATCCATCGATGTGTGGCTTCCTGCTTGATGACGACTACATCGCCGTACGGTGCCGTAGCGCGGTTTGAATTGCTTCTTGGCAGGCGGAGGACGGCGCTCATACAAATGATGTCTTATTTCTCTCGAATCTTTTTTTTTTTCATCTTTCTCTGGTTCCGAAAGTGGTTCTCCTGTGATAAATACGTGGATCAGATGGATTAATCATTCCTCCATCGATCCGAAAGGATGACTCTGACTTTCCCCCCTTGCTTTCATGTACCTAGTCAGCTAACACCAACTAATTCATCCAATCGCAGGAATCGACCGAACCGAACTCGTACTCGAACCCAGAGTTGATTGTCTTGGCAACCTTGAATAGAGGCAAATGCTATCAGCTATCAAGTAACAATAATGGTATTAAACGTGCTAAAGATGCTACGTAGTATAATGATCCTGAACGATATAGCGGCGAGTTTGCTCGTTCCCTGTTATGATGCCACATGGCGATACGATAAGGTATAAGATCGTCATCGTCCCTCGCGTCCTCCAACACCCGTCGATCCATCGTCGCTACTATCGACACTCAGCTATGTGAACTCGTCGTCGTCCAAGTCGCATTCCGCTCTTCGCAGAAAAACCTTTTTCCGCAGAGCCGCCACACCATCCGCGGACCTGAAGCAGCAGACGAACCATCTGCCAACTAACACGATGCCGATCCACCCTGATCTACCCGTTGCACCGTCCCTCTTTTCCTATTCCTGGGTTGGGGCACATGTACGCATACATGTACATTGTACGTACATCTGAGTCATCACCTATCAATCAACGACTTCTCCTTTTCAACCATTTTAGTGATGAACGGTTGGGGATGACAGATTCATGCCGTCGACCTCGGAACCAAGCAAACTAAACTGTACGTAACAACGGTTGCGACACCAACAATTACCTAGGTAGCTGCCTGGTACCTAGTACCTAGTATGATAAGTGACGGTACCGGCATACGAGCAACGGGAAACGCGCAACGGGGTAGTTGAATGCGAATTAGTTCAATTAACCAGATATTGCCTTGGTGGTAAGACGCTTACCGGTAGAATCAGTAGAGGTAACAGTAACGGCGAACGCTGTAATTCTACTAGGTAGAAACAAGGACCATGAAAAACATTCTCTATACCTAACTCTCAGCATCGGTCCATGGATATTCTCCATATGGGGGTTGTAGGACCGCTTATTCCATGCCCCTTCTCAGCAACTCGGAGACCATAATCTGACGTTTGATTAAACCTGCATAATCTAGACTGACTATCTGTTTTGTATAACGTCGTGGTAGTTATAGAATCTCTAAGTTTAGACTTCCTAATAGTCACATCAATATAGCGTCAAGTGGTATTGTGGTAACATCCTGCATAGGTAGGTAGGTAGGTAGGTAGGTACCTAGTTATCCAAATATCAAACTACAACTATAACGGTGTCCTTCCAGAATCCTCCAAATACCTTGTCCATGCCTCGACGAATTATTAACGAGAACCAGACTCTCGATTTGGATCCGTGTCTCTACAGTAGATATCGCCCGCCTCCGTCCGAACTATTTGAAATTTGCAGTATACGGCTATTGTTGCGTAAGTAAGTACTCACATACGTGTATACTATGTAAGTCACTAGATACATCAGCTACTTACCTAAGGTACCTAATATTTGTATACGGATCCTCAAGTTTGTAACTTATAGGATCCATGGATGCTATTCGCATGAGGACCCAAAGCAGACATTCCCTTGAATAGACCCTAGGACCTACCTTAACCCAAAGTAAGCACGACATTACTATATCGTACTATATGCAGTATCTCCCATCTTTAACTATTTACCTATCACCAATATTTGAACCACCAGCCACAATGCACTCACGACTGAGTAGGTACCTAGTTGAGGGAGTGAAGCTTTATGTCGTTGCAGCAGCTGTAACCGTGATGACCTCATCTCCCTCCCGTCTTTTATCACAAGCAAGTTTTAATAGCCAGTAGATATTTTCAACTTTTTTAATTCGCTCTCATTTACGAGGAAGATGAAATCCCCAAATAAGTTTAATTTTTGGAGGGAAAAAAAAAAAAAAAAAAAAAAAAAAAAGCTCCTTTCCCATACCAGCAGTAAGCAGAGAAAATAATATCCACCGGTCTCCGTCTACCGAACTTTCGTGCGACGTGACGTGCGATGCACCGCCGAGCGAAAGGGAGACGAGATCTGCAATGTTGAAATGCTGTTGTTGAAACCAAATGATGCGAATGAGGCCATCACGAAAAAGCCCGAGGGTTTCCAACCTCTTTATGTTTGTATGCGGAAGCCATCCGAGAACTCCCCAATGCTACCCTTCCCGCATGTCATGTCATACCATACGTGCCTAGCCGCCCACGTCGCCATGTCGCCCGCCTTGCTCGATGACCGGGGGGTCTGGTGAGGGGGTTGAGGAGCCCGACTGCTGCGTCACAAAAGGGAGACAAGATGAAGAATAGTATGCCACCCCCCCAATATCTTAAATTTGAATCTTTATAGTTAGTCTTTTTTTTCATATCAAAAGATTCCCTCGCCCTGCCACGGCTACGACCTCGAAAATGCACCTCGACGTCATTGCTTCTCATCCCAAGGGAGAGGGTACGTTCCTACCCAGTCCGAAACCTCTGCGCGTAGCTGTACAATTTCCGGATCTTCCTCGCCGGTGCCAAGGAAGTCGAAGAAGAATTTTAATTTGTATTTTTCGTCTTTTTCCTTTGCGGCGTTGCGAGCCGCCTTATCCACCCTGGACGCGATTGTCACGGCGCGATCGATGATGTCAGCTACCCTAACAAAGTCGCTCTCTGTGAAACCGCGCGTTGTCATCGCCGGCGTGCCTATGCGCAGACCACCTGGTACCATCGCCGATTTGTCACCGGGCACCGTATTCTTGTTGCTGGCTACGCCCACGACCTCTAGCACTCGCTCGACTCGGGCGCCGTCGACGCCTTGGGGCTTCAGGTCTACGAGGACAAGGTGGTTGTCCGTGCCGCCGCTCACGATTTCGTATCCGAGACCCCCATTGGCTTTGGACGCTCCCAACCGATTCGCAAGGGCTTGGGCGTTGGCAAGGACCTGTTCCTGGTAGGTTCGGAATTCAGATGTCTGGGCCTGTTTCAACGCGACAGCTAGTGCTGTGATAGTGTGGTTGTGAGGACCGCCTTGGTGACCCGGGAACACCGAGTTGTTTATGGGGTTCTCTAGATTATATAATATCTCTTGCTTTGTCTTGGGGTTAACTTTCCTTACACCCTTCCTAAAGAAGATCATGGCACCCCGGGGACCTCGTAAACTCTTGTGGCTCGTAGTTGTTACGATATCCGCGAAGCTAAAGGGGCTAGGGATGACCTTGGCCGCGAGGAGACCGGAGATGTGGGCGATATCGGCGACCAGGTACGCGTTCACCTTATCGCATGTCTCCTTGATGGCCTTGTAGTCGATAAATCTACTGTAAGCGCTTGCGCCGGCAACGATGATCTTGGGTCGGTAAAGTTGCGCGAGCTCGTCTAACTTCTCGTAGTCGATCAAACCCGTCTCTTCGTTTAACCTATACGGAACCGTCTCAAAATACTTGGACACGGCGGAAATCTTCTTGGTGGGAGTTTGGTATCCGTGGGAAAGGTGACCTCCGTGAGGCAGATCCAATCCCATGAGTCGATCGTGGGTATCCATTAGGGCAGAGTAGACGTATAGATTCGCGGGAGCACCAGATAGCGCTGTTCGTCGTAACAAATCCCTGATCGTTAGCTATATTGCACGACAGTATAATTGTCATTCGTATAGATAGAATAACTCACGTTGGACATTGACTCCCCATTCCTTCTCATCCAAGCCAAATGTCTCCAGCGCTCTTTGCTGACATAACCTTTCCGACTGATCGATGAACTCATTGCCTGCGTAATACCTCGCTCCTGGATAACCCTCCGAGTATTTGTCTGGTCGGACGGTTAGCTTGGACACGTTACATAATCATCGTAATCTCTCTTCGTACTTTGCATTGGGCTGCCTAACGCATCAAGGACGGCTTGGGAGGTGAAGTTTTCGGATGGGATAAGATTGATAAAATGCTTCTGTCGGGTCTTCTCTTTTTCGATAATATCAAATACGGCGGGATCGGCTTCTTGAAGACGAGCTGAGAGCAACTGCGCAGGCGAATTAGTATAACCTCGATATTATACTTAGGTGCGCGACTGTGAGTGGCGTACTCGTTGTTGGACATCTAACTTAGAAGACGATTGAGCCCTCCTCGATACACATTGGACTGTTCTTGACATTGGCCACCTCGGTAAAGATCGGATAGCACGAGAGGTGCCTCGTAAGGCGAGAGCGGGTAGAGACATGGTGAATTGATCGATGAAGCCTCGTCAATTACCGTCGTCTATGAAATGACCAATGTCGAATGTCGAATATCAAATATCGAATATCGTGTATCGTGTATCGTGTATCGAGTGTCGAGTAATAAGTAGCGTAGCGCAGATTGGCGCAGATTTCTAGATTCGTCGTTTACAGAATATCCCACCACACTGAATATGTACAAAAAAAAAAAAAAAACCTCTATATCTTCATAATGATGAAAATAAATTGTATTATTATTAAATGAAGTGACGCTTTCTTAAGTTTTCTTTATTTCGCAAAAGCGTAGTCGGCTTTAGGGTGTTTGCTTCCCTCACCTTTTGCGGAGTATCTAAAGAAAGCGGGATCAATTGACCAAAAGTCTGGGCTGATAGGAAATAATCAGCCTATCGTGAGCTCACCATTTGGAAGCTTCAATCTTTTCACTACCTACTAAGCTGCTTCCTAGTTACTCCGAACTCTATCTGCTCCGAAGGCGGGGTCTTCAAAGTTGATTTGAATGATTTGAATGACAGAACAGGACAAAGCTGAGGAAGGCGGGGAACTCTCTAACCTAATCGCACACCTCAATCCCTAATCTAGTATAGTTTTCACGTGACCGCGTAACATGCTGTGATATGAAATCCGAGCTTGCCCAAATTTCTTCCCTTTTTTTCTTCTTCTTCTTCTTCTGTATCAACTAAATTGGGCGTGACGAGCTCCGCTTCAATTAATCAAATTCGGATTCCGTTGTTTACTCTCACGAGTATTTCAGCGGGAGCATGTTGATATGTCTCGGGCGGCACCTCACCACCTTAAACGAGACAATTTGAAGAAATCTGATCCAACATAGTTGATCTTGCTGATATTTTTGATATCTCATATTATATTATCTTGCTTCATTCTATTTTCCCCTTTGGCATCTATAGTTACACACATATCTCAATAGCGATTTAATTTCAGTTCAACAGAAACCTGGATTAGAAAATTGAATTACTAAGGATAGAAGGGATATCTATACAACTATCTGGATGGCTTGTTTGTCTACAGCCGTCGTTGATGCTATTCAGACAATGGGAACATCTCAATATCCGGAGCACATATAGATGATTTAGTACCTATGTTTTGACTCTAGTTTGTGTTAAGCCATATTTAGACGCTTCAGCTTCTGATATTTTGAGATAGACTAAGTCGTGATCTATAACGACTTGAGAGGCCATTTTACATGAAAACGTTTCAATATTTTGGGAGGCTTGTTCATCTTTATACTCTACGTGAACCTTTAACTGACAAGCGAAAGGTATCGCGAACCTACAAAGTACTCATGTCACCGTCCCTAAATTCATCAAGTTCATATAGCCAGGAGGGTTTTTTTTTAAAAAAAAAAAAAAAATTCAGGCGTCAAAGATCATTGATTCCGTTTTCAGTGCCATACATGCAAAGCCCGGCGGTGGAAGCATTACGACCGATGGGCGCAAGGAAATAGAGACCCAACCATATACGCCGAATGCAGCCGTCTCAGATTCCACTAATTCATATGACCACACTCCTAGCTCTTCTATGTAGCTTGATCGTGTGCATATTTCATCGCATCCCATAGTCCGTGATTTACGCCTCTTCCTCTTCACCTGCCAGCGCATTTCGCTTCGCCGCCTGTCTCTCCAACTTGCGCTCACGGGCAGCCTTGTTCTTCTGTCTCTTGGCGTCCATCTCTTCCTGGAGAGCACGCTCGCGGGCCTTCTCAGCCTTGGCACGGTGGATCTGTAGTGATTTATGTTAGAGAAATGGTTCCGAGAGATATGGGATAGGACGAGTAAACGTACGTGCTCGACGAGGGCGCGCTTGTGCTTGAAGGTGTTACCCTTGCTAGAGTGGTACAGCTCGTGGTAAAGGTGCTTGTCGATCTTGCCGCTAGCACGGTACTTGACCAGGAGACGTCGGAGAACTCGGAGACGTCGCATCCATAGAACTTGTCTATCCCGTTAGGTTAGCCATTAATTCTACAACACTATCCCGCCATCGCCATCGCCATCGCCATTTATATAGCCCAGCGCATTCGAAACGGTAGGGTGGTGGTAGTGGATTAAAACATACTCAGGCATACGAGCATCGGCGGTACCCTTTCGCTTACCGAAACCTCGGTGTCGACCATCCCGTCGGGAGAGGTTTAGTTCACGGGCGCGGGATCGAGAGTGCATGGTGACAGGCTTGCGAATAATGAGGCCATCGCTAACGAGTTTTCGGATGGTCTGGCGGGAGTTGGCGTTGGAGATCTCGTTAACCTCGTTGGGGTCGAGCCAGATCTTGCGCTTACCGCATCCAATGACGGACGCAGCGAGGCGCTTCTGAGTGCGAAGATTGACCCTGAAGAAAATTCATTAGCTCGATGCTTCGTTTATGGTTTGTGGCGGTGGTGGTATAGGTGTATTGGTGAATTGGTGAATTGGTGGCGGGTGATTATCGATGACGCTACCAACCGACCGTTGAAGCTCGCGCAAAACGGATTCAACGGTCAATCAGAATAATCGAACGGGAATATCGAATGGCATCGGAATAAATGTTACATCATTTCTAATTGAATAGGCGATCTCGTTTACTTACATCTTGAATGTGGTTGCCGGTGATGGTCGAAAATTTGCTGTGAGGTTAGTAAGATTGTGAAAGGGTTGAAGTTAGAATTGAGCCCCCTCTCAGATCTTTGCACAACTAGAATTTCGTGATTGAGAAATGGGTAGGTCCTTACAAAAAAAAGAGTTTTGTGGACTGCATTGACCCAATTTGCCCAGATAAGCGAGAGGGCAGTAGTCACATGACCTTATCACATATCTTGTATTGTACATATACCTAGGTAGTATCTTCGGTGTAAGGTGAGCGGGACATGATCCGCTCCACATGCATCAATTAAATAATACCTAGTAAGATTTCTACATTCTGCCTTAGGTACATACGGTACCTACCTAGGTAGTACTACCTACATATTGTCACCACATAGGGGAAACTCAGCATCTTGCTCGAAAATATCATCAAAAATTTTATCTACCTAGGTACCTACCATGCTAAAGAGCCCTTCATACCTGGGTAATGCACATCATGCACATCATGTCCATAGCTCATCTCCCTGTACTCTGTACAAATCTCGAGATCCGGGAGACTTAATCCTGCGAAAAGACGCCGTCCCCAATTTCCACAGAACCTACACTCCATATCTCCTTTTCATCCTCAACCTCATCATTGCTTAGGCCTAGTCCACCTTGCCCACCCTCTGCATCTCTTCTTTCTCTTGCCTGGTTGCCTAGTCTGACGGCCACTCTCTTAAAGTAATCTTGCATGCTGCGTTTAGTGTTTGCTGGGAGGTCGGCCCCTGCCCCGGCCATGTACTTCTCGAAAACTTTAGTCTCCTCATCCACGACGCTGAACAGTTCTATGAATGCTGCCTCGGCCGCTAGTTTTACAGGGATGACGGGATCCCGCACTGATGCGAACACCGGCGATGCCAGTAATGGGAGATGAGGTCGGACCATCTCGAGATTCGCACGCGATACTGTGCGCACTATCACAAGAGCAAGACGGCGAGAATCGGATGGATTGCCAGGGCCTATTATTGTCGCTAGCGTCGAGAATATCGGCTTGCTTGATTCGAATGATTTTGGCGAATCTGTTAGGAGATACTTGCCGGCTGCTAGAATACTGTTGTCTGCCACGAACAGCTGCGCGTTAAAAGTTAGCGATGGATGACGTTGCATGGTAAGTGATTGAACGTACGTTTTTGTTTGACATGCCCTGACAGAGTAAATCGGGCAAGTCTTCTGCTAGTGAGCTCTCTAACAAAGTCTGCGGCGATTCCACGAAAACGGCATTGAGCGCGAGTACAGATGCGTTGGTGAAGTGATTCGTGGCTACGCGGTTCTTTAACAAGCCATGTGCTGCCTCGGGCGGAACGTTCTTAATGAGTGCGCCAAGTAATTTAGCATTGGTGACAGTCATCGCCGAGTCTGTCGTGTCGGTATCCATATCGATTAACCCTAACACGGCCGCTCGCGAACCCTCGCCCATGTTAGATCCGGCCTTGCTGATGACCTCGTATAGTGCTTTAAGCATCGCAGTCTTGACGCCTGGGTCCGACGTCTTCGAGCCGGTGACGAGTTCTGATATCAATGGGTCAACACGAGGTGTAAACTTGATTAGAGTACCTAGCGCCTTAGCAGCCCGTGATCGTAATAGGTCGCTGGTAGTATCTGCTAGCGCTCTCGCAAATGTCCGCTGGAGTTGAGGCAGGAACGGTTTAAGAGCAGTTGGCATCTTCTCAAGTAGATTGTTGAGAGTTAGTAGGATTGCTGCCTTGACATCAGTAGACCTTTCCGACACGACACGAATAAGAGGTCCGGTGATTTGCGTGACGAAAGGCTTCAGAGAAGCTTCACTCGTCCTGTCAACAATATCAGATATAGCAAGTGCGGCGCTCGTACGTTGCTCCGCCGTTCCATTCATGAGACCCTGTAGGAAGATGGGTAGGATAGCGTTGATACCCTTCGGCAACTCGAAACCTGGGAGATTTGAACCAGCGACGCCGACTTGTAATAGTGTTTGCCGGGTAGATTGTACGAGGGCTTCCATCTCTTCTTTCTTGAGCTTTTTAGTGAACTCGCTGAGTGCCGTCCACGCTGCCTTCACCACCTCCTTGTCACGGTCGTCGAACGAGATCAGGAGAGCACGTATTATGTCCTGGTTATAGCGCGAATAGTCCACAGAAGCATTGGCGAAGAAGTTGGAAAGTCGGGATGCTGTTACGGCGCGCTTGTTGTGATCATCATGCTTAACGAGTTGCAATAGAACATTCATAATGGTGTTGAGTCCATCATATTCGTCTATCGACAAAATAACCGTGTCGAACGAGTCTTCCAGATCAGTGCGGAGTTCCTCGTCTTTAGTATTCACGATGTTATCCATGAGAGAATTGACGATGTTAGGTAGACGCCTGTTCATAGCAGGACCCGCCACCCGCGCCAGCGATGCCAGGGCCTTGGCGTTAAAGGCTGAGATTGGAGGAGCTATCAAGGTTGGGATAAGGTTAGGTAGGATAATGTTAGACCTAGTAGTCTCGGTGAGTAGCGTAAGTAGGGCAGAAAGAGCGTTGTCGGCGTCTTCCTCGGAGCGTAGCAGGTTAAGGAGGAATGGAAGCACTTGATCGACGGCGCGCTTGCCGATAATCTGCTGTAGCAAGTCAAACGCTTCGGCAGCAGCTTCTCTGACGTCCTCATCGGAATCCGTGAGGGCAGTTCGCACGACGGAGATTAGGGTTTTCTCGTGATCTTCGAGAGCCTCTTCAGAGGCGGATGCAATGAGCTCCTTCAAAGCAAGACATATTCCTTGCCTGGCGTCTGTATCGGTCGAAGTTTGGAGGCCTTCCTCTAGCGTTGGAAGCAGGCTCGACAAGACACCATCTCCAGCCTTCCTTATAAGCTCTCCTAAGGCGTTACTGGCAATAACCTTGTGTTCCATGTTCGAACTACCCAGACGGCGGATGATGAGTTGTGTGAGGGTAGGAGTAAGTTCCTTCAAAGTTCTTGGTGTAGCGACCAAGGCCTTCCATACGCTAACTGCAGCTGCGCGAACGGCACTAGCCGTATCGCAGCGACAGATATACAAGGCAGAGAGGACCTTGTTGCGCTTCTCTTCGCCAAGCACTTCGCGAAGAGATGCACCTGCCTCCTTTGCACTCTCTTCTTCGTCTTCTGCATCAGCTTTCCCGGTAATACCAGTGAGGTTGAATAGAAGATCGCCGACAAGTTCAACGGAGCTCAACCGAATTCTGTAGCTATCATCTGCGAGGCCACGTTCTAGCTCTGGTAGGAGGAGATCCACAGCTCTAGCAGCAAAGTTTTTAACTAGAAGTCGACCAGCTCGTAGGGCGGTCTCGCGAATCGATTCGATATCATCTGCAAGGCCGGCAAGAATTGGGGGAATGATTTTGCTCAGATAGTTGGCAAAACTATTACCGAAACATACTGGCAAGAAGATGAATAGAGACATGAAACCTTCTCTGACGGCGGGTTTGGATGATTCCACGTTCTGCAATATCGTAGGTAGTGTTTCCTCCAGTCTTGTCGTACCCAACCCGGCCAAGACCTCGCTGAGAGCCTGCGCGGAGCCAAGACGGTCTCCAGCGCCCGTCTCCGACTTGAGGGTCTGCATGAGTCCGGGGATAAGATCTGGTAAAGCATCCTCGCCGAGCTTCTCCACCAGCGATCCCAGAGCACGGGAAGCGGTCGCACGGGTTGTAGGAACAGGGTCGACAGCTGCCATTTTTAGTCCGGATACAAGTACTGGCAAGTGAGCGATCAAGTCTTTCCGCTCCGTCAGATGAGCAAGACTTCCAATGACTTGAGATGCCTTGCGCTTCGTGTTGGATCGGTCCCCCAAGCCACGCTGAAGGATCCTTGTGACGAGGGCTAGCGAAGGAGCATCGAGGTAATGAACAAATTGCACCTTGATGAGCGAATCCAAGGCATCGTCTGTGTATTTTGTCGGGTCGCTTAGGGCCTTGAGTAGGATGTCGACCAGGCTCTTTACCTCCGGGTTCTCGATGACTTCACCAAAACGCTTCAGGCTCTTGTTCGCTGCGGATCTAACTTCTTTATGACTATCGTTCAAGACGCCGGTAAGCGGTGGAATGATATCAGGCAAGCTCTGTGCTAGCTGTTGCGGATCCAAGTACGCCATAGCACCTAAAAGATCGCAGGCGCCACGTTTGCTACGCCACTGGTCGTCGTCAAGGCCATTGAGGAGAGTAGGGAGAATTTGCTTAACACCATACGAGCTAAGCTTTGCGAAACATGCCTTGGCCGCTGCTAAACATGCATCCCTCACGTCTGCATTGCTATCGCCAAAGCCGGCTAAAAGCTGAGGTACGATCTGGATGACATAGGGTTCAAATACGCGGCCAAGTATCGAAGCAAGGAGTTCAAATGCAAGGAATGCTCCCTCGCGCTGTTGAGGCTCCTTACGGTTCTCGGTAGCACTCTTGAGTGTGATGAGTATACGATACTCTCGTAACACCGAGATGCCTCTTCCCTGGACCAAGCCAGCCAAACCATATGCGGCTCCTCTTTTTTCAGCATATTTCTTAGAATTCAGGAGAATATCGATCAGCTGATCGAAATATTTAGAGGACTTGTCGCCGCAGGTCCGCACCAAGGGCGGCAAACACTCCGCCACCGCGTATTGAACAGCTTCCGACGGCGTGCTCAAGGTAGCAAGTAGCCTTTCCAATACAACCGGGATCTTTGCATCTCCAGGCTTCAGATGTCTTGCCAGGGCACCATACATGACGATAACAGCCTCATTTACACGGTCCGCCGCCTCTGAACCCTTATCAGGAGCTCCAAGAGTACGTTCAAATGTCTTCATCAGTTTGTCTACCAGAGCTCTACCATGAAGGTCAATAGCTACGAGTGCCGCTTCGAGCATCTCGCTACGTACTGTGTCGTTCTTGTCGCTAAGAGGGCCACCTTCAATATGGAAGTTGAAGAAGTCATCGATCTGTGATTTCTGCAAGTATGCAGCAAGCTCTCTAAAAGCAGCGCCGATACCATGCCGCGCCTCCCAGGGGTCCGATAGATCTGTCTTCCTAGGCATCCCATACTCGTCTAGCTGAGGAACTCGAGGCTTAGCAAACTCGACGTACGAGGCTCGGAGTCTTGTCAATATGGCCTCAATTGTCGATGGGAACTCTTTGCATGCTTCGGCGAGAGACCGCGCAGCAGCTCTCCTGAGTTGAGCGTCTTTGCTTTCTAGGTAAGGAAGCATCTTAAAGGGAACCTCCTTTGAGAGCTCAAACCCGCTTTCCTCCCATATGTCATGCCCAAGTTCGATATTCTCGGAGATATCATCGTGGCAAGCGATCCAGATTTCCTCTGAGAAGTCGAGATCGCTCATGTCTACCTCGGCACTAATCGACTGTAGCACGGTTTCGCGAACCGAAGCCTGCGGGACTATTGCACCTTTTGCCAGGACAGCAATCTCGTCCACGCTTATGTTTGGGGCTACACAGCGAATCATATCAGTAAAGCAGTCCTTAATGATCTTGTAGTGTTGGCTGTACTGCTGCATCGAGGCAGTCAAGATAGATATCAAGTCTGCTCGTGGGATACTTTCATCAGCGCAGACATGGGTATGTGATGTGAGGAACTCAATCGCCAATACTAATTGGGCGTCCTTTTCATCGGCCCCGGCTCCGATACCACCCGTTCGTAGGAGCACAAATACCAATGACAGCATGTAGATTACAGATACAGCGTCGAACGGTCGCTGCTCACTAGCAAAGCGCAGACGATATAAGACTCTTGTGATGAGTTCTTCTAAGCCTTCTTCGGTTAGATTATCCGGGAGTGAAGTGATTTCAAGTGCGCGTAAAGTCGCAACGCCGATGAAAGGTCTAATAGCCCCCAATCGGGGGGTAACACGATCAGAACAGGCCAGATACGCTGTAGGGCCAGCATCACCTGTGATGAGACCTGCACCAGACTCCAAAGCACTTAGCAAAGCGCTGATCGATGGTCCAATCCATAGGTTAGGCTCCGTCGGCGGGCTATTTACGAGGCTCCTTATGATACCAAACCCACGCGTGAGACGCGATGCTAATTGTTGGATTGACCGTCGAATTTCAGACTCTTTCTTTAATTGAGCGTTAACCTTGGCCTGCTCATCGGCTGTAAGCTTTCGTTGTTGCCCCTTTTTCTGTGCTAATTGACTTCTCAGCTCCTCCTCCCATTTTAGCGTGTCGTAATCTTTCGTATTTTTATTTGGAAGCGTCTGCTTCTTTGCAAGTACGTCGATAAAAGCCGTGCCTTCTGGAGTCCGGAATATGGCTGCCTCTACAGGACCCACCTCCTTAAGCTCTTCCGTTGCTAAATCCGTCCGGATGAGGTCTATGATTCTTGGAGTGATTGCGTCTGATGCCACAAATGCTAGGTCTGCCGCCGCATTGCAAGCAGCAAGCTTGATTGTGTTTGACTGTAAGCTTATTAGCTCAATGATCTAGATAGCGGCCAAACGTTCACGTTTTACCTTCTGATTGAAACTAGTCTTGTCAATTACTTGCTGTATCAACTCTTCTTTGTGCTTTTCAGTTAAGTTTCCGGGATCGAGTCCAACCCTAAGACACAAATCTATCCAATTTGCTCTCGGGATTAGATCGTTACGAGCGATGACCAACAGCGAGCACATCTGCTTCGCTAAGCTCTCCTCGGATTTTTGGGCGCTTAACTCCTTGAATTCCTCGTCATTGAGACAAATTGACTTCAGGATTAGATGGATATGAGCATTTTCGAATTTGGCACTTGCTGCTATGCTATCCTTGTCTTCAGTAAGCGAAGACTCAATCCAACCCCACAATCCATCAACAGCAACTTCTGAAACGAAGTCTGGGTCTCGAACGTATAATTTGGAAACGGCGTCGCAAGTCTCTTTGCGGATCTGAGAGGGGACACTAGCGGAAGATATTAGGTAAATAAATGCCTGAAACCAGACAGATTGAATATTCTTTGAAGATTTTGATAAGCCATCGTATGTTGCCGTAAGCGCTCGCAGAAACCATCTAGTGTCATCCTCTGTGGAAAGCCGGCTGTATACCCGATGGTTGAGAAGAAAAGATGGTTTGGGGTCAGCAACAAGGCACTCTTTTGATACGGCTGCTTTCTTAAGAACTGCTTTCAGAGGAGCACTGTCAATTTTCGACAGAACTTGTAAAGATAAGGCTGAAAATACATATGCGCCTATGATTAAACCGCTCTGTGCAGCTGCAGAAGGATTTTTGACGATCTCAGTCCATGTGTCCGCGAGAGGACCCGCGATTGCTTCAGCTAGCTTTGCTGCGCTTGCTGGGACGGCATGGTCTTTGTTAGCAAATGGGACGAACAGCTCTCCAGCTTGGAGTATCCACAGCCTACGTGAAGGTATCTTCTTATCCACGAGACCTTTAGTGAATGCGTCAATAACAGGTTTTGGCATATCAGTATTATCATTCAGTAAAGAGGAGACAGCTCGACTGATGACGGAGACTTCGGCTCCAAGGGCTCCTTCGTTCCCTTCCTTTGCGGCAATAGGGGGGAGACTAGTGGCTACCTTCGCAGCTACCGCGGTGGATAACGGCACGTGTTCCAACATCTGAGAATGAATAATTCTCTGGTCCGCAGAAGCTAGTTTTCCCGATTTGAGGGGATTTAGTACTTCTTCAGCAATCTGGTCCGTAGTCTTCGCGTCGTGGCTACGAGTTACTGCCTCCCTAAAAGCAGCTAGCGCGCCTTCACGGATGGCCGCATTACTGGACTTTGCATTCGATAGAAGGGGCTTTAGGAGACGTCCACTTAAGGTCTGGGAAAGGTCTAGCGTTTTTGAAAGGGCCCGAATCAGCAGCGCTACTAGATCCAAGACTACTTCCGGAGCTCGTAAAAGACCCTTTTCAATTGGTGGTATAATATCCTTATCCAAGTCTTCAAGGGTGACAAAGTCCGAGAAAAAGTCGCCGAGACCAGTTGCGATATGAGCCGGGACGGGTGTGCGGGACCCTACGACCTCTCTGGTGAAGAAGGCAAAGTAATCCGACTTCTTAGAAGCCAGAACGTCTTTGGCCTGGGTTTGGCGAGAACAAACTCCAGCAATTACACCGAGCATGACAGCATTCTTCGCGGTTGATTGAGCACCCTTGGCGGTAAGAGCTTGTACCGCATCTTGAATAGATTTTTCTCGAAGTCCCTTGCGCCAGAAAGCAGCACGTAAACCACGACGGGTTACCACCAGAGCCGACTGCGCAACACTTGGTCTCGTTGTTGACTGTAGACATTTTTCGAGAGCAGCAGAATCCGCGTGAACAATTTCCAGTCCAAATTTATCCCAAAGAGGCTTTCCAGCCAGTCCCTGTAAGAGAACGGAACACCATTCTACCAGGACAAAAGCATTCTTGGGTGATATTCCAGGCTTCTGAGCTTCCTGTCGCAGCGAAGATATAAACGGCGCCAAAATCTTAGCGTCACTAGTAGTTACGAAGATGGAAGCAAGGCAGGCTTCGGCTGCCCTTCTAGATGGTCGGTCATCGTAGAATCGGTGCGTATCAAAGAGCAATTGTAATAATAATGGTATTGAAGACTGATCGATAGCTATAAAGAGAAACAAAAAATATCAGCATCTAGCACCCTGATAATAGTGTGATATGATTTACAAAGAATAGTATGTCTCACTCTTATCCTTTAGTTTTTCGTCAATGATTCTCAATTGAGCTATTCGGGTCTTTGTAGAAGAGGAAAAGAGGGCGGCCTTGGCTGAAGCAAAGTCAACACCACCTGCTCTAGAGGCGCCGTTTGCAACCGCTTCAGTCATTTCGACAGTCGGGTGGGAGATCCTTTGACATGATAGGGGTCAAATAGAAACTGTGTGCGCTTCCCCCTATAGTGCAGGGTCAGGTAAGACAGTTTATAGAAATTCGCTGCCTGTCACCTGATCGTGAGAAGTGCCTGAATGTTCTTTCGTCGGGTTGGTGAAATGGTTGAAAATATCGGTGGGGTTACATATATGTATATAGCTTATCTTATCGGTTATTTATTTTCAGTTCAAGGTTGGTTTGGATAGGTACAGCACCTACCTACCTACCTAAATGCCTAAAGTACACATGAATGGTACCTAAAAGTACACTGCTACAGCAGCTGATTCTGGTGCTAGACTGCTAAGGTGGTAGTTTCCCGAGCCCGTTTAGCAATAGTTTAGGGCCACGACTTCCGACGGCGAATGAGTCAATTTAGCACCTTTTCGGCCTGTAATTTCCAAATCGAGAGCGACCCGATGTGCACCCCGCCTCGCCCGCCTAGCCGCTAAGCCCTGTCCCCACCTATGATGACGGTAACACCTAAATATTTGGAGATCGTTTACCAGTAACAACTTTTTTTTTATTATCGTAAATCTTTGGATCGCTTTGCGCAACGAGTAAGACTCTCAGGTGGTTTTTTTTTTTTTGCCTTCACACTCTCTACTATCCATATAACCGTGATGGCACCAAAGAAGAAGAAGACAAAACCAACTGCTAATCCGGCTCGGGGATTTGCTACTACATCAATCGCCTCGAAACCGCGAGCTGAAATACCCAACGAGCCGGTTCCAACCGCTACAGAAGGAGGAAAGCTCGATTCCAATGCCCCTCCAACTTCGTCATCTCACGATCCCAAAAATGCCCCACCATCCAATCCTAACTCCGATATTACAACCACTACATCACAGCAGAAACAAACATTAAGTCCAGAGGAATTCGAGAGGCAGTTGGAGGAATCAGAGCTACAGCTCCTGGTAGAAAAACACGCCCAGAAAGTGAAGAGGGATGTCCAACGACAGAAGTCTAGACTCGAGACCGATCGTCGACTACTTCGTGGACAAGCAGAATCGTTGAATACGAGAAAATGGCTACCTCAAGAGCTCATGGATCATATCATGGATATGATTCAAGCTGAAAGCCGCTATGGCGCATCGTCTCTAACAGGAGATAGCACGAGTAGTAACGGCAAATTACCTCCAGAAGAAGATTTGGTAATTAAGTTATGGACCCTGCAGCAGACCCTGGCAGGTGTCGGTTTTTCCGAAGATAGGGTTAAGGCTGTGATACAGTATGTCCTCGATATTGCCTCGCGTGTCAATAGCTCTGTCAAGGAAACCATATGGGGTCTAGAAGAAGCCTTGGATTGGCTGGCACGCGAATGCACGAGAGAGGAACTGCGTGATTACGATTACAGAGGCGGCACCTCGAAGTCACAGGCTGATACACCGGTGGACAGCCCTCTGGCTTCAGGTGCCAATACTCCACGTCTCTTAGAAGTTAATAGTTTACAAAAGCCAAAGAATGGGTCTACGAATCTTAAAGCGTCTGCTTCGAAGAAAGTTGCTATTATTTGTCACGACGAAATTGAGCCTGATGATTTAATCCCAGCTTATCTTGATACCAAGGCCAAATTGTTCGAAATTCAGCGACCCCAGCAGGATAGCAAAAGGGGGAAACCGGCCAAATATCGTGCCCCAAACGGGGCGAAACACGTTGTTTCGGAGCTATCAGGCGACGACTTAGAAGAGGCAAAACTTCTTGCTAAGATCGAGAAGATTGAACAGGATGTACTTTTTGATAAAATTGCTGCCGAGCAAACATGGAGGGCCAATCGAATAGAGTTAGAGAAGAAATTCGCAGCCAAGAAAAAAGCTGAGGCTCAAGCTAAAGAAGAGGCAGCTCAAGAAGCCCAATCTGACGATGATGAAGTCACTAAAGAGGCCGAACGAATTGCTGCAGAGATCCTACAACAGGATGATGCCGACGATGATCAAGCTTTGTCCGATCTTTTTGCAAGTCTTCCCGTCCAAGAGGTCGATGCTGTAACAGGTAAGACAACCAATGTCATCAACGAAGCTAATGGGATAAAAATCACCATTCGCGACTTTGGTAAATGGACAGGTATTAGTCCAGTACGAGCTCTCGAAGAAGCTTGTCGATCAAGAGACTCTTCTGTCAAGGTAGTGTACCAACTAGTGTCTGAGAATCCATATTCTCACCGTCACTTAGTCTCCATTCAATGGTCTAAGCCCCAGGAGCTCATACCGGTTCCCAATATTCGATTCATCGACAGCGTCATAACACCTCAGCAATTTCTTTTCCAGATGACCTCAATCGCAACTCCTGACTCTAGACAGTCTGAAGCCTATGTCGCTACTTTGGCTCTGTTTGTTGTGTTCGGATCCACGAAAGAGGAGAAGGTTTTCATGAGGTTACCACAGGTGTGGAGGGAGTTTTGGTCCGAGCTTTTAGAGGAAAAGAAGAATCAGGCCGACGCAGCGGATCGAATATCGATCAAAGATCTCCGAACATTGGTTCGGCGAAAGCAGGACCAAGATCTGGAGGATGGCGTCCTGCTCCAGGGCGCTTTTAGAGGGCGTGGCTCTCAGCGTAGCGCCAATGAGACTGGCGACGATTCCATCCTGGAAAGAGGGGTCACAAGTATACTGGGACCAGAATATTACCAGAGGATATGGGCTGAGAAGTCGAGTACACCGAGGTTCCAAGCCATGCTAGTTAGTTTTTTTTCGGTCTCATTTAATAGTATTTTCTAACATTTCCTAGCAATTTCGATCACAGCTCCCAATGTGGCAATTTAGAGATCGGGTACTACACGCTGTCGAAAACGAGCAAATCGTCATCATCTGCGGAGAGACGGGATGGTAAGTTAAAATTGATGTACTCCGTAATGAGAGTCTTGGCCTTGTTAACTATGTGATACAGCGGCAAGAGCACACAGGTACCGTCGTTTCTGTTAGAACATCAATTATCCATGGGCCGATCGTGCAAGATATATTGCACAGAACCACGTCGTATTTCTGCAATTTCCCTTGCCCGTCGTGTCAGCGAGGAACTCGGTGAGGGAAGAGGCGATCTCGGTACCTCGAGATCCCTCGTAGGTTATTCCATCCGTCTCGAGGCCAACACATCGAAAGAAACACGGCTTGTTTATGCTACCACGGGTATCGTAATGAGAATGCTCGAGGGCTCAAACGAACTTCGCGAAATAACCCATCTTGTACTCGATGAAGTTCACGAACGTTCAATCGACTCTGATTTCTTACTTATCGTGCTCAAGAAGCTGCTTCTGCGCAGAAAAGATCTCAAGGTAATACTAATGTCAGCGACCGTCGACGCAGAGAGATTCTCCAACTACTTAGGACGTGCCCCTGTCCTTACGGTCCCCGGCCGGACGTTTCCAGTACAAGATAAATTTCTGGAGGATGCTCTTGAGATTACCGGCTACGTTCCTAGTCAACTCAGTCAAGAAAAGATGACAGACTTGGACGATGACCCAGCAGAAACCGATGCTGTTGATTCGAGCTCGGGTGCTGCCGCTATTAAAGAATTGAAGCAATACTCTCCTAGAACTCGGAATACAATTTCCCAAATCGACGAATACCAAATCGATTTTGAGCTCATTGTACAGCTAATTATCCGAATCTCCACCGATCCGGATTATGTGAACTACAGCAAGGCGATCTTAGTATTCCTTCCGGGTATTGCTGAGATCAGAACCCTAAATGATGCCTTACTCGGAGAACCCTTTTTCCAGTTCGCCTGGGAGATATTCCCTCTGCATTCCACTATTGCTACTGAGGATCAGGAGCGAGCTTTCCTAATACCACCGGAAGGGGTAAGAAAGATTGTATTGGCCACAAATATTGCAGAGACAGGTATAACTATTCCAGATGTAACATGCGTCATCGATACCGGCAAACATCGTGAGATGAGGTTTGACGAGAGGAGACAGCTGTCACGTCTAATCGACACCTTCATCTCAAAAGCGAATGCCAAACAAAGGCGTGGCCGAGCAGGGCGTGTTCAGGAGGGCCTTTGTTTTCACCTATTTACCAAGTATCGCCATGATCATCTGATGAGCGATCAGCAGACACCTGAGATGCTACGGCTCTCATTGCAAGACTTGGCAATCCGCGTCAAGATCTGCAAGATTGGTGGGATCGAAGAGACTTTAGGAGAAGCTTTAGATGCACCGTCTGCGAAGAACATTCGCCGAGCCATTGATGCCCTCGTCGACGTACGAGCTCTTACGAATACGGAAGAACTCACACCCTTAGGTCACCAATTGGCAAGACTGCCTCTTGACGTATTTCTTGGCAAGCTTATTCTTCAAGGCACAATTTTCAAGTGCCTCGACATGGCTATAACTGTAGCAGCTATTCTATCCTCAAAGTCGCCATTTACGGCACCGTTTGGCCAACGGACTCAGGCAGATCAGGCTCGTAAAGCTTTCAGGAGAGGTGATTCTGATCTACTAACCGTATATAACGCTTACCTTGGTTGGAAGAAAGTGTGTCATACTTCCAATAACGATTTTACATACTGCAAAAGAAATTTTCTATCCTCGCAGACATTGTCCAATATCGAAGACCTAAAAGGCCAGTTATTAGTTGCTCTTGCAGACTCAGGTTTCCTACAGCTTACAGACGAGGAGCGCCGTACACTTAATCGCTTACGATACTCCAATCGAAGACGCCAGTTCTACGAACTCCCCCAGCGTGTCAACGTCAACAGCGACAACGACACCATCGCAGTGTCGGTGATCTCGTGGAGTTTCTACCCGAAGCTCCTAGTGCGCGAGGGCAAGGGATTCCGCAACGTCGGCAACAACCAGAGCATTAGCTTGCATCCATCAAGTGTCAACAAGGGGCGTATGGAGCTGAAATGGCTTTCATATTACCACATTATGCAGTCCAAACAGTAAGTCATCAAGAATATGTGTAATCTATAATCCTCCAAGCTAATAAATACAAAAGGTTCCTTAATGCCCACGAGACTACGGCTGTCGAGAACTTCGCCATCGCCCTGCTATGCGGCGATGTACGTATCGACGTAAGTGTTTACCTCTCGTATTTCTCGACATTGCTTATTAAAGCAAACTGACCAAACAAAATAGATGTACGCAGGCGTCATAGTACTCGACGGCAATCGCGCACGCTTCTGCGTGCCCGACTGGAAGACGCTTCTCGTGATCAAGGCACTCCGGACGCGCCTGCGCGACCTCATGACGCGCTCGTTCCGCATGCCCGGCAAGCTACTCACAGCACAGCAGGAGAAGTGGCTCGATGCCTGGCAGCGTGTCTTTAGCCAGGACTTCGGTAACAAGGCCTAGGACGGTGGAGATGCTGCGGTTGGGATAGTGAAACCTAAGTCTTGTGGACGTAAATGTAAGCGGGGATGTGGATAATGGACAGGTACTGTTCTATCGTATCGTCATGTCATTTCTTGGCACGGATTGCCAGGACGCCGGAGGTCGATTAAAAAGTCCGTCTTCGGGACGGACAAAACCACCCGTTTCCCCTATTTTCCCCTACGCGAGGATTCATAGAGTAGGAAGCTGATATTATTGACTCGATGCATAGCTCGGTTGACTAGCTGACAACCAGATATGCTTGCACATAGATACCTACTAGGTACCTAGGTAGGTAGGTAGGCTTGCTTTATTTATAATGAGCAGTCAGGTAATGAAGCCACTATGGACTAGACAAATCAGCAGATGAAACCATGCATAATAAAGTGCAAGACGCAATATAATTCAATTATGTGACTTACTATGTACCTACTATATAGGTGTACAGATTAAACACTACCTACTCAATCATTTTCATTTCATAACTTTGATCTCGATCTTAAATAGTCGAGCTTCTGCACAAACGCAGCCTCATTCTGAAAACAAGCAACCGATTTGGTGGTGATCAACGGTAAATGAAGTCCTCAATAAACACCGAGCCGACCAAATGATGCAAATCCCCTTTCCATTCATTCCACTTCTGTCATATGGTCAGACCCTTTTAAACCCGAACCGAACCGAAACCAAAAACCGTAAAACCGATGAATGATGATGATGATGATTGATGCCATGAATGTCATACCTGTCCATTAAGCCTCTCATGTCCCCCCTTCCCCCCCAACCCACCTCCTCATTTTACTCTTTTACTTCGCCAAAACGTGTCTGTCTTCACTATTCCATTCTCGCTCCAAACGTAATTAATTAACACCAATACCAGGGGTATCAAGAAAGAAATTTCAACTCGATCGACCATCGTTATTCGATCCGCCACGCCGAAAATATGCTCCCGTTATCGCCTGACCACCTTTTGATCGTATGTATGTAGGTATGCATCATACGAGGGAAGATTTATATGTAACGTCCACCATCCTTCTCTTCTAATTGTGCCCGTTCATCTGATTATTGACGGCACCAGTATTCCCGTCCTTCTTACCACCATTATCTCCATTCTCGGATTTGAAGAACAGAGCCTTGAAATCTGCATTGCTCTTAGCTTTTACGACGGGAGCCGTTCCGTTCAAAACTGTGACTTGGCGGTCCTCCTTACTACCATCCTTCTTCGACGTAACGAAGCCGAGTCCCCGCTTCGGTCCACCTCGACCTCCGGGGACTGGTCTCCGAACAGTCTGAGTAGGTGGCATAAAACTTGGCTCTTTGGATCCACCCTTATGGTTGGCTGGCTTGCCTTTGCCTGTAACAATTTTGTCTTGTCTTTTCTCACTTGTCTGCTTAAATAACTCATCCACGCTACCGGTGTGAATCCTGCGACCGGATACGATTTCGTATCCTTCCAACCCCAATGCGGCACGTCCAGCCATCGCGGCATCCTTAAATTCGATTATAGCGCCTTGGTGGTCAGGTCGAAGCACTAATTTCACGATCTCGCCATGATTTTTTACGACAGCCCGAACGCGTGCATCATTGACGGTGTCCGGTACATTCCAGATAGCTATCGTGCGTTGCTGGATCTCTTTTCGGTCTGGCTTTGGGCCGTTGCCGTTGGATTCACTAGATCCATCCGCCATCACTATGTCACTATTCCCACTAGGAGCAGGGGACGCAGATATCCGGTCACCTCGGTTCGTGGCAAACGGCTTGAAGTTCGTCTCCTTGCTGAGTTCCACTGAAAGAATCTGAGACTTGAACTTGGTCTTGTCAAGTTGGAGGGCTTTCTCTGCTTCCTCTTTCGTCTCGAATACTACGTAAGCAGTGCCAATGTTCTTTCCGCCTATATTTTTGACTATTCGCACATTAGTGACCTTGCCGTACTTGATGAACACATCTTGGAGGTCATTTTCGTCCGCAGACGAGTCGATGTTTTTTACTCGAACTTCACGTGCTTCCGCAACAGCACCCTCGCGGTCTTTTTTGTGTGAAGGATCGGAGTACTTAGATTGCAGCTTAAACTGGCCTTCTATGACTTTCCCATCGAGTAGCGTCGCCTTATAAGCGGTGTCTTGGTCCCTAAACGAGACATAGCAAAAGCGTCGATGGGTATTAAACTTGAGAGATGGGAAGCGAACGCTGAAAACCTCGCCGCAATCCTTGAACAGGCTACGGATGTATGATTCATCTGCAGTAGGGGGGTAATTGGAGACGAAGAGCGTTAAGCCGGTACCTGGTTTAACACTGATCTGGTTTTGGCTGAAATACTTCTGGTCTCGTAGGAGAGCTGATTTCACATCTTGCGTAGACCTGAACTCTATCAGGACAGAACTAGATTCACTATCCGTCTCCCTGTGAAGATCCAGGTTGTTAATGTGTCCATACTCTCTGAAGTACTTGCGAATAGCCGTCTGCGTTACGTCCGCCGGCAAGTTTGTAACCATGACAGATGTGTTTTCTCGATCACGCTTGAGTTGCTGCTCATTGGAGACATTGTTAGAGTTTTCAATCTCCACGCTCTTCACCCGCTTGTTCACTCCCAGCGACATATCTCCTGGTGTAGATTCTCGTTTCCTCTTAAAACCAGAAGGCGACATAGGCACCGGGGCATCTTCTGCAGTTGTGTCGGGGGCTGTCTGTGTTTGTTGCATCTGGGCGGCGTAAGCGGCAGCAGCTTCGGCATTCTCTCGCTCACGGCGCTTAGCAACCTCCTGTCGAGCTTTGTAAACCACATCAAGCGCGTGATGGAGAACCTCGGGCCTCTCGTAATCATTACAATGCTGGAGATAGACCTCCATAACCCGTTCAGGCCAATCGAGTGTTGCCCGGGCGATGGCACGTTCTAAGACACTTGTAGCGACGCCGGGAACCCGTGAGACCTTTGTCGAAGTGCTGCCTACCGGCGTTGCTGGAGTGGGGCTTCGGGGTTTCGGTTTGGAGGAGTAGATGATCATCTCCCAGAGGTAATAATTGAGCCAGAAGTCGTAGCTGTCGGCGAGGAGAGACTGGTTGGCCATACGGTCCCAATGGTTTCGTGCTTCGTCAATTTCGCCCTTTACTTCTGTAAGATATTGGATGAGAATACGCTGTAATCTGTAGTTAGGATCTCCTCGATATGCGTCTTTATAGAGACGTCGTCCCCACAAATCAACATCCTCAAGTGCGGCCAGCAAACCAACTTCGGCAACATCAGCTGCATCCTCGGGAGCGTTAGGGTCCATGGCGGTCCGCTTCAAGAAGCCGCACCAAGCAGTATACATATCTAAGATACCAGCCATGCCGTTCTTATCAAGGGCCTTCGTGTTCGTAGCAGCGTGCTTGATCGCCTCGACATTATGAAAAGACCAACCGGCTTCTTCCGCAGTTAGGATATATCGCGACCAGAGAGGGCCAGACCAAGGACAGTGAGAGGTAGCCCGCTGATAGAAATCCAGCAGATTGGGCACGGGCAATTGGGCCTGTGATGTCCTGGCTCGGTGCTGTATTGCAGACAAGTAAATGGCCGCGTCGCTCCACGCGTCGTCGTCGAAAGCGAGTATACCGCCGAGGACTCTCGCAAACAGCCCGAGACAAAGCGAGACGGTCAGCACTGGATTCCTTGCCTTCTTGATCTGCGACATCTCCCAACCTAGGTATTCTTTCATGATAGCCCTCTGCAATTCTTGGTCACCCGACTTGATAGCCCTATTTAGCCTCAGTTCATACGGTTCTCGGATTTCGTATGCGACTTTGGCATCCTGAGCAATGGCAGTCACTTCCTTGAATTCGGACTCGTAAGCGGCGTTGTTGTATGTGCTTAGGAAACTAGAAAACATCTGCGACGTGTTTTCCCAGGTAGAATGGGGAACCTGGAGGCGGTCGCGGAAGAGATGTGAGATGCGCTTGACACCGACGGGGGTTCTAGTCCTAGCCAACTGTTCAAGTTCGATCGAAACCCAGCGGTTCCAGAATTCATGGCTGTCGTTAATACGATACTTTATAGCATCATAGCCTTCACTCCAAAGACTCAAGGCAGCATCGAATGAGAATAGGTCGCGACCTAGCTGCTGTTCTTCCTCGGGCCATCCAGCTTCACTCGACTGGCAATCGGTAAAGAGCGACCAAAACCATTCGCAATAGGCCAACCAGATCTTTAAACTTGCGGGTTCAGAGGAGACGGCATTCTTGAAGAGTTCGACAACCTTTACGCGCGCCTCGAGGTCGGTGGCGTGACGGCTCTCTTCGTCGACATAAGCTAACCAACTATCCTCACCCACGGGGTTCGCCATTTTTTCCTTGTATCGCGCAAAGAAAGCCCGGCTGGCTTCATGTGTTTCGCGGCAGTTGGACGGCCGGACAAGAAGTCGTTCAGTAGGATCTCAAGTCGAGTTGAGCCGTGACCGTGGTCGTGATCGTGGTCGTGATCGTGGTCGTGGTCGTGGTCGTGATGGAAATTCGCGAATTTCGTTCCTCAAAGATGCGCTTCTCGTCAGGCAAACGACAAACCTGTCCTCTTCTTGGTATGCGACCGACTCAGTTCGAAACTGGGGATCTGCGTACAGCCTTTACGATTGGACAAATCTGGAATACCGATCGGCTAGGATTGGGGGTCGAAGGGAAAATACGTAACGTATCAACGTGTGCGTATGTGTATTGTATGTAATATCCGTACCTATGTAGGTCCAAAGTAGATAGTATAGCCGTTTGTATTGGCAGTACGGGTTTGTACGGGTTTGTATGGGGATGCGCGCGTGCCTAGGCGCAGGTATGTAAATATGGATGTACTGGATGTACGATATGTACTGTAATAGATTGCCCCAAGTAGGCAAGGGAAAAGAATTGCGAGATAGAAAAACAGACGAGAAAAATGATCAACACGCGACGGAGAATTTTAGCTGGACCGAACTGATTCTATGGGCTGGGTCTCGAATTTGTGATCGACAAATGGTCCCTCGGTATTGGGGATAAAGAGAAACCGTGGGTTAATTTATTTTTTTGGATGGTTTTTTTTTTCGATTCACTGAAACATCGCCGATGACCAGATGTGTGTTGCGGTTTTTTTCTTCTTCTTCTCTTTTACTTCCCCTTCTCTTTCACTCTTTCTCTCGATTTTGTAATTCACGTTTCTTGTTTCCCCCCTTCGTATCCTCTATCCCGGAGCCTTCATTTTGGTAAAATGGGGAGGAGGTGATGTTTGTTTTGTTTAGTCAGATAAGTCTAGGCAAGTAATGGAAAAGAATAAAAAAATAAGTTGAGCTTAGGATTATTCGAAAGTCAGTGACTCCACATTCTTCGGCTTTTAGTCTTAGGTACCGGTAGCAGCGGTAGGAACAGCCTGGTTGATACTTTTAAGTACTTAGATGTGACTACCTTGATTGGTCTTAGTTTCTTAGCAGAGATCGGTTTACCTGAACTTACCTAAAAGCTGACCTTATTACCGGCTGTACCTGAATATTTACAATACAAAAGACCCTTTAGATTCTATTAATTCCGTGCAGATCCCCCCACTAGCCCGCCTTATTTCTCTGTCCCCTCCCGCCCCTAAGTACCCTTTAGTACCTACCTCTCATGGATATACATCAATCGTTATCATAGGTATACCAGGATACATCAGTCTTCTGGAAACGTTTAAGGTCAATGTGGGTACTTGAATATATATGTGTTCGGCCTTTTCGGCATTGCAAACAAACTACTGGTTGCTTTGACCTACCCGCCTACATAGTAGGTAGTACATACGTGCTTGAAATGTGCCTTCAGATGTCCCGCAAGACTACATGTACTATTAGTATGTATTGAACTTAATACATACCATGCGTACAGTACTAGGTCAAGTGCTATACCGCGAAAAGACTAAATAGAAGTGACACGACAGCAAGGCCAAGGAAGGCAGAATGGTAAGGAAGGGCATGGTCGTACCCGAGATTCTAAAAGAAGGTTCTAGGCCATCGTTAGCCATCCCCGAATAGATGAACGGTGCAGCTGCCACCCGAATCATCGTGACAACCTTGACAATCGTGACAGCCGCGGGATATGCGACACCCACCCAATGTCGTCATTTGTCTTACAGTGCCCCCTCCCCTTGTGGCTTTTTCTTGGCTGCATTGCAGAAAGAAGTTACGAGTCTTTTTAAGTCTTACGATTTTTCTACCATACTGCCATATTGCCATAGCACCGTATTATTTATTACTCCAAGTCCGGATCTAAGACCCGTTTATTTTACAAACCACGTGTATTCAAGTATCATGTATCACTTATCACTTATCACACAACAAGTCACGTAACATTGCCGACGAAAACCCTTAGGTCCCTTATTTTTTTTCATATGTACATACTTCTTTATTTTCCCCGTTCCTTCATGAAAATGCAGCGTCAGGAAGTCGTTCGATATCAAATGTCAATGCAAGTTATGGTACTTCAATGTGGAGATAAAGATCATAATATTAGGTAATGATATATCCTACTAGCTAACTAGGTACCTAGACCTACTTGGGTATATCACATCATTATAGAAAACCCGCCTTTTTATGGAAGTTGATACAAATAGCAACAGTCGAGGCAATAGATTCGGTATCGGGATAAGATCTTCCCTCCTACTCTTCAGCTCACTAATGCGAGGCTGTAAGACAAAGGAGGGTCATTCAACCTATCCTCTCCTTGCCTCCTTACTCTGTACATTGAGAACAAATCCGCGGAGAAGAAGCCAAAAGGAACATAAAGCTGATACTATCACGGCTGGATTGATGGCTGATCTACCTCATCCATGACAATATCATGAGATAATTAAGTGCATAAAGGTACGTGCCTCGACCGATCTACCGTAACAGCGTAGCTTTACAACTAGGTAAGCAGCTGCATCTAAGGAGTTGAGATGGAAGAAACCCATATTATGAGGCTTCTTGCATTGATACTAATACTTACGTCAGCTAAACATTCCACTCCATGATCTATCAATAACTAGTGGGATTTATGAACGATTCCTTTACTAGGGAAATCTCGTCGTATATATCCTACTTCGTATAGCCTACCAACCTAGGCAGATGTCTTACTAAGACGAACATTTGTGGCTGATCGACTTTGACAGAAGAATTCGTACTTTGTATGGGCCAGTCCATCTTCCGGGGCGGCTTGCTCGGATTCAATGCGCATATTCTACATAAATATCAACATTTATGGTGTGAAAAGAGTGGCCTGGGTCAGTGAGGTATACGATATGTTTCGTTTTTGCATAGCCGTTTCCGTATTCCTAGATACCCCACGGGAGGAGATTTGAAGCACCCCTGGTAGCATCAGTGAACCAAACTAAACCCTAGGAGCCTCCTTTAGCTGAATGGCACACAGAAGATAACCAACTACCTATGCAGAAAGCAACATATCAGAAGCTATGTATGATAAGATAGGTACTTACATACTCACATATTATCAAATATTCTCAAAGGTTTTAAATAGCCTCATCCAATTGAGTAACACTGCATACGATTCCAATATGTCATTGCTTTAAAGTGGGCTGATTTCACATTTCCCATGAGTACCTATCTACCTAGGTACCTAAGTTATCCAAGGTCAGCCAGCCAGCCAGCCAGCCTCTTTGGCAAGGCACATGCCTGGCCTTCTGTCAGAGATAATGAGCGGCTTGCCTGTTGAATCATAGGATCGATAAGGAGTGCTCCGATAACTTCTATTGGCAATAGGTATCTATTGGCAACTCCGAGTCCTAGAATGTTGAGAATCAAGATTCCGGAAATGCATGAAATCACAATCACAACACTTTAACAATTCCTGCAAGGCCTTCTTCAGAAAATTAGTGTCCAGATGAATTCTTCGGGCATAAGTCGCGTGTCCACGAGGTCCTAAAGGCGAGTTGCCCTCGACTACTAATTCAACAACCTCTCCGTAACTTAATGCCTTTCGACTAAGAAAAACATACGGAGAGAAGAAATTATTGTCAATTATTATGTCTGTCATATAATAGCCATAGCTAGGCTAAATTCTCTAGCATATCAGGCCGACGTACGCCCTCCAGCGACACCCAACGGCACTACCGAGAAAATAGAGGTTGCCATTGTATGCATCTCAGTTCCTTCAGCTATCAAACATACGGCTTCCATCGGAGAACCGTTCAACCCGGGCCTTTCCACCCCGAGCTCCCCCGACATGCATTACTACTACATAGTGACGCAAGAAGCAGCGTTACCGACAGACAGAGGTCGTCGTTGCAGCAATCACACATCGATGAGCACCCCACCAAAAATTACTACTACACATATGAAACCTATTGGAGCAGCATCCATTATATAAGACCTGGATGCCAATATCATCAATATGGTACGCGTGTGTGAGGCTTTTCGATTCGTTGTCGTGGTTTATCCAAGTATGCCACCCAAAGGGCTACTTAACCAAGGAAGATATGCTACGGTAAGGGTGACATGGAAATATTAAAACCCATTGATAAGCAAATAGCCTTCCGAGTTAGTGAGTCTTCTTGTTAAGAGTTGAATTAGTATCGATGCCACATGAAAGGTTTAGATTTTGATAGAGACAAATGGAGTCAGTAAGATGATTATACCATCCACTTTTAGTATCTTGATTCAACATACATATAGCATGGCAATTCTAGAACATCTTATCATAGGAAAGAGGAGACTAACCAATGACTCTCCCTTGTTACGACGGGACGAAGCGTGGAATAAACCCGACTGGCTCGAACTTCTCAACTAGACCAAGATTTATGTGCCTATCGCAGAGCTAAAACACCATGAGCTCCCGTGGAAGCTAGTTGGACATCCAACCATTTAAATAAAGAATTCAAATAGGGACAATCGATATATTTCACGACGACACAATCTCAATAACCTAGTTCGCATGTTGCGACGGCTAAACTTGTAAATAAAACTAGAAAAAGTGTACCTAATATTTATGGATAAATTAGTTCCTAATATATTGCAGAGCTCAAGACATCATGTTAGCCTCCATAAGTCGAAGAGATGTATGTATGTGCATAATGATGAGATATGACTACTTTCCAAAGAGAATAGCGTAGGTTCCAAGTCTTTAAGCTGGTTAAAGATGGATCTATGAGATGATGGAATGATGAATATCTATATGTAGGTACTAGCTCATAGATAGAAATATGTTATATACATAGGCGCCTAGGTAATTTAATAAGGAATTTCACACCAACATATCCCTTCCTACTTTACGTGAAGGTGCCTACCTAGGTCCTAGGTAGGTAGACTTATAAGTATGAGGCTAACGTTAATAGTTTTCTAGTTATACTTAGTACCAATTACTCTCTACAGAGCTTCGTAATACCCATGACCAAATGAGGGATCCCTCAAGGGTCCCTTTATTTTCTAACCTTTGGGTGAACATCAACCCCCCCCCCCCCCCTTCCCGCTCAAGATACCACAAGAGGTAATTGCAATTTGACAACAGTGCCGTTCGTGAATCATGACATCAGATGTACGGAAGTCAGTGTACATCACTGCTGTAGACAGTTGAGAGCTTCACACGGTCAAAGACCGAAAGACTTCTCTCCCTTGATCTAGTTGTCTAGATTGCAGGTTTATCAGAGGTCTAGTATACCAGAGAGCCAGCGGCTAGTATTTAGCTAATTGGTGAGCAGGATTGGGGCTCTATACGTAGGAGCCTACGAGAAGTCCTGGGTGCTAGGTACCTAAGCAGGCACGTTCATTGTCGCGAACATTTATATCAGCGTTATAGGCACCTAATCCACAATAGAATAGATACCTATACATTAAACGCTTTGGATTCGAGTATGAGGACTCCAAAACTTGATACCGCACTACCTAGGTACTACAACTGTCAACATAAGCTTAAGCAGTACTATGGCCAAACCAACTGCAAATACCTAGCGCACTGACTGGGTAGGTGTTAAGGTCCTCACTTCAAATGTGAGATCATGTCACAATTCATGTCATGGTCCTAGCGTGATATGGAAAAACCAAGTCACGAATGTATGAGGCATAATCTATAGGTAGACGTTTACTCTGTCTAGAGTGGCTAGTTAGCGCGAGTTCCTAAACATCTCATTTATATAGACCTTGTGTTTCTCATTATGCACCGGGTTATGGACGCTTAGATAATTTCGGGAGAGCATGCAGGAAACGGCGGTCATTAACACGCAACATAAGAAAGATTAAAGGGGTTTAAGACCACGTTGCTAAGTCAACATGACAAGAGTTGAATCAAATTCATGTAGCCACATAAAGATATATAATGGGTAAGTAGGTAGCTATTGGGAAATCACCCCTGAGCCCCTGAACCTCAGAAGAGTCTATCGGAGTAGTCACGTATGAGCTACCAGGTAAGGCAGCTTCGTCACGAGCCTATGCCGTACTCACTATCGGTGAACTCCGATCGTAGCTATTAGTGTCTCGGCCAACAATTCACTGGATAGGATCACAGAGTATATCACCGATACGGCATTTCCGTGATTGGAAATCGATTATTCCCCAAGGCCGGTGGCTGTGCCTGAGACTAGATATCTACATAGATAGCACATCTTTAACTATGTCAACTCTCCTTCTAGAGAATCATTTCATTGTGATCTACTAGGGGTATAAACATTTGCCAACGGTAGCTCGGCATATTTCAACCTCGTAGGTCACAGGTGAAGGATATACATACCAGCACCTTCTGATAGAGGCTCGGATCTACAGACTGCAGGTAGCGTATGACCGACCCACGCGGGAGATCGGTGAGACTAGAAGAGCTAGAGAATTATAGAATAATCAGATGCTACTTACCTGAAGAGCGAATGGCAATTTTATTTCATCAAGACAGGGACAGCCCTTGCGGCGTCCATTGCTAAGGCTAAATCCTTCAACGGTTTGCTTTCACTGCAATCCGAGAACACGATGTGTAATTGAGACGAATTCAAGTACTTCAGGTACCCAAGTATGTACTAGCCAAGGCAAATGAAGATACGGGACAAGTATCAAATAGATGTTTGCTTGATGGGACAGTCGGAAAATTTCGTCGAGTTTGGATATACTGGGTTTGTTCTGAATGCGAGGCACGACTTTTGAGGCTACCACCAACATGTAAGAAAACAAGCCGACGGGTCTGAAAGATTTTGCTAGACCTCTCGTTATTTATTAGCGAGGTATCGCTCAGTGGCACCGAAATCGTGCCAACTCGAATTGCTCGTCCACGACAAACTCGCACGTATACGAGTCTAAAAACAAATAAATTGTCCGTAAATCTTTAGCTTCGAAATTTGTGTTCTTGTTTGTCGTCGTCGTCTGCACTGACCACGATGTATGTAACAAGGTAACGCAGCTTAGACAAGCCTAGACGAGCCACGATGGCGTGTTACCTCTGAAAGAAGACTTATTAGAAAACCGTGCCTATGAGTCGGCAACTTAGTTGCAAATGAAGTAGACGGATTACCAGTTACCGAATACACGGATTAGGTATCAAGGAATGACTGCACAGACTTTCTTGGCTCTTCGGAAAATTCCTGAATGCGATGATGATGGTTTTTTTGTCTTTTCCTATTTTGTCATAAATTCGAAACACATGAGTGGGGAGTATGCTTGAAATAGAAAGCTGATTAGATCTTTTTAGCAGAAACAGGGGCTCGCCATTCTAGACTTGGCTGGATTAGGGCACAATGTCTGTACCTACCTAGGTATGTATGTAGTACCCTTCCTGCCTTCCCAAGCGCACTTTCCAAGCGCATTGTGTAATTTCCCGATAGAAACAAGTGATAATATTCAATGGATTCACTGACAATGAGGCGCGACGTATGTATCTAATAGACCGCCCTCCTTCAATTTCAAGACTGTATTTTATCATGAATTTTAATAAAATAATCCAGCCAATCTGAAGAGATTCATCGGTAGCACGACTAAGTAAGACATTATTTTTCAAGGTTCGCCGTGGAGCCACCAATCAAAAATGTAGCCTTGTAATGTATCTAGGTATTTAAGCTGGGCTAATAGATTTGAGAGCGGCAAAAGGGGAAAGAGAGATAGTTGTGTGGATATCTTGACGCTTTCTAGATTATTAGAAGACTAGGTAATACCTAGAATGTTAGGGGAAATCTAGAAAAAAAAATTGAAGAAAGAAGCCGCGCCATCCAATGGATTACGGCGTCTGCTGACGAAGCCCTAAGGTCTAGGCGTCGAGAGGAAATCCTTCGCGCCGGTGGGCTAGTGACGACACACGAAGGGAAGCGCCAATGATGGCCTATATGAGGGTCGATAACCTTCTCGGCACATTGATTTGAACGTATGGTTGTGGATCTTGGTTCAATGATAATTTATGCCGACTCTCACTTGATTTTCCGGGAAACGCAAACCACTCTGGTATGGGCAGAGAATAGATGATAGACAGGCATTCCAAGACAACATGGGTTCGGCATAATTGATGAGCAACAGATTGCCCCCACAAAGTAAAATGGTTGCTTGAACGACTAGAACGACTTGCGACAATTGGTAGGCTGTTTAGTAAGTTAGGTGACTTCTAAGGGACTTGTAGATGACTTTGCGGCGTCTATCTGCTCTATTTCAGCGGTGGCAACGTTTCTTGTCCCTGCGAAGATCTCAAAAAGCTCCTCTTTTTCTATTCAATCCATCCAATCTCTGCAAAGCATCATCGGTACGTACCGAGATATGTATCGAGTACTCTTTGTCGAAAATGGCAATTGATCAATTTGAATGGTTTGTGTGGAAAATTGAGGGGTTCAGCACGTACCAAATACTCCACGCATCCCCCTGTCCCAAATGACGGAAAGCATTGACGACACGGTCTGGGGTTTTAGCCCCGCTAGTCTCAACTTTAACGAGACCTGTAACGTTCGCTTTCCATTTTCAGTTCTGACAACTGATTAGTCGAGTTCAATGTTGAAGATATGAACCCCTTCATATTGTTTTTGTAACCAGGCACCACCTTCATATCGTATTTCGAATGCGCAGATACCGTCACTAGGTCACAGGTATCAACCTAAAGTACGAAGTAACCCTCAAGCAACACATCCGCTCAATGCGCATATGCGCAACCACCAGATAGAAATAAGATCGCATATTATGACGATCAATTAGGAATCTTGGGTTTGTTAGAACATCCTCCGTCTGACGTGATCTACGCCAAGTACAATTACATAACTCTCAATATATAAGTTGATTTCTTTTTTAAAACTTTCAATATTAATATTGATTACCACAGATCTAGTAAAATCTTTATCATTAATTACACGTGAGTGAGAATAATGCATGCAGTCCAGGTGATCCAATAAGTCAAGATTGATATAATCAATACTAGGTACTGCATTTCTGGCAGTCATTACTACTAGGTATGTCACGGGTAGCATTAAGCACTTACGTACATGTGATGATGCGGCCAATTATCATGGAGTCTTGTCCCAAAACGGTAGGCAAAAAGATCAAATATGTTTAATTCGGGCTGCACCTGTACAACACTTGTAGGGAGTTATATGTACATGATCTCATTTTTCAAATATTTCATAGGTACATATAATCTAGAGTAATTTTAATGGTAATTTGAGGTAACTCTCATCTGACGATAGTCATGCAAACATGTATACAAACTTGTATATGTGTACTGTGTTTGAGGTTAGAAGGCACAGCCTAGCAACCCCTGATTGCTGGGACAGAACGACAGGACAAGGGTAGAGTAGAGCATTGACCAACCAAAATTCCCCATGCTATTCAGCAACCTTCCCAATACATCGTCCACTTCCCATCTCACGCCGGCAAGGCTCCTTCTTTTCTTAGTTACGTCTTTACTTTCGTTCCTTCCATGCACTTGTGGACTGGTGGTCACTTGTTTCCCTCTCTCGGTATCGTCGATTTGTCCACATTTCATCACTTACATTCCCTCACACTCTTTTCTACACCATTCTTCCATTCATTTGTGAAAAATCCATCCATTCATTTCTCTCCCGGTAGGGATTTGGTGATCGGTTCTTCCGTTCACTCTCGACTGTTCTGGTAGCCCTTCGACTAGCTGCGCGTTGACAGGCGAACCTCTGATATCATTAATATCGTGGCTTAACCTCACAGCATAAGAATACGACGCGAATAGCAACGAAGCAACTGTCAGTTACCTGGGCTACCGGTTACCTTAAAAACACAGTGCCTGGTATAAGGAATTAAGACGGGTTCCCGCAAAGTTGACTCACCTTGCACACGATCTAGTGAAGTCGAATTCGGAACCTCATAATTCGTCACACACCCTGCTACCGTTCACCACCTTCCATCTACTACTTACCTCCTCACCTACCATCAAACCAGACGACGCGAACTTAACTTATCCTTTGATTTCTGATTGCCATGGGCTACTTCGTGGAACACTAAAAATTTCTTTTCGTTCTACACCAAACTTCCTTCTTACGTTGACCGTCAGTTAATTCATTCCCGGCCGACTAGTTTGGTCATTGAGATACCCCGTGATATTTGACTTCGATTCATTTCAATTTCCTTCTTTGATACCTCAACCTCTCCACGGACGTCGACATAGAATCGACGCATACCAAAAGATTATATTCATTACCATATCAGTTTACTTACCTCTACGGACCGGGCTACATGATGAAGATGCTATTCGCCGTTGTCGCCCTCGTTCCCCTTCTCTTGGGTCAAGGTGGCGCCCAGATATTGCCTTGTGCAGTGAGTATCTGATTCCTTTGTTTGGATAAATCATTTCACATAGCTTCATTCATATTGAGATGATATCTTAAAATTATCACACCCCATTTCCCTTCCTACTGAACGACATACTCGGGACCTTACACGTATCGTATCGTATCATGTCATACTTTTTATATACATATTGTAGCTAACGATGTATCCCTCTAGGCTGGCTGTGTCAGTGGTGTCTTTGCCAATGCCGCCAACATGGGATGTGCCATGAATGACATTCTCTGTGTCTGTGGCAAGTCTACCGATTTTTCGGACGGTATTCGCGATTGTGTCAACCAGGCTTGTCCTGCTGCGGATGTAGCAGCTCAGCTTCCTCTTGCCCAGAGTGCCGGTACCGATCAATGCAAGAGTAAGTAAATGCAACACCTCATCTTATGACGACTATTGACTAACCCAAATTCTGCAGCTGCATCAGCTGCTGCGGCAACTCCTACAACTAGTACTCCGGCGCAATCCCAGGTTACTCCACTTACCCAGCAAGCCGCTGCTTCACCTTCAAGCACAGCAACAGAGACACCTGCTGAGACTACCGAAACTACTGCGACTCCTATCTCAACAACTAGTCCTGTCTCAACGCCTACAGCACAAACTACCGAAGCGGCTCTTAGTGTCGCATCTACCGACTCGGGTGCTACCAGCACGACCTCAGCTGCTGATCAATCTTCGACTGATTCTGCTGTAAGTAAACTGTCGTATCCTCACATGCGGTGACATAATAATAACTGGGATACAGTCGACAGCTATGTCAAGCACTACAGATTCAGGTGCCGCAAGTGGTGCTACTGCTGCGGCGGACAGCTCTGGCAGTGGATCGCCGTCTACCTCGAGTGATCTGTCTGTTGCCGCCCGAGCTGGTATTGGTGCTGGCTCTGGTGTCGCAGCTGTCCTACTTGGCATAATCGCTTTCTGTCTACTCACGCGCCGCCGAAAGCAGAAAAGGGCGGCTCAACAGAAGTCTATGCAGATCTTGCAGCCTCTCCCCGGCTCGGGACGACTGTACGCCAACAACATGCGCCAGGCCGATGCGTCTCTATCTAAGACATTCACTCAATCGCCTCTATCCAAGAAGTCGAATCAACCTGCCGCGCGCGCCCCTTCGCCCACAACCCCGCCGTACTCACCCTCTGTTGCCTCTTCGTATGATCCGGATCTTGACTTGAACGCGCGTCGATACGAGGACCTGACACCTCGAACCCAGCCCCGAACGATGATCTAATCGGTCTTCATACGTTTCGCCTGCCTACCTAGGTAGGCACCGAATTATTTTCACTTGGGGATTTTATTATAGGTGCGGATGCGTTCTCCTAGAAATTCGAAGTCGAGGACCAATTTAACCCTACTACGGTGTTATTTTTGGAGGCTTACTCTGGGAGGTTCACGCTTACGCCGGCCTTCTAATCTGATTATCATCAGAAAGTCTAGGAGGTATTCGAGTTTTCATCATTTTCTGATTTCCACACGAACTAGTAATTGTGGCCGAATGGCAGAAACCAGATAATGTAGCTAGCACACAAACGAATCAATTCCCCAGAAAGCTTAATGATACGCGCAAGCTTCTTATGTGAAAACTTGTATGGTGATTTGTTGTTATGCGATTCCTGCCCAGCTTCTAAAACATCATTGTTCACGTAGCTCGCGATTGAAATATCTGGATCAGATGAGAAGCTAGATATAAGATCTTAGCACCCGAGTCCCGAGTCTGTTTCGTAAAATCTTGTAGTATTCTTTATTTCGATCATAGCGGGACTCATCATGTTATCCCTTGAGCGAATTGTTTGTTAATTGTATGATACATGTATCGAGTCGAGTCGATACTATCTCTCCTACAAGCATGTACAATATAGATGCCCGATCCAAGGTAGTAGAGTTATATTTTCTTTCTGTTGTTTCTTCCACTGCACTAGTTACACATCACCAGCTATAATACTGCCTTTGAGCCGTAACCGGCCGATTCGGCAGATGTACCCAAGGAGCCTTCTTGATTTGCTTTTCGACCCTATCATCGTGCTGCCGTAACCTAGTTTTCTCCTCCTTTAGGACGATTGAGATTGCTATAGAAGAAGAAATCATTATTAGATTAGCTCAGAACTTTCAATTCGCGACGTATACTCCCTCGGGGGGTTTTTTGGAGGGGTTTTTTATTTTAACAATTGGTGGGTTGAGGTCTTTAACGATAAAGAGAGGGGGGGTGGATCACTCACAAGCCGACGGCTTCCACATCATGGTCATTCGGCCGCGAGCCATGAAGTGTATCCTCTGGCCTATCCACATGCGCTTACCGACCCAGGACTGGTCGACGTATAAGTTCGTCGGATCCTTCACCTCCATCCACTTGCCGTCCTTGGTCTGGATCTGCCGCGGCTTATCGAAGACCTTCCCGTCAGCGACGCCAAGACCCATACCACGCTCGGCGATGGCCGCATCGCGCGCAAGTTCCAGCTGCCACTTCACCTCGCGAGCCATCTTCTTCTTGCTGAACCGCATCTGGGTTATCGCGTCGTCGACAGTCTTCCCCACAATCTGCCGCGACAGGAACATGAGCCTCTTGGTGCTTGTCGGCAGGACGTCGCTCATGCTCGTGTGCTCCTTCTCGGTGAGTTTGATGCGCTGGGCCTTGGTTAAGGGTTTATCGGCGTCGCGAACCATCTGCCGGACCTTCTTCTTGAGAAAGCGCACGCGCCACCGCGGATCCGGATCCAGCGCGCGCTGCATATGCTCTTTCACAGTGCTCGGTTTGTACATATCGTGAGGCGAGGTCTTGGATATTTCGTCACTGGGGTGTCCGGGATCGTCTTGGACCTCCAACTCATCCTCGAAGATGGATGACCCTCGTGTTCGATCCAAGCTTTGCCGCATTAAACGCTTCTGGCGTTCCATCGCCGAGTCCTTCTTAACCTTGTCTACCGTATTCTGGACAACTTTGGGACTGAGACCCCAATTGAAGGCGCGTCGCTGTGTTTGGGGAAGCAAGTATTGTAAGTGTAGGCATGGCCTGCTAGCTGCGGCTTGGGATGCTATGACGTTTATGATTAGTATATAGGCACAATAAGAGCGATTTGATGCATATGAACATACCGGTGGCGGCTATCCGCCGCGCGGGTAAGTGTAAGCTCATAGCTTGGATGAATTGGGTGATATGACAATTTGAAATGAAGCTGTCTATCAATATATCAATATATCAATATATCAATATGGCCTGCGAACCATTACTTGAGCCTCATAGAAAAAAGTGTAGACGTTGGAATTTGAATTGCCGGAGATAATCCGAATGGGAGAATTAAAAAAAAAAATCCTTAGGTAGTAAGGTACGTACATTGGCAGCACGTGATTTTTATTACAGACAGAGCTTCCCCATCTACGAATAAGCTTCGCGCGAATTGGGAAACATCATCGAACCACTTTCAGCACTTCCAACTTTCATTTCAAACGATAGACGCTAATTCTCCTGTTACCTCTACCTCTTAATCGTCTATCCGAAGTCAACATTCGAAATGGCAATTAAACCTATTACCGGCGTAAGTATCCCTTTGCGCTCAATTACTGCGTGCGCATACCCTCCTACCGAGTCATTGGGTCTAATTTTGTGTCGTTGTAGATGCTCCGAAGGGGCCTTGTTACCGACCTCGGCATTGGACTTGGTACGTTTACTCTACCACCCCACCGACCATTTCCACGATATCCGGAACTCGAAGCCAATATGTAGATGGCACTGCTGGTGCTCTTTGACTAATCCGAATCGTAGGACTCGGCGTAACTTTCGCTAGCCTATACTGGTACGGGGGCCATTCTTAATTTCTATCTTTTTGAAAGAGACTTGGTCAATCGAGGCCGGGATAGAATCATGATAGGCTAACTTGCGCGCTCAAGGCACGGATACCACATGCCGCGCACCCACGCGCGAGACAACTTTTACAAGAAACTTGAGGACGAGCGGGCCTCACGGATGATCTAAGAGGATGGCGAGGGGTTACCTAGGTGAGGGGGAAGACATGCACATACCAAAGAGGGCGAAACATCGGACACTAGACGAGAACGTCATTTTTTCTATCCAGGTTGAGGTTAGAGAATGCTATAGACGATAGTTAGGCTTCGAGAGCTGGACGGCCGACTGTATTATACGAACGAAACCCGCCCACCGAAATCAGACTTCGAGAGTATTCTCATCCACATGAGTTGTTGTTATTAGTCGTGACTAGTTCGTATGAAAGCCTATTGGTATCGATATTGGTAACTGGATAATTGAGATATATGTTGGAAAATAAATACTAAGTCATCTGAGGACATAGTATAGATAGGGTATGGGTCGATTTATCACGATTTATAACCGAGGTCAGAAGGTAAGAAAACGTACGAGTGATTATGGGAAGTGCCAAAATGTAAAATAAAGAGTTTACTAAAACTGGCATTTGATTCTATTATTAAATAGCAAACGGGAAGGTATAAGTTGCAAATACCTAAGCTGCAATTGATTGATTAAGTTATGAGTTATGAGTTAGGGGTTATGTTATGCTGGATGTTGTACCCCCACCATCATTCTTCGTCTTATTCGCCTCCCATATTGTAGTCTCAACCATAAAACTCCCTTTCTTATCCTGACATCTAATTCGAGCTCGAAGAATTAGCTAAATTTAACACTCGAAATATTGAATGGGTGAATAAAGATAAGTAAAGAAAATAAGTAGCCTACCGCCGAAACCACCGCTGTACCGGCCAGCATCGCACGGGGCTGTTTGCGACTTTTGGCCGGTCGATCTGGCACTCGTATTGGACCATAGAAAAGAGCTCGCAGGTAGATAGGTCGATACGGCCGCCTTTGCGTACCTTTCCATCGTCGACCTGAATCTCGGACTCGAGCTGCGAGGCAGGGAAGTAACGACACGGCGGCGTCATTGCTCTTTGGGGGGTTGCCCGTAAGAGGTGGCTTATGAGATCAGTATGAGAGGAGTAGTAGGAAACGATCGAGGAGAATGAATGCTCCGGCAGCGAAACACGTCGGCGCGAAACTACTCGGAGAGGTAGAAGAGAGTAGTTTAGAAGAGGTATGTATTATGTTTTAAGTTTTTTTTTTTCTTTTTTTAAAAATTTTCTTTTGTGTTTGGAAGATGTAAACGAGATCTTGAATGTTGAGAGTTCAATTAAACCTCCAGTTATTAATCCTTATCTTATCGCCGTCTCTCATACCCCCCTTTAAGTCACCTCTATATGAATTAGGTATTGAGCAATCATCTTGATATAATCACACGACTAATATATACATTATAGCTCCTGGATTCTCTCCGTGTCAACATAATAGGCGGGGCTGCTTCTAATATCCGACCAGAAATTCCAGTCCCAGCTTTAGCCAACATCGCAACCCGGTATCACAAAGCGACGCAATCCTCACCACCGCCCGTTTTATCAGTGAGCGGGCGTTACTTACCGTTGCTGTACCATCTAATCTCGACTCTCATTGCCGACCCGCACAACTACACCGTAGTCATTGTCGACGCGGAGAGTCGCTTCGACGTCACCCGTCTTATCTCTTCCCCTATTTCCTCAGACCCCGCCTCTCATCAACCAAGTGGTAGCAACAGTAGTAACTATCCGGCAAAAGTCCCGGATCTTCGCCACGTTCATATATATCGCCCGGCACGTGGGCAAGAGGAAGTGCGAGCTGCCGTCGCGGCGGCGGACCAGTGGATGTTATATGGGAACCACGGCAGCCGGGCGCGGGAGTGGTGGGGTACGGTGGTGATTGGTGGGGGTAGCGGGGCAGGAGGAGGTATGAGTGTGAAAGGAGATGTGAACGCTGGCTGGAAGGGATGGTTGAGGGTTGAACGAGAAGAGGTTTCTGGGTTCCCGGCCGGGGTTAGTGTAGAGGAGGCGCTGCATGATAGGGGGAAGAGGCAAGAAGTTGTCGATGCTGCTGGGTGGGTGGCGATGTCGAGAGTTGGGGGATATGTGTGGAAGGATGTGTGACTTGATTTGGGGGAGTTATAATAACGAATATTTGTAATTGTTGTTTGCAAAGATGACGAGAGGCGGCGTAGGGTGGGTGGGTAGGTACCTGGTCCTAGATGAACGGATTCTGTTTGCTCCTCTCGTAGTACTTAGCTTTATAATATATCGTACGTACCAACTAAAATTTGATAACATTCGTCATTTTTCAGAAACATTAAATGTTGGAAATGTTATCCAATACTACCTAGTAGGTATTCGTCACTTAGGTACCTACTACATAGGTATGTACATAGGTATCCATTAATATGACAGACCCCAGACCGTTTGCTAAGCATCGGTATGGATAATAGTACCGTCCGATTAAGAAAAGTAGGGGTATTGCATATCGAAATTGAACCTGTAATTTAGGTAGGTACGGGCGACGAATAGCGTTTACCGTGGTCCACTTCCAGCCCCAATAGCCCCAGCGGGATTTAGTAAAAATTACTTCAGCTAATCCAACTACATATTTACATCTTTACACCAACGGTCAAATCAATCCTTTATCATCCATACATAAACGGTCTAGTTAACTAATTGAACCTGGTCAATTAATTGACAGACATGGATGCGATATATTAGGATTGTATATATCTTGACAAAAATACCTATACAAGATGGCACCAAATCAATACGGATCGCTCGATCCTCTTCAACAATATAATCAACTCACATTTGCCGTCATTCCTCAACAACAGCATACACAACATCCACAACACCCTCAACTTCCCCAACATCAACATCAACATCAATCTCAACTCCAATCACAACTCCATCAACATCAACATCAACACCAGCAACCCCTCCAACAAGCCCCTCCTCACCATCATCAACAGCTCCAACCCACCCCTACTACAGCTGTCCCTCCACCAACTTATCAACAACACATATCCGTACCATCCTCCTTACCATCTACCATACCATCTACCATACCATCTACTATACCATCCTCTATACCACCAGCCAACAATGGCGTCACACAACAGCAGCAACAACAGGGTGTCAACCCAAATCCTAATCCTACACAACAATCACCCTCTACTCCTATTGTGGAAATACCCACTACCACGAATAGCCCCCACCTTGATGAACCACAACGCAAACGCCGCCGCGTAGGTCGTCCCCCCAAATCGCAAGCGACAAGAGACTACCTCGACCGACGCGCCAATGCGAACCTACCTCCGCCCCCTCCTCTCCCGCCCCAAGTCCATGTGCCGCAACCGCTAAGTAAGGGCCCGTACAACACGGCTGAAGACGCCGTCTTCTCGCTGCAGCTGCACGTCTTCAGTACCGGGTACGGCGTCTCGCAAAAGCGCACGGTGAAAGAGAAGCTCCCGTCCGGGCGCTACGACCCAGCTGGCCCCGTGATCCGTAAGGACTTCGCTTGCGACCGCGGTGGCTCGGAGTTTGTGTCGCAGGGCACGGGGGAGCGACGCCGCGAGAGTAAGAAATGTGGATGTCCCTGGAAGGCGGTAGCACGCCGGCTCAAGCGCGAGGGTGATCGCTGGTTTCTCGAGGTCCTAAACCCGCGGCACAACCACCCCGTTACCTCGCCCGAGAACATGCATACGATCGCCTCGTACCGCCGGTGGCAGCGCGACAATAATGCCGGGATAAGGACGGCCGTCGGCAGATTGACGCGAGCCGCAGCGATGCCTGCGAGGCAAATTGCAGATTACTTGAAGGGCCAATTCGCGGATCCAGATCTCGATCGCATCGATAAGAACATCCTGCGCGCGCTGAGTATGAACGATGTGGAACTACCGAGCGATGGGTCGGCGCAGGGTTCGGTTGCGTTTGACGTTATAGGGAGACGGCCGACGATTATATTGCAGGAGACCCCGGGGAGCTCTGGACAGGTTGGGAATGATAGTACGGAAACGGATCCAGGTTATCCGAGACGTAGTCGTGTGGAAACTTTCAGTGGCATGGGTGTGATTCGGTTTTGAGAACAGCCTAGTGAAGGCAGAAGTGTCCGTACGCTGAGCATCGACTTACCAAGCTAGGCTGCTTCCCTCTTTACCCAGGTACCTTAAGGTCCATTGTGTGCTTACATTATGCTCGGAGGCCACTGTTTATACATGGGATACAAGTCCGTAGTGGTCGGATAATGGTAAAATATTGTAATATCATGGGAGAGGCTTCGACCATCTATCTATATGGTCACATATCTACAGTGTATATATTTTCAAATCTCAATAAATGTAAATAAGGTTACGGGTGTCAAGAGGGAAAGGGAAAAGAATCTTGAGAATATATAAGGGCTAACCAAAGATAACCAGTTCACCTACCCAGGTACCTACCCCTACTTTGTCTATGTTCATTCGGTTTTGCTTCATGCCAGACTTTCACCACATTCACATCAGTATCTAGTAAACGCAACTTTTTTAGGGTACGAATAGGTCTCAATTATTTTGTTTACGCCCATCAGTACCTAGGTAGGTACCTATCCAAGGTGGTTTTTATCAATCCCGAAGCAATCCATTATTCTATGTCCGGAAAACTCGGATTATGTAACTTTTCACTGCAGTTATTCATTCATTGGACATCCGGATTCAAGCCCGCCGCCTCAACTCGCCCATCCGATGCCTACAATGCTATGCTATAATGCGCCACTCAACCCCTGCAAATGCTCATCCCCATCCGGTACAATGCAAAAAAAAAAAAAACGATTCATCCTTCTCTTCTCGACCCTGAAAGTGCCCCATTTATTATTTTACTATGAGGGAGAAGAACCAGAAGCCGAAGCCGACGTTGAAGCTGAAGTGGTACTTTCACAACCATCTGTAGGCTTCTTTCGAATACAGCTTGTGCACGCTATTATAGTTTTTCTGCCTGAATCCCTCGTCCGGATACGTTCGTGATACTTCTTTAGATTGTCAAACCCGGTTATATCTGGACCAAATTCGTACTGCCCCGGCAGTCTCATGATGTCGTTGACGATAGGCCAGAATGCATAGTCAGCCAATGACATGGTGGGCCCTGCAATAAACTCGTTGTCTTCTGCCGCGTACGTCTCCCACACACGCATTTCGGATTGGAATGTTTTGGCGTCCAGGTTTTCCCTATGCTTTCCTAGGAGGGTCAGGGCTTCTTGGAATCGAGCTGACTCCTTCTCAACATCTCTCTGCGGCGATTGCTCTTCACGGGAGGAGTCGTTCTTTTTCTGGCCGTAGATGCGGTCAAGGTATAACATGATCTCAACGCCATCTTCTATGATCGTCTTAGAAGAATCCACGTCCACGAATTTAATGGGAATAGCTCCAGGATCACTGGCAGGCTCGCTGTCCTGCCAGTCGGAGAGAGCTGACATGCTTCCCCTCGAATAGCTGACTCCATACTCGGCTAGCATCAACTGGATTCGCATATTGACGACAGCATCCGATGATAGGAACAATCGGGGCGCGGCTGAGATATGGAGTACGTCAAACCCTTTGCCGTAATACTCGTTCCAGTCAAATTTTGTCGACAGGTTTTCCTTACTGAACGCTTTCAACATCTTGACTGCCTCGGGCGTTTGACCATTAATCACATTGTTCGCCGTCTCTCTAGTCTTTGCCGTAGCCCCTTGTCCCCATATTAATCTCCCGTCCCGGTCCAAAAAGGTTCCTATCTGTCGAAAAGTTAACGAAATGCGAGCGCCGTCATAGGCAAGCTCTGGCTCCGTCTTATCTCGGTCCATCCTCTTATCCTGACGAATACTGTGGAGCCATCGCATATTTGTCGTTAATCCCATCTTGCATAGTGAGTTGTGGGGCAAGGATGCTCGTTCAGATTTCCGTGGCGGACGTGGATGTCCAGGGTCCGAAAGCTCTCTTTTCGATCGGAAAACCATCGTCCGTTCTGCCCCCAAGCTGACATTGGCGATGAAACTATCCTGAACAATATCTAGAGTTTTGTCGCTGTGTTCCGAGATGTAGTCGTTGCCATTGCGGTAAAGTTGTATCAAAACATGATTTAAGGGATGGCCCAAGTGCTTCTCTACAGTCTCCTTGATACTACGTACGGTAGACGTGAATGGAAATAAGGGTGGTGACTCGTCGCTTGGGTGGCGGTAAATAGGCATGGTACCATCCTCGTCTACCTGTCCCTGAACAGCGACAAGGCGTGGTACCTCGCCACCTTGATGGTTCATTCGACGCCAATCTACCTCGGCTTTAATCTTCTCAAAGATATCCTCGGATAATGGGGGAAGTAAAACATCATAGATGACCTTCGTGTCACCCTCAGCCAGAGGCTCACTCTCCCTTGGGGCCATTACTTCTTGGGGCGCCATCTTGCTATTATTGTTAACTTCAACTTTCGAATCGTCTGCTGGCGTTTTTGTTTGCTGGGGAGATTTTTCGCTTGGTGTCTCACTCACAATCCCTGCTGGTGATAGGATGCTTCCCGATGAGCTAGATTGGATTATTTCTGATGATAAGTAGTCTTCATCACCTTCTAATTGGTCCTGTGTAGGAACAGTTGCTTTATGCTTTTTGTCTGGTAGTAAAATCTCCGAAGAGTGTTGATGAGGAACAATGCTATTGCTCTGTGACGCTGCTGTCAATTTTGCTGGCAGCAATGTCTTTCTAACCTCCAAAGCCTGCACATCATTATTCTTATCATGCTCACCGCTTTGTGACTCATCACGTAAGATCGTTCGATGTAGCTCGGCTCGGCTGGCTGAGTCGGTTCGACCCGATCTCGATGATGATGAATCGGCACGTGACTTTCGGTTGCTTTCTGCAGTTTTCGGTTTCACGAGATTCACCAGGGGTTGAATCGACAGTGCTGCATTTTCCGTAGATGCATTGGGCTTGGGGGTATCGACTGTACGCTCAGCACTTAGCGACAGGTTCTCAAACGACGATAAGAGTTCTGAGGCCGAGGACGTAGAAGAATCGTCCCCTCCTCCGGTACGACGTACGGTAGAGAACCTGCCGGCTGGGGATGTCGCCGGCCTATCACCTGACCTCTTTGTCTGCTTCGATTTAGGTTTAAGGGATGTTAAGACGTCTTCCGCAGCTAGAACGTCACAGCCTGTCGTGTTCGATATCTGCTTGATAGCGTTGCGATGTCGCATTATGTTATGATAACCGCTACAATCCTCGACTATGGTGATGGTATACCCATGGCTTGCAGCATCGACGGCGGTGGCCATAACCCCGGTATTAGTCGAGGAACCGCAGATGAATAGTTCCGTGACAAGTCTCATACGTAGTAGCCGAAGGAGTTGTTCTGACCTGAAAGCCGAGTAGTAGGACTTTACAACCGAGTAATCTCTCGGCCCGGTGGCAGCCTTCACGATCCGATGCATCTCTATCCCGCAGGAACCTGTCCGGACACACTTCGGTAGATTCGGGGTCTCTTGGGTTAAAAAAGCTTCGGGGCACTCGGAAGCTTGTGGTGTATGCTGCGGTGCTTGTCGACGACGGCCACGAGAATGATCCGGGGACCGAGGGTTGGACGAGCGGTCTGATGTCAAGATCTGCTCATCAAATATAGACCGTGACTTCTCAAAACGACTGGATACCCATATGATGTCGCCGCCGCCTTGTCGGAAGCCAGTTACTAAGCCTGCTATTCTATCTGGAAGATCCATGGGGTAGTTGATCGGATAGGCACCATCCTCGTCCAGGAAGTCATTCTGGGGATCGATAACAAGTAGTGCCTTACGAGTTGTCAAGGCCGGAAGAAGACTCTTGTCTATGGAGAACATGACTATGACACTATTATTAAGTTCGCCTGATATATATATCCGATATCCGATATCTGATATCCAATATATCCAAAAAAGCTCTACTAGATCACATACTTGAGTTAGGATAAAGAGTTAGAGTGTGGCGGATAATCGATGATTTGCTTACTTTCTTGCCAACAAAGACAAAGAAGTTGCTATGACATACTTGAAGACAGCAACTTAACAACCCTACACTGAAACGATAACGATACGGAGCTGCCGGCCAAGGACGTGATATAAAAAGATATAAAGATATAAACGATCAATGGTCCAGCAGTCTAGCTGTGCTTGGATATATGTATGTATCACTAGGGCTGTAGGTTAAGCTTGGCAATCCGCGTTTCGGGCAAATGTCGTTGTAGAGCCAAGGGAGATCAATCCACCCAATAAATACCAAGAGAAAAAATGGGTTCGGTGATAATACAATGTTTTAGACGATCGGGGTGGACCAATGTAGATGAGATGACGAGGAAAGCTGAGATCATATATCGTAGACCTCGGGAAGTGAAGGAGCAAGTAAGGTTCCCAATAAGTATGTAGGTAGGTAAAGATGAGGTCCTCCCATCGGCGATATTAAGTACGGTAAAACATGATGAGGTAGAATATCCAGGTGGTAGATATGTACAGGTTTTTAATATCAAAATAGGTAGATCAGATAGATGAAAAGAATTAGAAAGGGTTTAGTCACAGGTCACAGACAAATTGACAGACAGGCGGGATATACTAAATAGAGAATAGATCAAAATAGGAAGTATGGATGGATGTATGGATCAAATATGATAGCAGGATGGGCCAGGTAAGTCCAAGTAGTCAAGGTAGCCAAAGTTGTCAGGGTTGTCAAGGTTAAGGTAGTAGAACAAGGGTCTCTTTAAAACGGTCGTGTCTTGAACTGGCTTGCTAGGCTGGGGCTGTCTCCTCGATATGACGATGAGAACTTTCTCTACTATGCAATGCATGTATGACCATCTAATAACAATTCGACGTATTGATGCATAATAACAAGAATGGTAAAGCAACGTTGGGGCTTTTTTTTCTTTTCTTTCTTGTGCCTTTCGGTTTCGTTCAATCAGTTCAAGGAATGGAGAATTGGGGGAAGATTCTCTGAGAAGAATGACAGGGGCATGGTTAAGGGTAAGGGTAAGGATGGGGGTAAGGAGGGGGGTGTATAAAAGAGAGAGGGGGGTGAGATGGGAAAACGAATACAGAAAAACGTCAATAGTAGGTACATAGTAGAATAATAGAAATAATAGAAAAGAAGAGGCAAAGAAAAAAAACTTTTTAAAAAAAAAAAAAATACCCATAGGGTGGCATCCAACCCCATTTTTATTTCTTTCAATGTTCTTTCTTTCTTCTCATTCATTCGTCCTACTTTCTCAGCAGACAGAGACAGACATACGCCAGCTGTAAGTAGGTACTGATATGGTAGCTGCCTTTTCTTGGTCTTTCGAACTTTCAAAAACCACATGGAAGACCGGGGTGCCTGGCAATCGTTCTATTAGCTCTATTCGGTGGAAAAACATTGTCGATCTTTTAGCGGTGACTTCGATATGTTCCCACTAAAGATAGGGTCAAAAACAAGTGGAACGAGTGGGTTCTGGACTTTGACTTAAAGTTAGACTCTTTAGACTTCGGCGAGGTCGAGGTTAACGAATTATTCGAAAGTGCCCAGGCAGGTCAAGCAGCCCATCTAGTACCTAGCCAAGGTGTGGTGGGATAAGAATCAGAATATGCAGCTTCGGCAGTCACTTCCTACAACTCGCAGCAACATGCAGCTAGGGACATTCAATGTTCACTAGGACATTAACTTAAACCTTGGATGCACTAGAGTATTGTGGTACATTACACTCGTAACCTCGTAACTTACGCAAGTGCTCCAGGGCTCTTCTTCTTTTATACCCCACCTACCCTCTGCGCTTCTATGCTCCAGGGCTATCAATGTTACTCTGAGTGCATCCTACGCTAGGTACCTAAGTACCCCTAGCCCCAGAAGCTCTATCAAATTTCTCAAATTTCTCCAATATTTCTTCTTCGACTTTCCCAAACACTTTACGAATCACATCTTTTTTTTTGTCGAGGATATGATATACTTAGGAATAACGTATCCGTCTCTTAGGGATCTTGCTTCCGATAACTCAATGCCGACGTTCCCCTGCGCATCAATGCTGTAAGTCCTTTCCGACGCAGCAACGTTGTTGTTGTTGTTGTTGTTATTGTTGTGTTGTTGAATCGTCATCGTATCGAAGTAATTATTCAAGCGATGAAAGAAATTTGGTACTCTAGATGCACGCTCGGTCCGGTAATCTGCGATTTCTGATGAGGAGGTTGAGAAAAGTCAAGGAAGTCAATGCGGATCTGCGCAGCTAAATCTATTACGGTAGATTCGGATGCCAACGTGATTGCGCCAATCTGTTCTAGACCTTCTTTCGACCTTCCCTAAACCTTCTTAATCGAAATACTTGCAGGATTCCATTGTTCAATGTCCCTGTCGAAGCCCCGTTAGAGCCCCCCGTAGACGAAACTAATGAAATTCTCCGCTATGACTTCCATGATCAATATCCACAACTGTATCGAGCGGTTCAAGCGCTTTGAATGGTTCATCATTCATGTGGTTCATGTGGTTGATACTATGTATGGTTCAAATGGTCCATATGGCTCGAGTGGTTCGGGCTTGGCTTGATTAAGACCCTGCATCAGACTATGATGCTCTGATCTCTCGTGTCTAATGCAAATAGCACATTGAATAGCACATCGAATAGCATATCGAATAGTATATCGAAATCGTTATATAGTCCCCGATGATCTACACTTGCGCATACGAAATTAGAACCGAGCCTAGACTACGAGATGTATGTACGTACGTATAAGTCATCACCTTGACTATAATCGCTCTACTCACTATTGGCTCGTTCTCTCTTAAGCCAAGGGACCAAGAATCCAAGAAGTCCTTATTGACTTGGCTATGTGGTGACAGCATCATGTGAGGCATTAATTCATGGCAGGCAAGACGTTTTGAATATCAGATTCGACTGACAGGAAACGTCTATCATTGATCGGTGCTAAGGCAAGTAATCAGGTCCCGAGGTGAACGAGGAGGTCTCACGCTGACAGCCCCTTGCGTAAGTGTTGTAAGGTGAAGGTGTGAAGATATGTAGGTGTGTAGGCGTAGGTGTGTAACTCCTGACGATCCCTCATGATAGTCTCACGCCTTCTCCGCAAGGTGAACCTTTACAGCAACGATGGTGTTCTTGACTGCCATTCTAGGTATCTTATCTTGACATTAAACAGCTGAAATATGTATGTACCTGTACGCCGCCTGTCTGTAAGTAAGTAGGTAAGTATATATGCTGTTAGTCCTCACTTTGGATGGGGGTGCGGCGAGGTAGCACGTATTTATCCGCTTGCAAGGACAGCCATGCCTCAATAAATGAAAAAAGAGGCGTCGGCGTGAATGGCACTCTAGAATCGAATCTCTTCCGTCTCCAACGGCGATTCGTCATCGTCATTGGCCGCCCTATCTGCTACTCAGACTGCTTGGATTGCTTGGGTTGCTTGGGTAACTTATCGTCTTTTACCATATATTAAATCTGCCAGGGGCCTGTAAAAAGAACCATGCAGTGTGTGCACCGTTCTCCAAGTCTGACCCCAAATCGACGAGCGACCGCTTCACTTACCTACCCGGGACCTGCCTCTCTGCCTCTATATCTTAGATGTTCAAAACTACCCTACATATCGAAGCGACGAGTTTTGGATAAGTTAAGTAGACACCTTCGCGATAGAATATACCTCGGGTACATGATTCCTAGGATTCCCATGGTTCCTGGTAGGACTCTCAGATCGTGGTGAGATTCCGTCATGCGAAGGATGCACGTTATATCCAAATCTAGTAACACGAATCCTTCGGGAAGCGGGAAAGAAGGGACATTTTCTGTTGCGAAGTTGGAGAAGGCGAAAAGAAGCTCATATAGAAGCATTTCTCGCGCGGGGTTTCGGTCAGGAACTCAGGGGAAACGAACTGTCAGCTTGTCAAGCGTAAGATCTTTATTATTGCACCCATCTAAGTTCATAGGTCGACGAACGAGGCGGGGGGGGTTGACAACCCGTTACGGATGTTACCTACCTATTTACTGACGGGTGCACTATACGTATAGGTGGTTAGGTGTACGTTAGGTTAGTGAGCGAGGCACGTACATATAGGCGATACAACCCCGAGCGGGCTCCCGCTTCTGCATCCATGGATACGCCATCATACCTACATACATACATAGGTATCCATACGTACAGATACGTGGACGTACATACATACTACAGTAACTACGTATTGTACAAACATCATAATCATCATCTTATGGATCTTCCCTGGAAGCCGCGTGTCAGAACTGCTTTGCCCAACCAGAATAAGGAAACTTCCGATTGAGATCCACGGCCTAAGTAGTACGTAAGTGTAACCTATAACCCCTTGTTCGTCAATCGGTAGGTCAGTCATACATAGAAGGTAGTCGAGGTAATCGAGGTAATTATGGTAACTAAAGTAGGTACTGGGTAATATAATCAGTGTAATCAATGTACGAGCGGGCGGTGCCGTAGCTACGCACATATTCCCGCGGCGGGAGGATCGGGCTATGTCTAAAAACGGGAGGTGATAATTCGGAGCTGAAAAAAAGGACGGGTCAACGTAGTGTTGAAATAAGTCTCAAGAAATATAGACTCGGCCGAGTGTGTTTCAATTTTTACACGTGCTAACAATTATGGGTTATGGATGAAGGACCACCTCTATCGCGGTTATTATGGCGCCGAGGACAACACGTAGCAACTATTCCGAGTGGTCGTATGTTTGGGATCCGAACGAATCTGACTTCTTGACCTTGGCGGCAGCGAACAACTCTGGTTCGTCCCCGCTGATTATTTTCTCTTTTTTTTTACAGCGTATTTTTTTTCTTGTCTCCGCTGACTCCGGAACAGCTTCGGTCTTGTTCGTCTTATGCCAAATCTCCGGGGATACTATGGTACAGAGCGAGAGCACATCCATGAATATACTCGACGTCCAAGACTCCAAGTATTAACATTCACTACTTCTAGTTAGTACATACCTGAAAATTAAATACCTAACATATCCATAATTTTGTTACTTATATCTATTATCTCGGATCTTTAAAATGCCATGTGGTAGATGACGTGACAAGTTCTAATCTATCGTCTAGGTTCTATGATTTATAGCAAGATTTGCCCGCTCTATCGATCCTCATTGGACCGTCACTTTTTGAACTTCTCTCTCCTTCCCCCCTGTCCCTGGCCGCTAATTGCGAATTTATTACTTGCTCCGGCATTAACCACCTGGCACCACCCCATACCGTACCACGAGAAAACTGTAACCGCGAAAATTAGACCTGGACAACACATGGATATGTACTCCCGTGACTCTTTCTCACACTTCCCACACTTCTCACGCTTCCCATGTTTCCCACGCTTCTCACACCTTTCCAGGAATTCCTAGGCCTTGGATTATGGAAATCCCGATCTGCAAAGCCCGAATTGTGGTTCTCGGACTGTGGAGGACCCAACCGAACGCGCTCGTCATCTCTTTGGTTGTGTGTCTAACGTAGCATTGACGGGCACAACCTCAACTGCGTTATAGCAGCCACTACTGCTCATCGCGCTCAACTGCCGGTTGATCTCGCAGAAGTCTGGCCGCTGGCCGCTGGTAGGATTCGAGCATCGTCGACGCAGAGCCGCGAGGAGCATGGCAATTCGCAGCTCTTCCTCGTCGAATTTATGTTTCGTGACGCTCCACACATCTTCGATTAGGTGAGCGAAGGCGAGCACCTCGAGTCGCTCGACCTTCCTGTGATTTATGTTCCCATATATAGATGCGGCACCGAAGTCGCCTAGAAATGCGTGCCCTTCTTCGTTATAAAGAATATTGTGCGCATACAAATCGCCGTGTGCTACGCCTCGTTCGTGCAGATGTCTTGCCGCGCTAGCGACACCTTGAAGGATCTTTAGACCCTGGCGCGTGGTCAACTTGATCTCGTGCGAGAAGCAATCCCTCGTGCATGACTGTAAAGACGGTGGCAGCCCTAAGGTGTTGTAGCACGTTGGGATAAGTTGCATGACGAGCCCTTTCTTGGTTGGATGATCAGTAATCTTCCCCAGGGGATCTATGAGATTCATGTGCGATCCGGCTTTCATGCACGCCTCCATCTCATCGGTTGGCGTTCCGTCACTCGTAACATCACCCTTGAACAACTTAATGGCTACCTCTTCAACCTGATCGATACCGCTCCATGACCCTTTCGAGATCGTTCCCGATGCGCCTTCGCCAAGAATATCGCGGATATCGAGATCAGCCCAGCTAACGTCGGGGAGGAAGTTAGACGGTGTGGTGTCACGGGCATCCTTCGACGTCGCAGGTAACGAGCAACACGGATTTCCGGCAAAGGACAAGAAGGCCAGTTCCGGTAGGTCAAATAGCCACTCTGGCAATTCTTCAAAGCAATTCGCCGAGAGTCGTAGCAGACCGAGTTTCCTACATGCGACCATCTCGTCCGGCAGGCAACTGAGCTGGTTCCCGGCCAACATGCACTTCTGGAGGCGCGAGCATCGACCAATGCCCTTGGGCAGCGACCGTATCCGGTTGTTAGTGAGGATCAGCCAGCGTAACTTCGGCGGCAAAGAATCCTCCGGGATGTCAACCATCTGGTTGCTGCGAAATGCGACCATCTCGAGCTCGGGACATGATGCTAGTTGTTTAGGGAAGATGGCGAAGTTGCAATTGGAGAAGAATGCGATCTTGAGCTTCTTTAACCGACCGAAGTCATCGGGTAGCGTCGACAATCCAGTATTTGAGAGGTCGATGTGCTCCAGGGAGTGAGCGAAGCTGAAGATTTCTATTGGAAAGCGATCTAGAGGCTTCGAGATCTTCAGCTTGGTCTCACCACTTTCTGAACCCCCGTTCTCTCTCAAATTCGCGAGTTGATGCATATTCCGTCGATATTTATTCCGTTCATCTCATCATGACTACTAGGTACTTTCGTTTTCTCCGGGTTTTCGGTTTGAGAGAGTTTAAGAGAGTTTGAGACGGTTTAAGAGAGGAGGTACCTACGGCCTACATGTATGTAGGTAGGTAGGACCTGGCAGATACCTAGATAGTACCTACCTAGTGAGACGGCAATCCAGCTGAGATATGAGAGGGGCCACCAGCACATGGGGATGAAGCAGCCAGGGCCCATATTTGTTAGCTTATCGTCAATCTAACTATCGATTCATAGTGGTCAAGTGTTGTTTATGACAGGTTCAGCTTCAACCAGAAATGGATCTTGCTACGTGGAATTATATGTCTATTAGACTAAATGTATATTAGGTAAATAACCGTGGTGCCTTGGTCTGTTATGAGGACTTGGGACTGTAGTAGATATAAGGGAAATCCTCAATCTAATTTTAGCTCTTCATTACACTCAAGTGCCTTCATTAAACATGAGCTGTACTGGGTTTGAGAATAATAAATATCATGAGAATCATTCATTCATGATTTTTCAAGGTTAGCAGTTTTAGTCACTAACCCCGCCAACCCCCACCTTGTCCGCCCTCTTAGACAGGTACGTACCGGTCCAAAGCTTAAACCTTCAGCCACCGTGGAGTCGTGGACACCTTCCCACCGTAGGTACCTATGTACTAGCCGCATGTATCCACTTTAATTTGCAGCCCGGCAGCCTCGAACCCTTGTCGCTTCGACTCTTCAAGGTTCTCAACTCCGTAACTTTGTATCCAACGTTTTCAACCTCCACCGAGAGCTGATCTAGTCCCTCAGGTCTCTCTATCTTATTCTCGAACTTCATCTCCCTTCGGAAGGTCGGTCTACATATTACGAGTAGCGCATTAATCGCTCCTATAAGAATTCACTTTGACATTCAAAATCTTCTACCCCTTCGTGATGCTTGCTTTCTCTCAGCCGGCCTAACATCTGATTGAAATTCGCAGTATCTTCACCTACGTCTTCGTCGCCAACAGAAGTTACTCCTCGAATCTACGATATTGAACATCTAAATATCCGCAAAGACTGCAACTGCGACCTGAAAATACCACCGGATCGAATTCTCTCCTCCATTACGTACGCGTCGCGCATCCTTCACCTCAACCTTCGAGCTTGCGCTTCACACGAACAGAAACGATATATTACAAGCATCGCCTTTCACCAATTTATCTTTCGCCCTGGCCCACAACTTCCAACCCATGTTTTAAGTTATCAGGCTTTTCAATCGCGTTATCTCGCCGGTACGGCCTTGCGTAGGATCGCTAACCAACCGACGTGGTCGCCGACTTGCGTACCTTTTACCGTACATCGTTAAAAACGACGCGATAAAGAAACGCCCTTCAATAATCATATTTTCAACTTCCATATCGTCGTCTTATCAGAGGTACACTTACTCTACGATATATTTCCGCCCCAAGATTCTTATCCAACAAATTATTTTGAAACATGGATACTTCTCGAAAACGTCCTAGCACTAGCGGTAGTGAACCGAGCCAAGACCATCAATCTAAGCGTCAGAAGACCGCTGATGTTGACGTTCGCTCTGTTACTCCAACCGCGATCACTCCCGCAAAGCCAGCTTGCGAGGTTGCCAGTGGCCCTACCGTGCATAATATCGGAAGGGACGGCTTGAGACGCTCGATTGGTCTGCAGCTGCAATATATGGGTTTTGATAGCTCAAGGAGCGACGCTCTAGAGGGTTTCACACAAGCTGCCGAGACATGTACGTGAATGGCGAGGCCACCTTTTTTATTCTCATTCTGACTATTGTATAGATATCACCCACTTCGTAGAGAATATCAAACGAAGCGCAAACGCAGCACGAAGAAATAACCCGATACCTCTGGATTTCGAGTATGCCCTTGAACATTCAAACGTCACCCTATCTTCTCTGAAGCCACATTTAAAACTCCCTATTCCTAACGAGGAGCTTACGCCATCCTTCTTCAACCCTATCAAAGAGGACATACAGCAATTCGCGAAACCTCGGCCATTCTTAGGTGATGAACTATCCGGTCAGAAGGAGAAAGACGAGCGACCCTGGATCCCGAAGCACTTCCCCTCGATGCCTAGTCCTTACGCATACCGGTTTACTCCATATCACCATACATACGATCGTAGTAAGGAGCAGACACAGGCTGAGCTAGATGCGAAGAAGGGCGAGCGGGCGTTGCGGCAGATAAACAGGGCTGCTAGAATCAGCCGCCAGAAGGAGATCAGAGCGATCGCCCATAAAAATCCTCTGAGCAAGGAGCGACAGGTAGCATGGGAGAAGATGATGACAAGACTCCTTCCTGAAGTCGAACCGACGAATATGGCGCCTGAAATCGCCGATCATAGCACGATCGTCAACTATGGCGCCAGACACGGTCGAAAGAGCGTGCATAAGCCCAGCCGACGAGCTCAAGTAGATACTTCAAATGGTATGACCTAATATACGGTCCTCGAGATAGGCGTATACGCAGCGAGCATGGGAATCATTTGACTCAGATGAGCTTTTCCCGGTCTTTTACTAGTGAGAATACATTTTAGGTAAGACATCAACACACTTAAGTTGATATCACAGTCATCTAACCAGGCCACCAGGATTGATAAGGTCGTTCATGCAGCAATACCGCAATGGTTGCAAAGCCTTCCCCGCATTATTGTGGATTCATGGGGGTTGCTTTACCCAAGATATCGTCGCTTACATTCTCAAAGTAATGCTCCCTAATGCTGCATAGCTGCTCTAGCATCGCCAAACGTTACATGAATAAGGAAGCCTTACGAACTGGTGAGAGAAAGAAGGAGATTCGTAATTTGGAGTTGGGGCTTTGTCACTTGAGATACCCAGGCACGTGTTTGCCTACAATGTTTTTATGGAAACATGTTTTTGCAAACCCGTTTGATTTCTGAATTATGTGCTATTATGAATTGTGAATGGCTTTTCCTTTGAAGACCTTGTTACATACATAGAAGCTATCATCTGTCCACCTGTGAGGCTATAGTGTTAACCTAGTATATCAAAGATTGGAAATGAATAAGTAGTCCTAGAATGATCTGTCCTGAATAAAGGCCTTGCTAATATGTACGAATTCATATGTACAATATCTTCGAGATCTATTTCGGGTATTTAGCAGGTACTCTGACCCCTTTGATTATATCAGCACCGCTGGGTCAACCTGAACTTCAGCGAAGGTAGAACCTTCCTTGAATTGAAAATACATCTAGTAGGTACATAGATACTTATCTAACTACTAGGTACCTACCAGTTGTTTGCCAATTGTTCGCCAGTTGTTTGATGTTTTCTCGCAGTTGATGAAGCTTATTCGCAATTTGCTCATATGATTGGTTGAAACCCCACTTCTCAGAGTAAGGCTAGGTAGGGACGACCCAGGCACTTTCTTAATTTAGCGATTCTACCCTAAAGAAATCGCACACAAAATTTCTCGGGGAAATTTTCAACAAGGAAACGAACGACTTTCAAACCTCGACCATTCCAGCGAAGCCCATACCATTTCTTCCCCCCTTCTCTCAGAACAAGGTGAACTTCGCGACATATTAGAGTATCCCTTCATAATGGCCGAGCAACTTATTCTCAAGGGAACCCTCGAGGGCCACGTAAGTTGAATTGAATTCAATTGGATCTAGAATCTTTGCGATTCTAAGATCGCAAAAATCAGAACCCAAAAAAAATAACCACCGAATGCGGCAGAAGCGCATTCTGGTTTTTGGGTATGGATAAAACAAGAAGAACAACAACTAATGTTTTTTTATTAACAGAATGGCTGGGTTACCAGTTTGGCTACCTCTATGGAGAAGTAGGATCACCTCTTTCTATTTGTTCTAATATGATATATGTTCCAAAGTTCAGAAGCTTACCTTCGCGATGCAGCCCCAACATGCTACTCTCCGGTAGCCGTGACAAGACCCTGATCATCTGGAACCTTACTCGCGACGAGTCGCAATACGGATACCCCAAGCGATCTCTACACGGCCATTCTCACATCGTCTCCGACTGCGTATGTCATTTCTACATGAACCGAACTGGCTATCTGCTCCGGTGCCATGGGCAAACGAAGGTGGGATGGTTTTGCTGACGTGTTGGTTATCTAGGTTATCTCCTCTGACGGCGCCTATGCTCTGTCTGCTTCCTGGGACAAGACCCTCCGACTCTGGGAGCTCGCCACTGGTACCACCACGCGACGATTCGTCGGTCACACCAACGATGTCTTATCCGTTTCTTTCTCAGCAGACAACCGACAGATCGTCTCCGGTTCTCGTGACCGAACCATCAAGCTATGGAACACCCTCGGCGACTGCAAGTTCACCATCACCGACAAGGGACATACCGAATGGGTGTCTTGCGTCCGCTTTAGCCCTAACCCACAGAACCCCGTCATCGTCTCCAGCAGCTGGGACAAGCTCGTGAAGGTAGGCAAACAAACAACCATCAATCTTTTCCATGACGGGAGAGAAAGTATACGGGTGCTTTCACATGATGTTCTGCATATCAAAGTATTTGCTACTTCAGAGCTTGCTCGCAAGCAATGAGACATCTTTAACACCAATGCCCTGATGATACGCATCTCGCTATTCATTTCTCTCCCACTCTCGCGCGTGGAAGCTGTAGTAGTCGACCCGATTACTAACCCCTACTGTCTTTAGGTCTGGGAACTATCTACCTGCAAGCTCCAAACCGACCACATCGGTCACACCGGCTACATCAACACCGTCACCATCTCCCCTGATGGATCCCTGTGCGCCTCCGGTGGTAAGGACGGTACGACGATGCTGTGGGACTTGAACGAGTCGAAGCACCTGTACTCCCTAAACGCCGGCGACGAGATCCATGCCCTCGTCTTCTCTCCTAACCGATACTGGCTCTGCGCGGCCACTGCTAGCAGCATCATTATCTTCGACTTGGAGAAGAAGAGCAAGGTTGATGAGTTGAAGCCTGAGTTCACCTCCGTCGGCAAGAAGAGCCGGGAACCCGAGTGTGTGAGCTTGGCCTGGAGTGCGGATGGACAGACTCTGTTTGCCGGTTACACCGACAACATTATCCGAGCATGGGGTGTCATGTCGAGGGCATAAATCCTTTTCCCGGGGGGTGTCGATATAGGTCATTGACTGGGCGTATGGATGGGCTTGTCATTTGAGCTTTTACTAAGGGAAATGGCAATCGACGTGGCCGGCAACGAAAATATTAGAAACGTTGCGTTGCTGCTAGGTTGCTGCCACAAGGTAGACCCAAAATCTAACGAATTGTGAAGACCATTTTATTTATTTATTTATTATTGTGCCAGCTTTGTGACATAAATCTGAGGTTTAGACTTGTGCTTATCTATTGGGATGAGCAGAAGCACGCTCTAGTATCGGATCATGAGAATAACAGGTGAGGGTTGCCATCTATGTGTTGAGCCAAGCAAATGAATTCTATCTATTAATTATCGTGGTCTAATTGGTTCATCTGGACAGCCTGTGTATATATTACACGTCAGATTCTAACCTTCTGTCGAATTCTCACTTTCTATAGTGGCCTGGTAATCTCTTCGGGCATGGATCCTCTTATTTTCTTCATCCTTTACATAATTTTCACGACTTGCACCATTTCCCTCAGGGTTCTCGGATTCTACTCCCCCATTTCCCATCTCCAAGTCGTCAAGATCATCGTTGGCGGGAGATCTCGATCGCCAATATCTACTACTGCTATTCACGGTCGTCGTATCCTCGTCGGTCTTGGAGTAATTCTGGAAGTGACTATGAGATGAAGGGGGAAACGGAAGTGTAGTATCATTAGACGCAAAAAAAGATGAGGTATGGTGACGACTTTCTCTCCCTCTTCGGTGAGACCATCCTTCTCCGTGAGACCGCCTCATCCGTGAATTTCCCGAGTCGGAGCCCCGGTAAAAAGCAGCCACGCTAATGAGCGGTAGCCCGGCTGCTACGATCGTGCCTACCCAAGATCCGGCGTCGAAGGGGAGCACGTGAGTATTCAGGGGGCCAGCCGCGACATCGAGTCCCGCAAAGAGACCTATAAAAGCATGTCAGTTCTCCATTTTATATACCCCTTTCTTATTCCTTCCTACACCTCCTCACTTTCTAACCAGCCAACCAATCAACTAGGAAAAAAAAAGGAAAAACAAAAGTGAGCAACTTACAAGGCGCCAACATGAGAACCCCATTCCCAACTGCCAATATCTCCAACGACGTCAACCCCCTCCTCCAACCGCCATTCTTCCCTCTTCCCACCCCTCTCAACGTCAATGTAATCGAAAACTTCCTCCCTCCAGCACCTTGTCCGCGGAGTATACGTCGCGTAGCAACAAGATGCAAAGCCAAGTGCGCGAAGAACACACCACAGAAATAGAACACGGACACGGCTGCCAGCACGACAGCCGCGGCGCCCACGCTATCGACGGGAAGCGGGAGCACATGTCCCTTCAACGCCTGCGTGTGTCGGACTACCCAGATGGCTCGCATGCTAACGGCAGCGACGGCGAGGGTAACAGCGAAGAGAAGCACCGGGAGCCGCCACCAGCATTTTCCTATCTGTCGTCTTCCCCCATTTCCCGCAGTGGTGGATGAGCCAGGACTGCAGCGCGAACCCCAGGTTTGTACCAGAACACGACTTTGCAGCGCCAACGCGGCCTCCACGAGCGCAGCTTGAACTACCCTTAAGGCGCTCGACGCCGTCGTTATGTTGTACTCGTCCGGCCGCAGGATGGACGCATCTTGCGTCCACGCGACGTAGTACTCAGTTAGGGGACCCGGGAAGTACAGGACGAGGAGCGCGAGACGGGTTATGGCGATTACGAGGCAGAAGGTCTGGGTCAGGTGGATGGGACGCCGGAGTTTGTTGGTGGGGAGGAGAAGGAGCGTGGTTAGTAGCGAGAAGAGGCAGAGGCCGAGCTGTACGCCATAGTTTATGGATGTGTTGGCGAGACGGATGCGTTGTGCGTCGATGGCAGGCATAGATATGGGGATTAAGGGGGGTGTGGTGTTGGTGCTATTGGGGAGGCCGAGGATGTAGAAGGTTTGGGTTCGAGGGTCGAAGGTTAGAGACATCGTGAAGGTTTCCGGAGTGGACTCGCGGAGAGGAAGTTGTGTTAATCGTTATTCTACCTCTATTTCTGGCTCCTATTTGCTGCCATATGGGAGATCTTTGGTAGCACGCATGATGAACGATACATATTAACACCACCACCGATACAATCAAGGACGGGAGGGTTAGATTGCATAGGAAGGAGATGGAGATTTCCCGTCCGCCTAGAATTATTAGATAGGTCGGGATCCCAATAGATCGGTAAGAACGACGACCCCCTGATATGTAAAAGCAATGATGCTGGTTCTAGCCAGCCCTGAACAATGTGAGTGGTGCTCAAAATGCCCTAGCGGACGCCACATCGTCTCAAAAAATTAAAATGTCTCTGCATCCCGTCTTCGAACCGCCTACCTGCGTAACCTGATGCCTGACTGGCCTACTGCTAGAGAAGATAGTAGCCCGAATGCGTGTCTCGGTTGTCGGGTTTCTATTTGGCTGGCCGTGAAGAGGGTGGGCTAATTGCGGGCTAACCCGCGCTGGCGGTGTGTACACTATAGAGATGCATTACGCAACGTTGTTACACATCTAGATGGTGGGAATGGCTATCATATATCATACCTTCTTGTGAAGACAAGATGAAGAACCTGCACGGTTTGGCCTTTACTGCTGCCTTTACACTAACAACCTTGAATCTAGCCTTTGACTTACGGAATGCATATTTGAGGACCTGTCCAATAAGTATCCAACTTTCCCACTTGGTCGAGTGATGAGAGAGTATTTGCTTGGAAAGATTAGCCACCTCGTTTCTTAATAGGATACCTTGGATGAAAGCTGTCCTCGGATTCAGAATGAGATATTTGTTAGCCACGATTGTTACCTCGAGAACTTCTCGGACTATAAGGCAGCCATTCGGTATGCATCCTTCAAGGAAGATTTCGTATTTCCATATTCTTGCGATTTTATCTTATTAAAGCACGGCATAAATTGTAATTGTCCAGTTGACCGAGTGTCAAGGGTGCTTGGAAAGGAACATTAGCTTCTTACATATGCCACAACTCACTAACCTTCGCCAAAAAGGCATGATTCAACATTTGTATATTGAATACCAGAACGGTATGTTATCCACAACACCATCTAGCTTCACAAGTGAGAAGATATAAACCACTATTACCCAGTTTGCATCTAATATTTGCTGAAAATCTCGATCTATGGTGTAGATTAGTCGCAATGATCTCCGGACATCGATCTGTGTGCCATTCCAAAGTCGTGGTTCGGAGGATGCAGAGACCCATTGACTAATCCACCCATCTAGTAGCGGCTCAGTCCATATGCGTTCAACTCTTATTCAACATTGAGGAGTATTTCCTAGGGTATCATGTCCAATCATGAGATGAATTTCCACATATGCATCCCTATTCTGGAAGCATCCCGGTCTTTCAAGGCACATTTGATGATTTGAAATGTCAGGAGGTAACTGACATATCCAAGAAGCCAGAGTCCCCCAGCCAACGAATGCATATCCCCAAGCATAGGTTACGACATCTTTGACCCCCTAGATCCCATAACTCCCCTCTTCGAAAGTCAACTCCAACCCCTAAGCAACTTGACTAAAGCTATGATCCTGCACCCGCTGGCAACTGCGTTATGTCGATCCTGATAACTGCTGTTGTATGTCTATTTGTCGGCAACGTCTTGATGATCGTTCGGTGGTGGCTCGGGAGCAGAATTGGAGGGTCCACAGCATGATGCTGATGATAGGGTAGGAGTATAATAAAGAGTAGGAGCGGAAGCGGGAGTGGGGGCAAGAAGAAGGCGAGATGGATCATACCTAACTTTGGCACACCAACACCACCATACGAAAAAGATGTCGGGAATCAGGCGGGCTATATGGAGCTTTCTCAAGGAGCTTGGGCTGATCGCCACAAGATGAATGGCCAGAACCAAGTTGCCGAATTGGATCGTGAAGAACACCAACACTACGAGTTACCTGTTTCGCAGCCATGCATTTGTGATCTAGCACAAGACATCGGGAATCGATAATACGGGACTGGAGAGGCTATTGAAATATGGATATAATTATAGAATGGGTGGACATTTATATCCTACCTCTGTTTATCTTATGTCACCTCTCGAAGTTGAAGATTACCTATATGTACGTTATATATAGGGGAAACTACCGAGTCAACACTACCTAGTTCATCAAGATGCTTCGAATAAGAGAGGAATAATGCCTTCTATCAATCCAAGGACTAGGGAAATCCTAACATATGTGAATACCTACCTACCTAGGTAGGTTCAATTTTTTGCTCCCTCCTTTAGTGGAGTGAAGGAGAAAATTCAGTAGCCGCTCGCCAAAGTTTCGTCAAACATAACTTCTTAAACGACGTTCATATATACTAGGTGGGTGTATATAATACGAAAAAGATTAATAAGATGAGCATCAAGCCTTTGATGGCTCCAATCAATTCACCGACCACTCATTTTTATACAGTAAACCCCAAAATTTACAATCAAATATATATACAACATAGACCATAAACACGCATGGATTAGTCCTGTACTTCACAATCAACTTGTGTTGACTAACAAAACATTGGTACATTACCTACTAGCTCTTTTTGGCTATGTAGACTACCTGATTTTGGGGACCTGTTTTTGAGGCATACTGAAGCCTGTGTCCTTTAACGCCTTGATGTGCAAACCTATAATTGCAATGTCCCTATGAAAATCGGCTTGCATGTGAGAAACGAAAGAAAAAAAACGCCAACCATATGCATTTACAAGTGGGCGAGCTAGCCGACTGATTTGCCAAATGCCGCCCCAGAAACCCCATCACACCTACCACCCCATGTCCTGGCTGCGTTCCTCATCATTCTTAACGGATACTGACGCCAGAGCGGTCGGTGAACATGCGAGTTGCGATGTTCATAGCCATAAGCTCCTGGAACAAGAGCTTCGCCGCGTATGGGATATGAATCTGCGCGATCCTGGTCTTGTTTCTGCATGGGCGGCATTCAAATGAACCCTTGCTCAATATACTAATCTTCTGTAAGCATTTATTCTTGACAAACTTGGTGGGGTTGGAACTTACGCGATAGGCGTCATAAGGCCACATATTTCGCAGATATGGACTCGGAAGGCGTCTGATACCTCGAAGAGACGTTCCTTAAGGAAAGAGGCGGCACCGTGTGCAATCATACAATCACGTTCCATTTCACCGAATCGGAGACCTCCATCTCTCGCACGACCCTCAACGGGTTGGCGCGTCATGATCTGGACCGGGCCACGTGCACGAGCGTGGATCTTGTCGTCAACCATATGTCGTAGACGCTGGTAATATGTAGGTCCGAAGAATACCTGAGCTCGAAGCTTGCGTCCGGTGTGACCGTGGTACATGATTTCGAACCCTCGAGATTGGTATCCGTGCTCGCGTAGAAGGCTGGATACTGAATCGACAGTAACATCGGTGAACGGCGTGGCGTCTCCCTCCATTCCCTTGAGAGTGGAGACCTTGCTTAGCAGACATTCAATCAAATGAGCAATCGTCATACGCGATGGAATAGCGTGAGGATTGATGATGATGTCAGGAACAATGCCTTCTCTAGAGAAAGGCATATCCTCTTGCTTGAACGTGACACCGATGGTTCCCTTTTGTCCGTGGCGAGACGCAAATTTATCTCCAATTTGCGGCGTCTTGGTAGTTCGAACTCGCACCTTGACGTATCGTAGACCATCCTGATTTGTGGTAAGGATAACCTGATCGATGATACCAGTTTCAGTACTCCGAAGAGGCGTGGATGCATCACGCTTGACATGCACCTTGGTGCGCTGGCCCATCTCTTCATTATCCGGGTTGATCGGTGACGTCTTTCCAATGATGATATCCTCTCCTAGGACTCGGACACCGGGAGCGATGATACCGTCGTCGTCCAGTTTATCATACGTTCCCTGCTTGAGACGTAATGTGTCTGATCTGAACGGCTTCTCAAACGTCTCGACCGTATTAATTCCCACTCGCTTCTCGCAGTCACTGTAAGATCGGAAGAATAGACTTCGGAAGAGACCTCGGTCTATGCTACTCTGGTTCATAATGACAGAGTCTTCCTGGTTATATCCAGAGTAACAGGCAATGGCCACGATAGCGTTCTGACCAGCCGGGAGTTCCCTAAACTTGAGGAATTCCATCGAACGTGTTGTACCAAGAGGCTTCTGTGGGTAATATAAGATATTTGCCATGGTGTCCATACGGCGGTTGTAATTTGTGAGGAAGAAACCCATAGCTTGTTTACCCATGGCTGATTGGTACGTGTTTCTAGGGGACTGTATATCATAGTTAGCAGCAGAGACCTAAGAGTCCATAATATATATATATATCACATACCTGATTGTGATCCGGGAATGGGATGATGCTTGCGCAAATGCCTAAGAGCATACTGGGGTGGATCTCGCAATGGGTATACATGTGCGTTGACGGGTTCACTTTAGTCTTAAGTCGCTTGTTCACCTCGTCTCCGTTGTCTTGAGACACTTCGTATCCAAGCTTGGTCATGCGAAAAGTGTCCAAATCTTCCGGTGTCATGCAAATCATGGCAGTTTCCTCTTCCTCTGCGTCGAGGAACTCGACCACACCTTCATTGACCAGGCCTTGCCAGCCAAAATACGCCTCGCTTTCCGGATCTAGCTCAACATCTGCTTCCAGACGCTTTATCATCTGCTTGGTAAGGGCCAACGTGCCTTTCTCAATGCCCTGATCGTTGAAATCTTCCTGCTGTACGCGGAATAAAGGACGCATCACACGGCCGGCGTCCGAAAAGATCTTGAATTCACGGTCTCGGATATCACGAACCAACGACACCTCAGCCGGAATCTGGTTGGCTCGGCGAAGTGCCTGAACATCCCTGACGAGGGTCTTAGGGTCCTGGTGCACACCGATCCAAGAGCCATTGAGGAAGATCTTGGTGGCGTTGGGGTATCTCATCGGTTCATACTCCTCCAGGACTTCCATATTCCTAGTAATCATGTAGTCCACGATAGGATCTGTTGATGTTCCAACGCTGATAGAACACATCAAGGATAAATTCTTTACCAAACCGCAAGCCTGGCCTTCGGGAGTCTCTGCCGGACAGACAAGACCCCAATGAGTGTTATGGAGCTGCCGTGGCTTGGCTAGCTTCCCATCTCTTCCAATGGGCGTGTTCGTTCGTCGTAAATGAGAAAGAGTCGACGAAAAAGTGTATCGGTTCAAGACCTGTGACACACCGGCAGTTGAGCTCATCGCTTTCTTCTGATCGCCCCAGTTGCCCGTGGCGAGCGAATACTTCAGGCCGTTAGTGATAATTGCGGGCTTGGCGGCGAGTTCAATTTGGAAACGTTTGTTCCCATCGATGCAGCGCTTGAGGTGCTGGGTGATCTCCTGCACAAGTCGGCGAATAATATTCCTGAATAACTTGGCAAGGAGAGGGCCTGCAAGGTCCAATCGCTTCTTGCCGAAGTGATCACGATCATCGGTGTCACGTCGACCAAGAGAGCACTGAAGGAGTTTGTGAACCATATAGCCTAGGAAGAATGCTTTCCGGGTCTCGCAACCCTCGGTTTGAGAGATATGGGGAAGCATTTCTTTCTGCAAGATGTCCTTCGCAGCTCTGATACGACGATCTCTGGCTACGTTGTGCGAATCCCGACCTCGCTTTCCGATATAGTCCAGAGCGACCTCTCGATCCTGAATGCAGAAGGCCTCTTCGATACAAGGACGTAGCTTCTCAAGCATCTGACTGTCGTTGCGGTCGTAGCAGATATGGTTTAGGATTTCCTCGTCACTAACGACACCCAAAGCCCTGAAGACAATAGCAATTGGCAGATCGCCCTTGACAAACGGCAAGGTAGTGTGAATGGTTTCGCCATATCCTCCTCTAGAAGCGTCTCCCTTCGTATATAGCTTCAAGTTGAGGGATGAGATGAGCCTCGATCCTTTCTCCAGAGCACTCCTAATCTCTGCCATATAGGAAAATGGACTCGGTTGAGCCTTCTTGAAGACTTGAACGATATTGGCAGCAGATCGCTCCTGAGCTATTAGAACCTTCTCACTTCCATTGATGATGAAGTAACCTCCTTGGTCGTAAGGGCACTCGTTTAACAGGAATAACTCGTCGTCGGTTTCGCCGTTCAAATGACATGCTTTGGACTTGACCATGATAGGAAGCTTGCCAATGAAGATCTGATCACCAGCCTTGCCCTTGTCGCCAGAAGGGGTCTCTAATATATTCTCCTCGGCCTCCCAAACTAGACGGGTTGGGTGCTTTCCAGTGCTGCGGGCTTGCGCTTGCTGCTCCTCGTCCATCTCGTGAAGAGGGATGTCCTGCTCAACACACGCACTCACTTTACTGTCAACCTTGACATAGATGGGAGCGGCATATGTCATGTTTCGGTCACGACATTCGTAAGGGAGTAGAGGACCGGAGGTGTTATCACTCTCCATAGCAATAGGACGCGCAATAGTTACATGGCCAAGCTTGAGATCGTACCTTCGAAGCGCAATGGCTCGACTGTCCGCGGAAGGTGGATTATGTTCATCAACACTTATCTGTGAATATTCCTCCACTAACTCTTGGATGGTCGTTTCTTGGAAGTCGTTGAATGAATCGATCTGTTGAGAAACCAAACCCTTTCTCTTGAAGTAAGACCCGATAACGACCCAGCAGTCTTCGGGTGTGATAATGTTCTCATCAGCATACTCCTCCTCATACTCGTATTCTTCATCGTAGTCCGCCATGTTGTAATAATTCCAGACTGACTTGATCTAATATATCGTCGTGATTGGTGGCGATGATGTATTGAAGATGTAGTCAAGTGGAAGATGAAAGGCGTGACAAAGAATGATTATTGGAGAATTCGTTGATTATAAATCGAATAGAGAAAAGGCGGCCAAAGGTTATTATCGAGATTATCGAGTTGCGGGGTGAAAAGAGTGATAGTATCTTGTTGCCAAGAATTATTGACAGCGCCTGAATAAAAGTGCGCCCGTGCCAGAGGAAAAAACAGTGTTCGCAGTTATTAACGATGAGAAGGCGGGAGGCGAAAGGAGCGCGTCCCGATCGCGTGATAACACTGGATTAACAGAACAAGTCAGTTGCGCATCCTGCCAAATGAAAAGGTATTAAAATGCATTCAAGGTGATGAGAAACCCACCACAGTCCGTCTGTATCAACAAAACTTGATGTTTTGTTGAATTCTGGATATGCGTTGTGTTTGAAATTGAAGAAAGACGGAGAAAGTGTGGATGATGTTGGATGATGTTTTTTGTTGGAGAGGCTCTTGCAAGGTTGAGGCTGATCAATTAGAGAAAGCAACCTGAGAGGTGGCAGAAGAGGCGCTAGTCTATGTCTAGTTTAGTACAATATAGCTTCGACCGCTCACTGGAATTTCTTATCGATAGAAGTGATGTTGTGGTAGAAAGGATCCACTATTTGTTACAGGTGGGGTGGTTGATGTTCTAGTAAAGATTTAAGTATCAAGGCTTTAATGAGTTATGAATCCGGATCAGTACCTAGGTACCTATGTAGGTATTATGCATATATTATTATAATATATTACCTGATAGGTACCTAGGTACTAAGGTAAGGTAAGGCTTTGATTAATGAGTTTGTTTGGTGTACACTTTTTAAATATTTTTAATGGTACATGGGTACCTATTTGAAAATTGGAATGAAATAGCAAGCCAGTGCCCTATCATAGATAAGCAATTGTGGGTCAATCCACTAAGTTACAAGAGATCAAGGCATTTTTCTAACTGCTCAATAGATGCTACAATCACCTTAATAATTTTTTCTATTTTATAACAATACCTTTGGGACTACCACATAATATTGTTAATAGGTATTTACACAAGGTGAAGGTGAAGTAATCTTGGTATATTTATCATTATTTTTGCTGAAAGCCATGAACAGGTGAGCCTCATCTAATTTATTACCTAATTCAACGCATTTATCACATTATCTTGGTCGATGCCTCCTCTCAGGCCGTCACAAAATATCCCATGCTAATCGCTACATTTTCGGTCGTGTTCAATCTCGCCTCGCCGACGTTAATATCATGATTCCGTCTCAAATCTTGTCTGTATTAACAAATGGCTGGGTTACTTCGATATTAAAGACCAAGTTTCTTCTATGTAAGTTATTACTTATTTAGTACACAGTAGCGATAGTTATATATCTAACTTACATAACTGTACTCTTCTAACATCACGTAGACGTGTACTGGACAGATTCGAAAATGCGATTCGCGACTTACTATGTCGCGGATAGAGACAGTTTGTATGGAAATTAAATTATCGTCATTTCAACTTAACCTCTTGATAATTTAGCCTGGGTGGGCTCGCTCGTAACATTCGGCGCGCTCCCTCCCACCTATCTTTTTATACTACTAGCTATCTACTTACCTAGTAGGTATGAGTAGGAGGATAGGGGTATCAATAAGGTGCCTATTAAGCAAATAATAATAACCGTTATTAGTGTATAGCGAGTATCACCCTCTTACAATCAGCTGCGACACCTTTATTCATCTTTACATCACTTACCTAGTACTTAGTAGGTAAAGGTTTACTCGATCATCGAAGTATCGATTTACATGAGACTGGACTATTATAGCCCATTCCTCTTTACTCGCGACCGATCCCTAGAAGTTGCCTCAACTCTACCTAACAAGCACGCGAGGTGATTTCACTTTTCGAAACCGTACTGTAGTCTAGGTACTTATCCTAAGTGATTTAGTTCAGGGAAAAAAAGACAAATGGAATCGCTAGCAAAGAGAAGACAGACAGGACGTTGGATACCTACCTAGGTACCTAACCTAGTACCTACCCGGGTCACTATCCGAGCGAATAACCAATGAATGGTTTCTACCAAGGCAGCTGACATGATCCATGGTATTTCCCCAATGAACACGCAATTCAGCCCTATGAAGTATGAGGCTTATAAATCATGAAGATCTTGCTGAATCTTTGGACATACCAAGTATGTACCGGCGTTTAATACGGATGAAATTTGATTATTTTTATAGGAAAGCATATATCTTAAGATGTTAATGGTACACTTCTACTGTCCCATCATTCTCCAATGTGTATTTAAGAATAATTCTGAAGGAGTTCGGACATTTCGAAGAACAATGGTATTGGCCGAATGATGTAGTTTGACAAAAAGAATACTTTATTTACTTACATGATGTAGTGATTCGGCAGCAATTGCTTTAGGGGGAAAATGGAGAAGAATTACATGTACCTACCTAGGTAATACATTGTCATGGTACCTTCTCCTCTCTATTAGCCCTACCATCAACTCGGCGATATGCTTCTCTTCCTTTCCCATCATTACTTACAATACTCTTGATGTCTAAGCGAATATTAAGTTTGGCATCTTTCACATAGCCGAGGATATCAGGCACGTACTGTTTCTATCTCAAATGTTTGCACAATCTTAATCTCCTTAGCTTCGGCATGGCGTTTCCTTAGTCGATGACAAGCTGTCAGATGCGGAGAAGCTTCAAGGTTGTGGGGAATGCGGTCTTAGCACCATGCGGTCGCGGACCTAAATTCTCCACGTTACTTTGACACTCGAGCCTAGTACAAAAGATCCTAGTGGGCTCGTATGGACGATTAATTTTATTTGATATTTGCTATTGTTATTTGATACGTACATAAAAGTATTTAGGGCAATTGAAGGTAAATATTGTTTGTGATAATTATTATATAATCCAGATTGAGACGGCTATACGCTTTACATCTGATTGGCATGATCAGATTCCTTCTCATTTGTGCTTTTTGAATGTTTAATTTGGAATTGACCTATGGCATTGGAGTATTCGCGTGACCCCGCGCTTTTCCGGCATCTTGGGAAGTTGTTGTTGTGAGCCGTCGTGGAGGAATTTGCTGTAAGGCGGTTTTTATTACACCACATAATACACGTGCCGTGAAATGTTTTCCCGGGTTCTTGGCCGTTCTAGAATTACACGTCACGCTCATGAAATTAACGAGATCTTGACCTACCGGATCTATTACCTAGTTTGATATCGTGTATCTACATACCTAAGGCACATACATAGGCAGAGGGAATCAGGGATATGTAGATGTATGCCAAATATTGTTGATCTATTTCCATGTAACAGTCCTATGGATGTAACCACAAAATACAAGCTAGGAGGGAAATGTACCTACACTATACCTACCTGCCTACCTACCTATGAATATACATGTACAGCGCAGAAAAAAAAAAGTTGGGGACCCCGCATACGTAGTAGAATAGATTGGAGAACTAACTCTAAGAAGTAACTTTAACGGGGAACCCCAATATTTGCTTACCAACCTCCTTATTCTCCCCCACTTGCAGCTTATTTTAACATTAGCACTTGTTAAAACTGCCGACCCGGGACCAGCACTTACCATAGTAGAATAGGTACCTACCTACCTAAGGTTCTTAGCTCCCGTCTCTCGTTTTGGTTTTATAATTCAACACTCTACGTATGCCGTGGACTTCTCCAATTCAACTTCAATATTAATTGGACCCCCACCTTGCAAGCCTCTATCAACTACTTACATACCTACCTACCTACCTATATCTATCAGCCATGTCAGCTACGTATTGTACACACAGTATAGTAGTTGGTACAAGGATGAGGATGTCTAGATATGTCGGAGCAATTTAACTTAGGAATCCTATCAACTTATTCCCTGTCGAGTCTCGATGAATAGACCCCGCTTTCGTCGTGACGATGATTCATTCATTGATACAAACTTCTCTCTAGTATCCGCCAACGCCCTGATAATCTCTTAGGTCATTGTTTACCCAGCCAAGTCGACCTAAAACAGGTCACATTATCGAGCTTGCATGTAAGGAGGTTCTAGTCAACTATTCAACTTGGCAATCGGGGACGTGTTTGATCACAAACCCCATACTTTTCTTCCCCGTCTTGGGACGTATCCGCCATGAGCTGTTGTTGTTTTCCAAGATATTTCCAAGATACATACCTTGCTGTTGCTTGATAGCCTTATGCTGCGGCACCTGCATGATAGGCTTATGGCGGCAGAAGTAGCAGCAACACCAACGTACGCAGCACAAAGTACAAAGCACGAATAATGGAGCCTATCAGAGCTAATGCAGATCAGATTCGGTCCTTTTTAGTTTGCGGCGCTCGTGACCGCTAAGTCATTTAGGTATTCTGTCTTATTTTGACGTTCCAAGGCCGTCGTCGAATTCTCGTTCTGCTCGTTTCCTTTTCCTACGCGCTAGTGAGACCCGGCAGTCCGGTGAGAGCGGAAGCCCTGTGTACGCCTTATGTACCGTCCTCTACTAGACGGTGCAGTGCATCTCATCTCCACCAGCTCGTCCTTACTTTAACCGAGGACCGCATATCTTGGCCACTGTTGTGCCGTACGCCGCATGGCTACTTGTCCTACATATGTAACTACGATAATAGGTACCGTACAATACATACGAGCCATTGTACGTACCTACCGGGGTGGCGCGGAAATATGTGGCCAAGTCCCGAAAGTCACTACTAGGTTCCGACCCTGTTCAAAGATCTCCCTCGACCAGGCGCTCACTGACCGTCACCGACCTTTGGGACCCAAGAGAGTGATCTGCTTAGCGACAGGAGATTGACAAGGTCGATATAAGATCGCCCAACTATCATACAACGTACACAGCCTCGCTAGATCAGCTGTTACACCATCCATGGATGTAGAACTTTTCGTACATACCAGCACGAACGCAAGAGCCAAGCTGTGCTTGCAGCTGCAGCACAAGGAGCTTAACAAGTCGTATGAACGAATACTAAGCCTTTTCTGACTTAGCGGTGACGGCGCTAAATTGTCACCATGTCTCTCGTTTATTATTATGTTTGCCTGGACCAAGTGGTTCCATGCAAGTATGTACTTGTGTCCAAGGTACTCGATGCTGTTTATCATCAAGATTAGGAAGGTGAGCAACATTCCAATCTAGACACAATGCGGAGAATCCCTACCATAGCTCGCGCGTAGCTTTGACGTGAAGCGCCTCGGTAGACATGCCGTGCTTCCTCGGAAGCCTATTTATACCACGGTCGATCTTCCGGACCATTCAATCGACTCAGACGAGTGTCTCCTCAGTCCCGTTAGATCCCACTTCGATCACCACGAGTCATCTCGTCGACCCATATCCCCTGGTGGCTTCCCTAACCCCCTTCCACCGAGTTAGAGGCCAGTAGCGAGGAAGTAAACGAAGATGCGCACCAATCTGTTCACGAGTCTTCTAACCCTAATCCCGATGCTGGGTAACTTAGCATTGGGATATGAAGTTCAGGTCAGCGCATTCTTGACTGATAATTATGCAAGAGGAACCAATAACTTACGCTTTGTAGACTCCTCCACTCGACACTGATTGGACTTACTCGGTAGGAACTGATCCTTGGCCGGAGTATCCGCGACCGCAACTACAGCGGTCTCAATGGCAAAGCTTAAACGGAATCTGGAAGTGGAAGACGGCGTCGTACCCAGGCGAAGCCTTACCGGAAAGCCACAGCTTCCAGCAGGACATAATGGTACCGTCGTGCATTGAAAGCGCGCTTTCAGGCGTAATGAAGATGAACCAGACCTATTCGTGGTATTCGACCGGATTCCATGTTCCTCACGGATATGTGCAGAATGGTCACAGGGTCTTGCTGAACTTCGAAGCCGTGGATCATCAGGCGACTGTCTACGTCAACGGAGAGCTCGTCGGGACGCATACGGGCGGGTACTGGCATTTCAACTTCGACATTACAAAATATCTCACATCCAACGGCGAAAACACTCTTCACGTTTTCGTATTCGATCCCACAGATGCCCAAGGTATAATTACCATATTGCTTTTATTAGAGCCTAGCACTAACTGTTGTCCACCATAGGTTATATGAACCCTGTTGGAAAACAGACTCGTACACCTTCGCACATCTTCTACACGCCCTGCACGGGCATCTGGCAGACAGTGAGTTCATATTAATCTATCGACTTACATCAAGAGCGCTTCCTTGGGAACGTGATATTGATACCTACGGAGGAGCCTCTTATACTGATTGTGTTATCCAAGGTTTGGCTCGAGTCGGTCCCCGAATCGCACATCACCCAACTTGACGTTGTCGCAGATATGTCTGGACAAGGTAAACTACCTTAAGTCGTATCCATTTTTATTAATATTAACCTCCTGCTTCTATAGTCAATGTTACCGTTGGGACGTCCTGCAAAGGTTCTGACCCTGTTGTCATCTCCGTAATCGACAGCGACGGCAAGGTTGTGGGTTCTGGTAAGGGCATCGCGAACCAGGCGTTTGATTTCGTCGTAAAATCACCAGACCTATGGTCCCCGGATTCGCCAACGCTGTACGCACAGTCCTCCACTATGATTCTATAGATCAAAACTAATAGTTCGTATAGCTATAACCTTACCGTCAAATTAGGAGACGATATTGTGAATTCTTATACAGGATTTCGAACATTCTCTATTGGTGAGGTGGAAGGTGTGAAGCGTCCGCTGATTAACGGTGAATTTATCTTCCAATTCGGCACACTCGACCAGGGTTTCTGGCCTGATGGCATTTACACCCCACCTAACCGGGAGGCTATGGTCTACGATCTGAAGGTTTTAAAGGATTTAGGGCTCAATATGCTTCGAAAGCACATTAAAGTAGAAAATGCTCTCTTCTACCAGGCCTGCGACCAACTGGGGTTGTTGCTCATTCAGGATATGCCGTCTATGCCTCTGCGAAAGCCTGACGCCGATCAGCAAGCTGACTGGGAACGTCAGCTGGACATTCTCGTCAAGCAACACAGGAATTATCCAAGTATTTATACCTGGGTAAGTAACCATTATGAAATACGAATTGTTTGGAGGCTCACATTAAATAGGTTATTTATAATGAAGGATGGGGTCAAATTTCCGATGACTATTACCCCGAATTCAATATCACCACCCGTGTCAAAGAGTTGGATCCCACAAGATTTGTCGACGCCACGACGGGATGGAATGATCATGGAGCCGGCGATTGGCATGACAACCACCACTACGCAAACCCACAATGTGGAACCCCGTTCTATTCCATTGCTTCTACTCCTTACGACAACCAGCGAATTGCCATCCAAGGCGAGTTTGGTGGGATAGGCCACAACGTTTCCGCGGACCACCTGTGGAAAGTAAAAGATGCTTTCCTTTCGATCAATCAGACTTACGAAATCGACCTAGATCTCGATGCCTACAACTATCGCGGTCATCTCTTGCTGAGCGAGCTGCGCGATCAGATCGAAAGATACGCTTGCTCGGCCGCCGTGTGGACGTAAGCTGATCTTCCCATTTTAATAAAACCATGAGCCGTAGCTAACATTACCAAAGCCAAACTACAGATGTTGAGGGAGAAGTCAATGGGTTCCTCACTTACGATCGCCGAATACAGCGCACTGACAAAAATCAGTGGCGGTCGGATATCGAAGCCCTCTACGACGCAGCTGCAACTAGGGGTGGCAAGGCACCAAAAAGGAGAATGGCCTTGTAAATACGGGTGTATAGGCGCACATATATGTTACACAGTCATAATTTCTTGCGTATTCTTTAATGAAATGATGGATATAAATCCGAGAGAAGAGCAATCTCTTAATCTGTCATATTTTCTGCATATGTTTCTCTTATATGGTAACCATTGACTGCAAGATTAAAGGACCATGCCAACGCTTTTAACCACGGACCAGTATTAGATACGAACTTTTACCATTTATGTTATCCCCAGGACACCGAGCGAGAGAGGCATTGGACCTGAGCTAGTAATGATTGTTACCTACACAATCCACCATGCTAGGTAAAGCAGGATTATCACAAACATTGTTGTAACAATGAATCACCAAGAAATTAAATTAAATTAGACGCCCCTCCCCCCCGGTGTCTACGGTGTTCTACAGTCAGGGACTATGACCCCAAAGTAGAATTTTTTATGACTCGAAATACTTCGTATCTTGGGGTTATACATGACCACTATTTGCTGCCTAGTACCTAAACCAAAAACAGATCTGTTTTGTCATCAGGGTCGTCATCCGTGTTGTGTGCCTACTTAACCTAATAGGTACCTACTACCTATAAATATATGTTAAAAGAATAAGGATTGCGGCAAGTTTCCGCTGAAAAAACAAGGGAAATGGGATTATCTACCTAGGTAGGCGCCTACATACGTTGGTTAGTAGAAGATTAGACGGATTGCAGTCGTCTTATACAGCAAAACATGGTAAAAATGATAAAACATCACCTATTAACTTGAAACATGCCCCTACTACGCCCATACATTCTCGATATATGCCGTGATTCGACTTCAAATTATGAAGAGCGGGAGTAATGGGAGTAATTTATAATTGATCGGACCAATTTTCTAGAAGGTCTTTGTACTCTGAAATATACGGCGGTGGCCAATATGCTTCCCTGGATGTCAAATCCGGTTGTTGTTGCGCCCAGTCGAGTGCTATGCGAGTTACCAATTCGCCTTTACCCCTGGAAGTAAGTATACTCCAAAAGGAAAATACCTGGTATCGTTCGAATGGTCGTGCACCAGGGAGCTGCGAAAATAGCCACATCGATTCCAACTTTTCCAATTCTTTCTCTGCCTCCTCGTATATTTCGTCTCGGAGGGCTCGCGCCTGTAATGCCCTAGCCTCGTCCCCGAAGACTATAGCAAGCTCTTGAACATACTCTATTGCATTGTCCAGTGATTCGACGGTACAAAGTTCACCGTAGCCGCTAAAGTGGCACACTTTATTACGGATATTAGTAATGTAGCGTATGATGAACCAAAGTTGATCACTCGAGTACCATCTTCCTGCAATACTTTTGTGGAATCCCCATTTCCCGAAATACGCATGTCTCATCTCACTCAAGCCGAACCTTACTTCGTGTGGCCCGTCATATTCCACATTCAAATCGGGAATATACTTCTTAGACCCCTCATAAAATATCTCTTGGGCGAGGCGTAAAGATCGGCTTAAGAAATTATAGACAGCTTCACTCCGGATTGGTGCATAAGAGAGGCGGGATTCGACATCTCGCTTTAGCTCGGACTTCTCTGAAATCAGCTCTTGGATGGACTTCTCGACGGGATCCTCGACAGGCTCCTCGGCAGGCTCCTCAGCAGGCTTGTCTTCGGGTTCTTCTGTAGGCTCGTCTTCATCTATCATGTCTAACCCAGGAGTACCCGATTTTTGATATTTTGAGTACGAATAGTACGAATAGTACCGATCGAGGCGTTCGACGTTTCTTCTCCACGACGAATCCGTTTGGTGCATAAAATGCGGCTTTTCATCTTTAATATTGATGACATGTCGCAATTTCCCATCTTGGTACTTATATCTTTTTGATCCAACAATCACAAACTCTTGCTTGTCTGGACTTTTAGTTTCCTGAGATTGCTGCAGACATCGATTACGTGACGCCTTTGTAGAAGAAAGGTAATGTTTCTCGGCGATAGATTGCTGTGATAGGGGCGGCGAAGGGCTGATCGTGGGTAAGGCAAGTCTGTTCCTCTCTAGCTTAAACCTGGCAATCTCTCTCTGGAGCTCATTGTTACGTTCCGTAAGTTTATGTACTTGGTCTTTTGCAAGTTCAAGCTCATGCGAAACCGACGCAATTAACTTCGTCATCTTGGTACTGGAGTGTGTTAGAATAACGTTTAACGGGATCGGAAGTCGACGGCTTTTGATAGGAAGCCTTTGTCGCCATATCAAACCGCAATATGGGAAGAAAATAAGGAAATAGAATAAACTTGCCAGGTCTAAATGTGGTCATAGCTGAGAAGCAATAGGAGCTCTAAATAGTCAAATAAATAGTCTGACTTTGTAAAAATTACCTTGAACAAATCTATTGTACCTACTTGGGTAAAAAGCATTGTCCTTATTGTTATCATAGTCACTGTACAAAGAGACTATTGCCTCCTACAGTGCTGTCAGACAATCACAAGCAAGGTGTATTGATATTATATGAACTTTTAATACTGTGAATTTAGTTTACTAACAATTCCTCCCCGTGCTTTCGAGGGATAGCGTCTAGGGAAGTCACGAGACAGTGCCAGTATTAGGTTCTTTGGGATATCAATATTTCTTTCAAGGCATGACTGTGTTCTTATAGACCATACCTTAAACAATTAACTACCTCAATATGGTCGATTGGGTCGATTTAAATCCAGGGGTTTAGAGGAAATAGTCGTTACGTAAAGCATCTAAGTTCAAACCGTATCTAACTTCTATCAATTGGTTTACCGGTAGTTACATGTAGATATGGCGTCGGTAAACGCGCAGATTTGCCTTCATCCAAGCCTACCTAGTATTCAACTAGCCACAGCCCCTTTGTAACCGTTAAAGGCGTGGCGATCTGACTCTTCATTAAGAATGAAGGGGAGTTCATCCTGAGCATAGCTCTCGGCCCAGCTCTTTTCCACAGGTTTCCACCCCAGCCCGCGCAGGCGCACAGCGCGACTACGACTATTAAGACCAATGACAGGAGCCGTATAACTCCCGAATAAGTCGTCATAGTTCTCGGGCGGGATTGTCTGCGGTTCCGGGTTCGAGATATGCCCGGCCTTGTGGAGCTCTGCACCGATGAGCGCCGCAACGTCCTTCCAGCTTGGTTCCTTGTCGCCTGTAGTCTCGGTAAAGTAGTACGGGTTTTCCAGAATATCCGGACTTCCCGCTGGCGTAGATTCCAGATGATGTAGTAGCACCATGTACGCCCTCGCTAAATCGAGTACATGAATATTGCTCTCAACAGCGAGGCCGGCGCCTATATATCCTGCATAACCATGTTTAATAGCATACCGAGTGAGAGTTGGGATCTGGATCGTGAGTCGTCCATGATTCGGATTGAAACCATATATGAGCGGCGGGATAATGATTGCGATCTTGGCCTTCCCTGAAAACCGCTCCCGAGATCTGACAATGGCAAGGTCGATCTGACGATGTGGCGCATTGTCCGGAACAGAGTCTACCTCTGATATCATGCTATCGTGATAAATCTTGTCAGATTTGTAACTCCCTTTCGCGCCATCGCCTAGTACAGACGTTCCAGAGGTGTGTATGAAGATCGTGCTGAGTCCTTTTTCATGTCGCTGCTGGACAGCATCTAGTATTGCATCCACGCTTGGAAGATGGTCGGCGGTAGCTGTGTGGATGATTATATCATGAGATACGGCATGGTCCGTGATCAAATTCTTATCATTTAGGTCTCCCAGAACCGCGTCAGTAGCCCCTGAAGCCTTGATCTGATCCGCGTGGGCTTGCCTCCTGACGTAACCTGTGACAACGTAATTCTCCTTGACTAACAGGTCTAGTACGTTCCAACCAATGAAGCCAGGTCCAACAATAAAAGCCTTCTTCCCTGAAGTCATTTTAAGTGACGAAGTTGTGATTGTATGTTACGTTGAAATTCTTGATCTTAAATCTTGATCTGGATGGTACTTCTCTGTCTAGGAGTACCTGATTAGCATGACATACGTAGGTAATATGGCCACCTGAGGATACTATTAGATGTATTATAGCGGGATTTAAATTCCCCGAGCGTCGACGTGTATTGCAGGTTACATCACAATTGTCTTGTTTGAGTTGATTTGATTGGACCGTGCTCCAAAAAGGGGGAGCGTTTGAAATACTTAGGTGCTACGGTCCGGACCTTGATTTGTAATCCCTTAATATATACGTACCTAGGTAGGTAGAGACTAGTAAGGCATGTACGACGGATCGGTACGCATTTTGATTTGACCAATTACAAACTCTTATCTTACCTGTAGGCAGTTCAATGTTTCTTTTTCTCATACTAGGTACCTGTGCCTATGTACCTACTGCTAACTTACGCTTGTGAGCTGAACATATATACATACCTTGGGTATATAGGTACCTAGGTAAAGACGAAAGTTGAACTTCATTCAATTTCGTTCCTTAGAAATCAATTCGACTGTTGTGCTACTTATTGCGAGGTTCACGTAAAAGATCATGATTCAGGAGTGTAGAAATTTACTTGGTAACTTGTAAGTACCTATTCTTAAATTATTTCTTAATATTTCGCCGTTTCAGCCGCAATTTCTAACTGAGCTTCTCATTGGACGTACTATCATGGATAGCTCCCGTCTAAGACTAGCCTAGGTCCTAGGCTGCTAGCTCTCTAGGTACCTTGATCAGGGGCAAAGGACCGTGCATGGAGGCGGCGAAATTACGCTAAAAAGAAATAATGATAATATCTTTCCTCTTGTTCTGCTGAACTTGTCTGATTTGATCTTCTTCCTAACGTAAATCCTTCCTTTCGTGGTTGCCCTAATAGATAAAGGCTGCTGTCCATTCGTTCATTCTACCATCCCGTGTTTTTTGGTTGGTGTAATACATTGTCGATCGCCTTCATAACCAAATCCATCTCATCATGCTCGCCAACAGCTTGAAAGCCTCAACGGCTATTTTGGTCACTCTTCTCGCAGGGCAAGCCGTAGCTAGGACAGATCTGTCAGGCTGTGTTTCGTCTAAAACTATTGCGTATGGCGGCGCGAGCCTTATCTGGTACGTCCCGGATACCGGGGAGATCTGCGCTTTTCTCGACTGTGGTGGCGGCCGTGCGCCACCTAAGACGACTGTCCCGGGTTGTGCCGCCTACTCGGGTACTGCATCCTACTCGCCTAGCTACTTACCGAATTTTGGCGCTGCCGCAACCGTTTCCGCAACCGCCAGCTCAACCGCGACCTCCTCGGCAGGGTCTTCTTCTGCGGCCACTTCTACGCCTACCTCTGACATAGCAGACTCTTCGTCATCTGTTAATACCATCACACCAGCACCGACTACGACATCCCTGGAAACGAGTGCTACCGGTAGCGCCGGCTCGAATGGCGAATCATCTTCCTCAGCTGGGAACTCTCAGGGAGCCGCATCTACTAGTGTGTCACAGGGTGCGGCCGCCATGTCGACGGGTGTTGTGAAGAGTGCTATGGGTATGGCAGTCGGTATTGTGGCGGGCGTGGCTATGTTGTGAGTGGATGATCCTGATAAAGGTAATCGTCATTGAATTCTATAAGTATGGAAGCCAGGAATATTGTTAAGTTGTTACTGTTTACGGTAGTTATTAATGAAGGGATAATCGTAATAAATCCGCCTTTTCAACAAATCGAGTTTAATCAAATGGTAATAGACATGATGATCAAATTCATGGGAGAAAAGGAAAAGGGGAGTGTAAGATAATGGAAACGTGCAGCGACTAGTAATGCTTATGGAGCTTAGCTGCCATTATATTGACTTCAATTCTAGCAGGAGAGGAGTGTGTATTTCTAAAGCGACGAGATATCGTTACTCGTGTGAGGGTGGTGTGTGCTGGAAGAAAGCCTGGGCTCGTGTGCTATGTCGTCGATGCATTCAAAGCTTGGACCACATCACTACTGTTAGGCAACCAAGGCAATCCACAGCCTTAGACATATATTATCAAATTGTAAGAGATTCTGTCACCGGAATAGGATGGCTTGGTCAACTGGAAACACTACTTGACCATCAAAACGCTGACATTATAACAGGCACCACTAAATCATCGCGTAGCTAAACTAGAGAGTAAGGGGTTCGAATCCGGCGCACCCCAAATTTAATTGCCAATATCTTGCCACTGTGAATGAGGGTTAGGAGCTAATAATGTCTGTATTCTAAGTAGGGAACTGAGGAATCAATAGATAACTAGAAGTGAGTACCCTCCTGCAGACTGACCGAGCCATCCTATTCCAGAACCTCCCCCCTTCCCATCTTTTTGACTTTCATATCTTTTACATCCTTGTACTTGGTATGATTGAATATGCTATTAGATACCGACTTCCCCCCTTTTATTTCTATTCAATACTACGCAGTTATTACCTACTAGGTAGGTACCTAGATAAGCTGTCTGAGTAGGTAATATTAGTAAATTTGTGGATTTGATGTTCGGTACCTCGACATCTTCATCTGCCAACTTATTTCAAGCGCCAAGAATAGACACTATTAATATAAACTTCGAGGCTTGATTATCAAATGAACTTAAGCTTCACGATCAGAATTATTCCCTCTCGTCTTGCCATTCACTTGGATGGTCCTGTGTACACGGCCCCTTTGATGCTGATATATACTAGGTATATATATAGGTATTTAACTGTTTGTTTTCATACCCGCATCGAGACAAAGGCTTTTGCATCGATACGCTAAAATAGAACATATAAACATAAGATATGTACACAACTCCCCTGATAAACCCGAATTTTGCGATATAAAAAAGAATCAGTCTAATGCCATCCACATGGCCCCAATGGAAATAGTACCAAGCACAAGTGCAGTAACTATCCCCGCGCCGGCTCTATCCCCCACCGTAATGGGGGCGGCCTCGGGTAGACTCGGGGAGTTGGATCCGGCATTCGGGTCGCCTATACTCGTACCACCTGTTGAGTTCGTCACGGGAACCTTCGCATCATTCACTAGCAAGCTCGACAGCGCGCCTAGAACGTTCATTTGCTGACCTGCACCGGTCTTGCCATCGTATACGCCCGTGGTCCAGTGGAAGCCGCACTGTCGGCCATTGGCACCGCCCGTGCACTGTTTGACGGCCATCTCGGCGCTCGAGCGTAGAAGCTTCGTGATGCGGTCCTTGGTAAAGGGGGCTACTTGCGTGGAGACGGCGAGCCACCGGTGCACGTACCCCTTGAAACTCAGCATGTCGGTCGAGCACACGCCAGCTTCACAGGAAGGCTCGTAGAGGGTGCCGTTCACGAAGAAGATACGTTCCATGCCGTCAAGGAGTCCGGTGATTCGGTCTTCCCATTCTTTGCTTTGGTTTGTCTTCATTTGGGTCGAATCGTTAGTGTTTCTATTTACCCTTATTTGCGACACAGGGTGGGATTGGGGTGAGGACTTACGTAGTCGTACATGTACGCGGCGCCCGATAGTAGGATAGCGGCATTATAAGAGTATTGCTGGCGGTTGATGTCTGTACAGTTATAAGGTACGTGGCCACCGTCGAATACGTTCCAGTCCTTGTCGATATAATGAACGCCCATGATCCAATCAAACGTTTTGGTTGCCCAGTTCGCGTACGTCTCATTTCTCGTATATCGGGCCAGGCGAGCTCCTATATTGAAGAAACACCCGTTTGCGATAGCTGTTTGCCCCAGTCAGCGACATCATGCCCCGGCGTTCTTCAATTCCACCCCTTAATCCCTCCTTTTCCCATCTTGATACCGAAAAGGGGAGGTCCTCACTGTTTTTATAATCGTAACCCTTGTTAGTCGAAAATATCTGCCACCTCAGTCCGCCACCGCATTCGTCGTCGTGATGATCCGGAGCAGCCTGCTCATTCCATACGCCCTGGGCTAGCGCGAGCCACTGCGGTTCACCGGCCGGGGCGTCGCGGAAGTTGACCTCGGCCGCTAGCATCGCCGACATTCCCCAAAACGATTGGTCATCGTTTCCAAGCGATAGAGTCCAGTTGCTCGGCGCGTAATCCCGGTTCTCGCCTACCTGGAACTGCATCGCGTTGAATGTGACATCGTTGTACGTTTCGTCACCCGTGTAGTGCCAGTAGTCTATCATCGTACCCCATAGCGCGCCACCTTGCCACCTTGTCATAGGAGCTGCCGTTAGTGAATCGCTTTCCTTCTTTTGTTGGATCGGGACGATGGTAGGGAAAGAGGCGCAAACCAGTAGTAGTCTCCATCCGGTGGTGGCCCCGGCAAGATACCCGGTACGTGACCGGACTCATTGCCGTGATAGTATGTCATCAAGTCGTACGCGACCTGTTTCGCTGCGGCTTTGATAGAATCTAAGGGAGTTTAAGTTCGGGAACCTCTTGTGGCTTTTAATCTAAGGCACTGAGAACTGAAAACCACGTACCTGGAGAATCCAGATCAACCTCGAGCGCCCCGAGAACGACTGCCGGCGCGAGCCATAGCAGATGGAGCCGCTGAGTAGCGGGCAGCATATTTGCGACTTAGGTCGAGCAACTTTGCCAATGAGCTGACCGTCCTACGAAGCCTAGAGATTGGTAAAGTTTAGGACACGGAGTTAAGAAGACAAGTTTCATAATACTTCTAAGTATGTAATAATAAGGCAAATTGACAAATGATGGGTTAGTTGTAAGATATGTACCTCTGTTTCCCATGTCTAACCGCACGTAGGGGTCACTTGGGCATATGTACAAACCATCAGGTCCATTGAAGGATGATGCCAGCCGACAGCCGCAACGAACCAACATGATTGCCAAGCGTTTGAAGACCTAGCATGAGCATCAGTACGGTATGCTAGAGAGATGTTAAGTCCTTTACCACTCATCTGATGTCGGAGCTGGCGGCCTGACCGTGCATTGTCAGCAACCAATAAATAAATCAAAATCCGCCGATCTGCGAGGGATAGCTGCTAACAAACTAGTCTACATATGCGACTGATATTTAGATCTCAATGTTACGTTCGGGATGTTGCAGATCTCGTATGTGACCTGATCCAATGGGGTTGTAGTCCACATTCTCATCTCATCAACAGTTGAGGCTGTGCCATGTCAGCGCGAAAGCTGTTGCCTATTAATATTAAGACGAGCCTTTTTTGACCTTTTCTACCTTTAGAGCCGATTCACAGCGAATGCCTTCTGTATCCAAACTGTCAAATTAGCCGAAACCTCGTAAAATCGCAAAATGAGTTGTTTCATCGATACCAATGAAGGTAGGCATTCGGATGGGGGCTTGACTGCACTGCCTCAAATATTCATTTCCGCTCAAGTTGTTGGTTGTATCTTACCTGCCTACCTATTTGGGGAACCCACCGAGTAAGCCCTAGACCCTGGTAGTTAGTTTTTTTTTTGTCAGGAACTTCGGCGGCACAGCAATATGGAGATGGAGAATAATAAATGCGCCGCGAGACCTTTTGCTTGATCCATGCTACGATCATTTTCAAGCCTTAAGAAGTGAGGTAATAAGAGAAAGACTCAAAGAGTTAGTGTTGGTACCACTACCGCCACCATCCTCACTTTCGTTACGACTTGGCCAGTCGGCATTAAGCCTACCTATCTGGGTAGTATGTAGGACCTAGGTACCTAGGTAATAATTGCTTTTCAAGAACGGCAGCTAAAATGCCGTCTTAATAACCCCGCTCGTCCCCTTGCCTAACCGCGTCCGGATCCTCTTCTGGCAGGTCTGAGCCTAACACTATGGGATCAATCCAACTCCGGGAGAGTCCTCCTCCTGTCTCCTTAGTAGACTTGTGCTGTTCAAGTCGGTATAGGTCTCCAGGCTCATCCATTGGCGCAAAGTCAAAGATACGATAGTCGGCATTGAAGTACCAGTAGCCAGAGACAGCTAGCCGCAAGAAAGCTGAGTGAGAGACGACAACAATAACCTCCTCCGGACGCTCGTACAATTTCTTCAGGGCCGATTGAGCGCGAAGCAGGATGGCTGCCTTGGTGAAGTGATAGTGGCTTGCCGCTGGCGATGTCTTATCCGGAAACACGGGATCTACTTTTGAAAAGTCAACCATGGGAAACTCCTGGATAAGTTTACGAATAGGGCTTCCGGTGTCACACGGCTTGGGCGAGTTTTCTATCGAGATCTGTTAGAATGTGGCTGTGGCTTTGGGGTACAATATTAGAACATGGACCTACCTTGCCAGTCCGCATCGGCTTCTATCCCGACACCTTTCTCTACGAGCCAGTCGACGGATCTCAAAGCAGTCTGTATTGTCCTACGCAAGGGAGAAACTAGTATGAGCTCAGCTTGTTGGGCTAATGGATGCTTTACGAGACTTTGTCGGAGGTCTGCGCATTGTTTATGTCCCTCCTCGGTCAAATTCGGATCTGGGATTTCAAAATTCGCTAGATGAAATCAGAATTAAGGCTTCTAAGTTGATAAAATAGGGTCCTATCATAATTGGCTTACATTCTGCATTATGACGAGCTTGAGCATGACGAACAAGTATAAGGGTTGGAGGCATTTCGAAGGAGAGAATATCTAATTCTAAACAAGGTCTGTACTGAGTCTATTCAAAGTTCTTACCAGGTAGGTAGGTCTCATAAATGAAAAGACGAGTAGAACGATACGGTGATGGGAGCTAGCAACGCTCATTACTCGAAAATATGGAATAAGTTTCTACCTAGTATACTAGGGGGGGAGACAATACAAGAAGATTGAGCAAACTTGAACAAAGACCACAATTGCTTACTGTTGAATGGAAGATGGTTGAATAATTGAAGCCGTTGAAGTTGTTGCTGACCAAAAAACACCGATAGGATAATACCTAGTACCTAGTAGTAGGTAGCGAGTCGCTGCTATTGTATCCATATTATACGTACCTACCTGTAGGTAGTTCTTACCTAGTTCATCCCACTGTGGGGATACGTGACTTTTGCTCTGAGTGAGTACCCACCGCCTAGCGGCCTAGGCAAGTACGACGCTTATGTCTAGAACCTTAAAATTAGGCCTATCATGGATGTTTTTAACGTTGCGAATTTATTACTATCAATAACATCTACGATCTTTACCACATGCTCACATAAACGTTTCATGATTCTTCTTTAAGATCCTCTTGTACTTGCAATATGGCTAACATAGATGACCTTTTCAAGGTTGGTCCGATCCCGCACATTAATCGTATTCCCCCAGCTTTCACTAATTATTACGTACCTAGGCATCTGGCGCCGGTAGCAAGCGCAAGCTAGAACCCCTTCGCGATCCCAGTATGCTTTCTCCTCCCTCTTAGTTCAACCTTCAGGCTCACACCAACTTACATCTGTCATTTCTCAGATGAAATTTACAAGTCTGCCCGTCTAACATCGAACGGGTCTAGCAGTCGTCACGCGAGTGTTGAAGAAATAGTAGACGTGGATGACGACGATACCGAGGCAGGGCCTTCGCTCCCACCTGACGAGGAGGACGAATTTGGAGGTAGCGGACTGACTGCACAGGAGGAAGACGCGCTTGACTATATCGACGCGCTTGATCCTGCTAATGACCAACAACCTATCAAATTCGACAACGCATGGTTACGGAAGACCGCGATCAATTTCGAGAAATGTATAAATAAGAATGCGGAGCTACGCGCTAAATACGAGAACGATCCTGAGAAATTTGCCGATAGCGAGAACCATCTAGACCAGGAGATCAGAAGCTTATCTATATTGTCCGAGCAACCAGAACTTTACACCCTATTCGTGAAGTTGGGTAGCGTCGCGAGCTTAGTTAGTCTATTGGCGCACGAAAACACGGATATCGCAATCGATGCTGTGGAAGTTATCAATGAACTGACGGACGAGGAAGTTGTGGCTGATGAGGAGCAGTGGGACACTCTTGCCGATGCCCTTCTGGAAGATGATCTGTTGGGGTTACTGGTCTCGAATTTCGAGAGGTTTGATGAGAAGGAAGAGTCCGACCAGAAGGGTGTCTATTATGCTCTAGGTATAATAGAGAACCTATGCAGCGGTAGGACGGCGACAAAAGAGAAATTTGCGGAGAACGACAAGTTGCTTAAGTGGTTGTTACGACGGGTACAAGCTAAGGAGACCAAGTTCAGTCAAAATAAGCAGTACGTGGCCGAGATTCTCGCAATCCTGATGCAGGACTCTCCCCAAACCCGAAGGAGGCTAGCTGGCTTAGACGCTATGGAGATTCTTCTCCAACTCTCGTCAGCCTATCGAAGACGTGACCCTGAAAAGGGGGGGTACGAAGAGGAATACATGGAGAACTTGTTCGAAGCTTTGACATCTCTTGCAGACGAACCGGAAGGCAAAACCAAATTTGTGGAGGCCGACGGCCCTGAGCTATGCTTGTTGATGCTGAAGGATGGGAACAAGAGTAAGGCCTCTGCATTACGACTCCTCACTCACGCCGTAGGGGGTTCCGGCGCAGCAGGAGTTGAGGTGTGTCAGAAAGTCGTTAAGGATGGCGGACTAAAGGTCCTTTTCACCCTGTTTATGAAGAAGAAGAATGACAGGGCTACTATGGAGCTTCTAATTAGTATATTTGGGTCTTTGTTACGACTATTACCCGCCGACTCGGACGAGCGAATCCGAGCGTTAGCGAAGTTCGTTGAGAAGGATTATGAGAAGACGACGAAGCTAATTAAAATAAGGAGGGACTATGCAACGCGGATGAACGAGGTGGAAGAGGAAATTGAAGAAGAGAAGAGGACTGCAGATCGTGACTGGTTGCAATCTCAAGAAAGCGAGTGGTTTTTACGACGACTCGATGCTGGTTTGTTCTGTCTACAAACGATAGACGTTATACTAGCTTGGCTGATCGCAGAGGACAACGGGGCGAAGAAGACAATTCGCAAACTTCTAGCAGACCACGACGAGACATTCGATGCTATCAGGAACACATTACAAGAACAGATCAAAGGGATCGAAGCCCAGAACCCGGACAAGGATCCATGGGATCTCAAGGAGATGCTTTCAACGCTAGTGAAATTCCTTCAGTAATCTAGACGAGTAGATAGCATAGGTTCTAGCTTCGAGATGAATCAATTGATAAATAATGCGTATCGTACTGGCTTCTTAGCGCGGCATTCCTGGATACCTCAGATGTCTTCTATGAACAGACAAGACAAGCTTCTTGCAGCTAGCGGAACCGAACAACTCCCCTTGTTTTGATGTTTCCTTCAAGACATTTGGCAATTGCAGTACTGGAGACAGTACTAAATAATACGTAATACGATTCGAACCCCTTTGGCACGAATACCTGTCGCGGTATAACATGCCAGTTCTCCCTCTCAATGTATTCCCAGACGTGGGCTATTTCTTTAGGTGGACGACGTATATTTATGCCTTCTCGGGTGGGACTGGCTTTACTTCGAATACGGCATCTAGTAGGTCCACGACAACTTTAGACTGGCTCTTCTTGCCAGCGGCATGGATCTCCTGGATCTTGGCATCGGCCTCCTTGTTAGCCTCGTCTTCGGCTTGCTTGTTGCCTTGGGTATGCTGTAGTTTAATGTATAGCGGTTAGCGCATGTATCTCGAGGGAGATGGTTTTGCTTGAATGCCATATGCTGAACTCGTACCTCGGCCTCGAATTTCTTGAACTCATCGTCTTTCGATTTGCGATAGGCTTCTATCTCTTTCTTGGCCTCGTCTCGTGCCTCTCGTACTCTTTTGGTTCGGACTATGAGGCGATAGGTAAGTAAATAAATCGACGAGCCGCCATTGTAGATTGGCAGAGGTGTGAGACTAACATTCCCGGGCTTTTTGGACTATCTTGGAAGCTTCCCTCTCAGCCTATATACTTGTCAGCTATATCTATTCGCCAAAAATCTCCTGTGCCTAGCCCAAGGCATTGTAGGCTGGGCGATTGCGTACATCGAGTAGGGTCTGGATGCCTGCCGAGTTTTGGGCCGACTGTGTTAGTGAAGCATTGTTAGCTGATTGCATCTACTTATATTAGTACTGTTGACTGTATATTCATACCATCCTGTTATTTTACAGAAGTCTGGCTTATGTATAAATCGATTTAGGCGAAAGGGGAATGATATTGATGGCTGTCAGGTTCGTGACTGGCGTATGATGTCGCAAACAAAGAACAATTGTGATAGGTCGAAGACGTTGTAAGAGGGTTGGTTTTAGTAGGAGATAGGTAGGTACGATACTAGAGCTATCAACCATCACTGACCAAGGTCACAGGCCAGGCAGGGGCTGCGAGCTTACAGCCTACAAGGTTAGTACCAGCAGCCTAAAGCTCCACCTACAGCTAGAGGCCATCGGGCGAGGGAAAAACAACAATGCCGTCCGTGCGCAACCTTTGAACTCAATTGATCGTTATCGATAATGGTAGTGAAAGTGAATCTTATCCGACTAACGTCATTTGGAAACATTCAAGCTTCCATTTTCATTCCTTCTCAATAACCTAACCTACCTAGATCTCAGAAGGGTCAATGCGATAAAAGGGAAGAAGATGTGCAATGGTCTTATAGAGGCTTCATAGGAGAAATATTTCGAGCTGACTCGACAATTTATCTACGCAGCTCAGATAAATTATCTCAAGATGTCTCGCGCCTCGAAGCTCACATTAGCGGGTACCTCCCTTTTTGCCGTAGGTACCGTTATCATGGTGCACTTTCAGCAGAAGATGGAAAAACAGGTATGGCTACCCGCTACTCTCAAGAATTACTTAACGACTAGTTATACAGCTCTGTGCTTATCAAGTATATGTATAGGCCATGCATCAAGGTGTCGTGAGAGATATGGAGCAGCAGCGTATAAAGAAGGAACGTCAACTCGATTTTGAAATGCAGAAAGTTTTGGAGGAGGAATACAAGAAGGGACAAACTGTCCGAGACACTACGGTGGAACTTGAAGCCAAGAAATTGCCAGACCGGTAGCACTAAGCGTGGCGGTTGGCTCATTTCGTCTATGAGCTCTGTACGACAGTATAGTAGAGTCTTAATCGCCACATCCGTCATCTAAGCCTACCTAGTACCTACCTAGGTAGGTAAGCTCTCAATATCTCCGGAACTCCGTATCTTGTCGAAGGCAGCAGGGTCCATTCAAGGTGCGTGACGACTTAATCACTATGTATCTAGTAAGTCAGTCAAGAGACATCCATGATTGGGTTTGTACTATTATTGCGTGGAAATTAAACAGCCCTCTCAGCAATTCATGTTCTATATCAACTGAGAGCTCATTGTCATTGTCTCGAATATCTGATTAAGTCACGTATTTATTTTATTTTATTTATTTATTTATTTATTAAAAAGCCGTTTAAATACACTACGGTTTGAGACTACAAGGCTGGTACTTGCCAAAATTATATCATAAATTCCAATACCGCCTACATACCTAAGGCGTATCTTCCCCTTAGCCTCACACAAACACGCCCCCGTTACCCCGTCATATCATAAATCGTTCATCGCGTCTTATACTTTGGTATCTATGTTTGCCATGTCAATCTGGTCTTTGTACTTGCTCATTACATCATCCGCGACATGCTCGGCGAATACGTCGACGTTAGTCGATGCGAACTTCCTCGCACTTATTTTCTGCTCGAATAAGAGGTCTAATTCCGCAAACGTGCGGCCGGCCGGTTCGGGTATGCGGAAGTAAGTATAGATGAAGCAGAGGAAACAGGAACCCGCCTATGAAGATGTATCGTTAGTGCGCGAATAATTGATACGGCCAGAGACACACTTACCCAGAAAAATCCAGCATAATTACCCCAATCCCAAGCTGAAGGATTCAGCATGTACGGCGTTAAGACGCCGCAAACGATGCCGACAATATTGCTATGACTGTAAGCTTCGTGTGGCCGACATCTGCTAATATCAAAGGAATCTTACTAGAGGATACGTCCGAGCACTACGGTCTTGATCTGTAAACGTCTCGTCGATATTTCCGCAACTAGAGAATAGCAGACAGTTCCGACGGTCAGCTGGTAGCACAGAGCCCACGCCAACATGATGCTGCCTGTCGCGAGCGAAGCAGCATTCCTATCAGGAGCCAAGCCGAGGAAGCCGAGTATCATAAGCATGGCAAAGAGAGAAGCAAGACCATAGAGATATAATGTTCTTCGTCCAATCCCGATGGTGATGAGTATCCAGGCACCAAAGACACCTGCACAGTTGATGGCGTACTGGCCTAGGGCAAACGCATAGGCCTTGTCGCTGGCTAAGCCGGCCTGCTCTAGGAAGTAGGTAGAATAATTGGAAAATGTATTGCCACTTAGGTTCTGGATTGCCCAACACATACACACAATCTATCTCAATTAGCATCAGGGGGAAAGGGATACACAAGGTGAGTTATAGACATACTTCCGTGCGGCGCCTGTCAACCCCCTTAAAGCAGTCGAGATAGCTAGCTCCTTTTGTGATCTAAGCGGTTTAGTTAGCAAACGCGTAGGTCTGGGGCCGTTGTCGGATCACGTAACCTTCTGCTCCAAAGCTGTAGTATGCACCATCATCGCAACCGTCTCGTCCGCATCGAAGTCGGTTTCTCGGTCCATGCTAGTTAGGCGGAGAAGGGAGCGCTTGGCATCGTCGAGTTTCCCTCTCCTCACAAGCCACCAAGGAGACTCCGGTGCAAAGCTGATGCCAATGATAAGGGGCAGTGGCCACATCCACTGGAGCGCGTACGGCTATCGAATTCCATTAGCGGCTATTCCAAAAGAAAAGAAATCGCGTGGAGGGCCTACTATGCGGTATGCCCATTCGTCTGTGCGCCATAGGTTGCCCATGATGACACCGATCCCGATCATCTGGCCTACGCCCCAGCAGAAGTTGATATAAGTCGTCAGATAGCCACGCAGAGCCACAGGGCAGACTTCGGAAGCATAGGTGATAGTTAGGGTCTGGAAGACACCCCAGGGAATACCGCACAAGATCTCGGCGACCTGCAGGTGTACGACGGTCTGGGCCGTGAAGAAGATAGTGGTGAAGCCCGCGATGAGCACGAGACAACCAATTACCGTGTATCGATAACCGAACCGCTCGGAGACCCAACCGTTAAGTAGCAAGCCGATGATTTCGCCCTGCAAGACATAAGGTTAGGACAATTGGCTAGGTACCTATGCATACATAAAGGGGGTTAAGGGGATGTGATGTCGCCGCAACCACAGTGGTTAGATTACAGAGACGGGCAGGGAAAGGACAGCCCAGCACTATAATAAGTAGACGAACAGTGTTCTCGGATGACAGGTAGAAGAAAGAAAGATGGGCAGTTTTAACTTCAAGTACAAACATAAGCGCATGCGATTTAACTCACCACTACCGCACCATTACTCAGCCCAGCCTGCCACGCTGCCGGGATTTGATAAGTGACCGTGCCGTCGGGCTTGGTCGTTGCGACGCCGTACTTCTGGTTGAATTGCGGGAAAGCGTAGAAATTGTTGACCAAGGAGATGTCGAACCCTTCCATGATGATACAGGTAGAGATCAGGACACTCCATGCGATAGCCTTAGGATACAGCTTGATGCCTTGCAACAAAGTCATCTTGTGTTCCTTCTCGGTCGCGAGCCTCGCATTCCGGATCACGTCGGCCATGGTCTGGGCCTCTCTCAGAGACACCGCCGGAGCCGATCCGGTTGAGATGGCGTCGTCGCTGATTTTTTTCTCCGTTTCTGAAGCCATGTCTGTGGCTGTAACCTATCGGTTGTCGGTATAACGGATTCGAAAATGAGCCAAAGTTATGCTCTAACTTCTGAGGAGTCAGGACGACATGAATTGTATCGATGTCGACGAGGAAGACTTATCAGGTCTTTTATCTTCGAAAATCAACAGGAATATTCTAGTGTTCTAGCCAATCTATTCGGAGAACTAAGCCGCTAGTTAGACCGAGGCACGCTAGCTATACTCCGTAAACGGTTTAGCTTCGTTGGATTTGTCCTTTCAGAGAGTCTCCAAACGTCACTTCCCGTCTCCATCTGTGGAGAGAGAGTTGCGGGGAAGAGCCACTCAGAAGTCTTAGATCCTGGAATACTCATCTAAGATCCTGGACATCCTTGAACTTTGCACTCTTTTCGCTCTTTTCACAGCTAAGGAGTATCCATTCGACCACACTGCTTTGGCATAATGGTCAGCTCTTACCCTTACTACTGCCTACTACTGCGGAGAGACGAAGCCGACCCCGTGGGGCATAGTCCAAGCTCATCATTCGGAGTACCGTCCAATGAAGACGCGCCCATATGGCCAATCGACCTGGGATTTGGTGTCCCGTGAACCCGTTTACGCTATTTTAGATCTTCCCCCTCGTCTCTCCAGCTTTCTCCAAGTCGGCGGTTTTAACCATATTTAATAGACGACAATCTCAAGATTGGGGTTCTTCTGATCTATACGGTCATATCTAGCGAAGTATTACAAGCTTAGCTACTCGCAAGAGCCGACGACGTTGCGAATGCCCTCACCAGAGCAGCCCGAGTTGCTCGCTACACCTTGGTACAGTCTTTCTTCCGCTTCCCCTCATACCAAGAAGCATAGTCGCTGCATGTCGAGGGGATTGAACACTCATCCCAATATTTGGATTCGGATCTTAGAATAATCGGGTAGATCTGTCGCTGACGTCGATTTCGTGGAAAATAGCGTTACATGCCGTGAACATCATTTGAAATGTAAGTCGCTTCGAATAACTTGCTATTTCTTGGTATGAACAATTCGTTAATTCGCTGAGCTGAGCGAGTAGGCGATCGTGAGGTTCCTAGATGCGGCCGCTGTGTTCGCGCGGGTCGCGAGTGCAAACTAGGCTTCAAATTCAAACCTAGCAAAGGTTAGTGAGATCATCAACATATCTTATTATTTTGAACCGTGTTCTAATATTACATTGCAGATACCTTTAGTATAGATCAAAGATGGCCTAGGCCGCCAAGACAGTGTAAATACAGCCATGGAAAGGTATATTTGGAGAAGCTCATGTTGACTAAGTGTATTAGTAATTTATGTCGACGAGACTCAGAGTCTGACTACAGGAAGTCCTATAGAGGAAAACACATCCCAATATGAGTTTCGCTTAGATAACACTGATATAAGAGGTATGGAGTCAACCTCTTCCACTACGACGACATTGACGACGGCATCAACGACGACGCTTCCAGCGATAACCAGTCTGAGAGAGTACACGGAGACAGGAAAGCACCTAAGGGTTCATGACTTCTTTTTAAATGAAAACACATCTCCAACCGAGCATTACCCTTATAAAGAAAGTGTAGGAGCAAGATCTGCGGCCACCGGACCATACAATGTACAGACGCTATTAGCAGGGCATGACGTCCGGATACCGCCTCTCAGGAACATCATAACGTCAACCCTCCGAACGTCGTCGGCATTGCCACTCAAGGACCGGACAGAGGCACTACTTTTCCGGCACTACATCCAGAAGCTGGCTATTTGTGTAAGCAAAAATGAGATGCGTGATGACGAACCTCGAAAGACAAAGATCTGACTGGAATAGCTGGACTTGTGCGACCCACACCGGCATTTCGAACTTGTTGTCCCGGAACGTGCTGCAGAGTCTCACACGCTTCTGAACGCGATATTCGCCATAGCTGCGAGACATCTAAGCCATACGACGGATTTCGACCCTCTTGCCTCAAATAGGTACCATGACGAGTGCTTAAGATATCTTATTCCCATGTTGAATCATGCCTCGACGGTGTCGGATGAGAATTTATTTGCGGCGACGATCATCCTGCGTATGCTCGAGGAGATGGATGGTGAGCAAATATAATTCAGAAGACAGCCTAAGAGCCCTTTGCTGATTTTTATCCTAGTTCCAACAACAGGACAGGATACATATAGCCATCTACTCGGTATCCATGCCTTCGTCAATGTTGGAGATCATTATATGGTGCCAGGCAGTTTAAGCGCGGCATCATTCTGGGTAGGGCTACGGCAAGAGATTTATATCGCTGTAATAACGCAACAGCCTGTCAAACTTTCTTTAAATCACTTCATGGTGGACCGATCGTTCGAGCCAGCTGACGATTACACGTGGTCAAATCGTGCGATCGTTCTCATTGCGGACGTCCTCAACTTCTGCTTCGGCGAAAATTCCTTTACGGTTGGTGAATGGAACGCGCTAGATGAGGCATGCCAAAAGTGGTCTGCCACTCGACCCCCTTCCTTCAACCCGTTTTTCTACCGGGAGCGTGCGGCTTCTATGGCTTTTCCCGAAGTGTGGCACGGTTCAAGTTGTCATGGTAAATAGCGCGACCTTTTCTGGGATTACCATTGCAGTTTCTAAGTCTGATCACACCTACCTAGTCATCGGAATCCAGCATCATATTCTCGCCCAACTATTCTTGACGCAATTCGACCCATCGATCCCCAAAGTGGGTACAAATCGACGGGCGGCAGTGAAGCGAATGACCGTGAGTGCGCATTACCACCGGATGTCATCGAATATCTAATCCTCACCAAAGTATAGCATCGTATAGAGAACCTTATGAGAGAGCTTTGTGGTATCGGAGTCTGTAATAAGTGGACACCGCCGGGCATGTTCACAGCTTGTATGGGCATAGCTATGTGTGAGAAGCGTCCTAAGCGAAGAATAATGCACCGAATACTTTAAGCTAACCCTAACATAGTTGGTGACCAATTTGGCGAACGACCGGACCAGGAGGCTTTAATCGACTTACTAAAAATGACCGAGGGGGATCACGCTCGTCCAACTGCAGCAATACAGCAGCAGCTAATGAAAGCATGGGGTTGGATACCAGAGGGAGATGAGTAGATATACGTAAAATCTGATTGGTGATTTATCAGATCACAATGTCGGATCCAAGGGGTCCAAGCTGTCCGAACGCCAATGAGTGGGAGGATCAGATCCGGGGCAAACAAGCAGGTAACCGCAAATATCGCTTCAGACTACCTAACTAGCAGTGCTCGACCGGGTCTAAATGCTACTTTTATTCAATGTGGGGGAAAACCTGGTATATTCCGAACTGCAATACCGAATGATTTCAGGATGACGTTTCGACGCCCAAAAATATATCGGGTTCTTACATGTGGACGCCTCTGGACGCCTCTGGACGCCAAACAACAATCCAATGAGATATGATATGTTTCACATCGAGGATCGGACGGTATTGCCTCTTTTGACAAGAAATGGCAGTCAATCCCGCACGTTCCGCATATTTTGTTGATTCTACTCCGCATAGATGCAGGGACGGCGTACCTGGCGCTCTTGCGGGGGATTGGCGTATACGCTAGTTGGCTAGACACAGCCCGACTCGGCGATTTTCACCTTGTTCGACTTCGGACTTACATTAACTCATCGTGGAGACTCAAGCTCCAGTATACGAATTACACGATGCCTCGAGTATATATCATAGAGAAGATGACGACGTTCCGAGATCAATTTTTTGTTAATCAGACTCAAGAAATCTATCCTCTTCAAATATATCCTTCAAAACAAGAACCCCTTTATTTATTTCTCCCATAACCAGTAGGCATCACAATGGCACCGGGAATCTTAGTTGATGACACCACAAGCCGAAACGGACTTGAGCTCGAGGAGACTTCCGACCACATCGACGCAGTCAATGTGTTGAAAGGGAAATCACAGTACGACGCCAAGTCGAAATTCGACGAGGAAAAGGACAAGACACAGTTCAGACAGTACGAAGAAGCATGCGACCGGGTAAAGAACTTCTACCGAGAGCAGCATGAGAAGCAGACTGTAGCGTATAACCTCAAGGCGCGCAACGACTTCAAGACGCGGAAGCGGGAGGAGATGACCGTCTGGGAGGCTATCGAGAAGCTCAACACGCTGATTGACGAGTCCGACCCGGATACCAGCCTCTCGCAGATCCAGCACCTGCTCCAGTCCGCCGAGGCCATCCGCCGCGACGGCAAGCCCCGCTGGATGCAGCTTACAGGCTTGATCCACGATCTCGGCAAGCTTCTCTACTTCTACGGCTCCCAGGGCCAATGGGACGTCGTCGGCGACACCTTCCCTGTGGGCTGCGCCTTCGACAAGCGCATCATCTATCCGGATACCTTCAAGAACAACCCCGACTCCAAGGACCCCATTTACAACACCAAGTTTGGCATCTACTCCCCCGGATGCGGGATGGATAACGTGATGCTGTCGTGGGGTCACGACGAGTACCTGTACCATGTCGTCAAGGACCAGTCAACCTTACCTCCCGAGTCGCTCGCCATGATCCGCTACCACTCATTCTACCCCTGGCACAAGGAGAACGCATACCGTGAGCTGATGGACGAGCACGATGAGGATATGCTCAAGGCAGTGCGCGCGTTCAACCCGTATGACCTATACAGCAAGAGCGACGGCATCCCAGATGCCGAGGAGTTGAAGCCGTACTACCTAGAGTTGATCGACGAGTTCTTCCCTCAGAGGGTTGTCAAGTGGTAAAATTTTACCTATCAGGATATATTCGGCGTGAATGACTGGATGTATTTTTTTCTTTATGTTAAGTCGGGCTAGCGTTTTTTTTTCATGAAATTTTGATATTTTGGGACAGGGTGATGATGGTATGGCGAGCGGAATATATCATTCCCCATGACGACTCTCCGTCCTAGCTGAGGCAGGGTGATCCATATCTGGGATCCGGGATTAACTGGCTTACTATCCCAGTTGGAACAGAGATTGAACTGTAGATTCAAAAATCCGTAAAATTATATCTCACAGACCAAAAAAATACCACTACACTCTTTACGTATTAATGTTCTCGTGTATATTGTGATATCCTATGAAATATAAGAGGCTACAGTCTCGAGTGATCACACAAACGTAGCAGTTAGGTAGATGCCCATTAGTTCCCTAATTGAACTACTCCTACCTGCCCGATGGACGTAGTTAATTGTATCGTGCTACACGCGATATTCTAATTTATGTTACGTCGTAGGTATGGCTGACCCGAAGTAGTTGTGAGCCGCCGCATCCTCGGATTTAATGACTGTTGTGGTATGTTCGCATATCTAGGAATGGCGACAAGGTCAGAGGCTTCCAGACTACCCGTACTTCTCGCGTTATGAGCAGCAATAACGCAGCTAATATGAGAGCTGCCCTTGCATATGCTATTATTGTAATTAACCCGGGCATTTGAATTGAAATTCGGGAGAAGAAACTTTACGAAGTAGAAAAAATTGATGGGAAATATGGTGTCAGTTCGGCGGTGGGAACTCGGTGTTTATGGTATGGGGGAGGGGATCCACCATTCAAGTAAGTGGCAAAGTTATCTAAAAGAAGCTCATGTCTTGATAGGAAAGTTTTTTTGTAATAAGTTGATAGGTATCTATAAATAGTTACCTAGGTAGCTAAGGGTTTCCAATGCTCCTTAAGTGGATTTCAAGACATGCGCACGAGTAAGACAAAGGGATTGGTAAGCTCAGATTCGAAGTATTATGGCCTAAGTATACTCATCCGTGGTAATGCAAGAGTTTCTATGTGGTATTGCGATGTAGAAGAGATTCTTAGGAACGTTAGACGATGTGTAGGTAGATAGACAGGGGAAATAGGGAAGAATAGCGACGTAGCTATCATAAGAACATAAGAACACAATACATAAAATAAAACGACGCAATCTAATTTATAATCTCGATGTAAGAACGACTGAAGCTAGTTATATCCCAAGAGTCAAATGTATCGGCGATACTTGAACTCAATAGTTGCAAATACCACCGTACTCTTCATTCATAGTCCACGTTCCTGCAAGGCCATGCTCCACAAGCGGTTCATCCAAAATCTCGGCCTTCTCTTCTTTTCCGAGGAAGAAATCATTTTGACCAGAGACTTTGGTCTGTCGGCTCATAAACTTCTTGGCCCATACCTCGACCGATGGTTCGCCAGTCTCGTCGCGAGCTTGCTTGAGGAACGGAATCAGGGCTGTCCCACCGGTGCCCTTTACCCTCTTATGCTTCTCGTTCCGGGAGGCGGTTGCCAAGTTGGTTGGAAGGTTCTGCCGAGTTCTGACGACTTCGGGACTACGGGAGCGACTGCGTGCCCTGTTCTCTCTAGAAGGTAGGATAATATAACGCGTGACGATGGCAATATGGATGTCACGGAATGCGCGAAGCATGGCAAGACACGCGTCATACGCAATGCTCAACGAGCGGTCGGAAGCAGCACGACTTTCGACGAACTCTCGAATATTAGCAACAGCCCCGACATCATTCAAGAAACGGGCATGAGACCCCGGCATGTAACGGCGCATATCCCGGATAAAATTGTGCTGAGGCACAAAGCTTCTCCCCTCACGCTCCGATTCAGATGACGGGTCAGGCTTCTCACCAGTAGGCCGATGCTCGATGCCGAGGATAATGTCAAAGAATTGGATAAGGCTACTCTGGGCATTGCTAGGTCCACTGTACTGGACGTATTCGGATTTCCCCGAACCGTCATCGTACATGACGCCGTGCGGCAAGCCTGCCTCGGCCATGTTTTTACTACCAGCAAGGAAAGTACGAATACGGCGATAGAAAAAGCCAGGGTCGCAGCTCTCATGCATGCGACGCAATAACTCGCCAAGATCATCGAGGCGCTCGGCGAAGGCACGTAGACAACGTGTCACGGTTGCGCTATCACCTTGTCGAGCGGCGGCAACTGCTGCCAGCATCAAAGGAATGATGGGACCGCCACGAGCTTCGATAGCCACGGAGACGAGATAGAACCATGACTCATCGAGCGATCCTGTGAAGGTGAGTAAGGTAGCGATATTGTCAAGATCGTCAATCTCTTCGTCGATAAATAGGGGCTTGAAGTTCCACAACACCGAAGCGGCGTAAGTAGACACGGGCGGAATTTCAAGGTGCTCGCAAATATCCAGCAGCGGAACGGAGATGCTCGGCGGCACTCGATCACAAGGAGTTTCACCTCCCCAGATGTAGCCATGAGCGAAAAAGGTGAGGAGCATGTAGGCTCTCCTCCATTCTGCGTCATGTTCCAGACCGATGGTGGAGAGGACGGGAAGACGGTCAACGACTCCCCGAAGACGTTTGCTGAGGATCAAATTCTGGAAATTAGCGCCAATTGACTCCCACTTGTTGTAATAGGGGTCGGGGAGCCTCGTCAAAGGCAAGACGTCGGGTAAGAAGCCATGCTTTGGCGAGATTCCATAATCGGATAAGACTGGAATAGGGGGTCTCATCACGGCGGAGATGTTGTATCTTGAAGTAGCGCAAGATATACGGTGGGGATCGTGATATCCGGTTGACGGTGTTGTGTGTCGGCAGGCAGTGAAGCACGTAACCTACTGCGCGACCAATGGAGGATTTAACTTGGCAATCGACTCCTCTCAAGCAAATAAACTAGATATTAAGTCTAATTCCTGACGCAAGGAGTATACAGATATTATCCCGTAATACTCCTCAGCCGTGCGAGACTACCGGTAAGTTGCGGGCATGCGATTTGGGTTGAGGGAAAAGGGTTAGGGGTTGAGGATGAAGATAACGATGACGATGACGAGAGAGGCTTTGGAGGTATTTAGGATTAATTGACTTAAGAAGAATGGGTACGACAGAAGACCAAAATAAAGAGAAGGGAGCAGAGTTTAATACTTAGGAGCAAACTTGTAAGTTTTCTTCCTCAGGCAGGTTTCGGAATTGCCGTGCTAATGGATGTTAGAATTCATTAGTAATGAATCATGTACTCATCAACCAGGTTTGATAAAAGAGGGAAATAGATAATACAACTAGGTTAAATAGCTCTCAGTAATAGACTAAGACGGATTATAAATTGCGAAAGAGTCCGTCTTGTAATATGGGGACATAACATGGTCAACATTGAATAAAAGGGTAGAAAAGGTACGGTAGAAAAGGCACATGTCCACATTGCCCACATGCCATACTTTACCTGCGGGTAACATGGCGCCATTAAACCTTCCGTCTAGCCCATGTCCGAGTGATTGGGCAGATCTAGATCTAAACGGGAGAGACTAGACACTAGTGGCTGCATTTTTTTCTCATTATAATAACACGATGCTGATAATGATGGTGTGTAGGCAGGTACGTAGGTTGGTGCGTTAGGAAGTTGAATAGAGAGTCCACGCTCAGTTTTCGTTCACAAAGGAACCGATGCCGGCGATGTGCCATTTATCGGGTATTGTCGCACAAAAATATATGTCTAAACGTTCTGATCGGCTGATTCATAATGCCGCAAGGGTTCTTTTGCAGGAAATCCTTGAAGGTGCATGTCTTGCACTCTTGCTCTAGCTTGCGTGCTTTGAAGATGTAAAAAAGTAACAGGGAGTGGGATTGTAAAAGAACTGGAGACAATCTTTAGCATTCGTGCTCTATTAAATCATTACCTAATGACGTCTGCGGCAAACCCGGGATTTTATCGGCTTATTATCAGGTACCTATGTATATCATCCATGGATACTTACCTAGGTACATAGGTAGGTACGAAGTACAAACCGGTACTTTGTACACTTGCATGTTAAGCTAAAAATGAGGGGATAATCGATATTGATTGGCTAGAAATCTCACAGCCTTGGCGGACACCAAACGCATCCATGAATCGAATCATAAGGCACAAGGTTTCGTACCTCGTACCACATGTGTAGTTCCCGTTTTGTTACCTTGTTACTCCGATTATCTAACCTCAACACCAACTTATTATCATGACGTTACGGCCTCAACGATAACCTGCTGTTTACGAACCTCAACATGGTCGTCCAGCAGCATGTGCTAAATTGGTTATATAGCGTTCTGACAAGTGTAAGATTATGTCAATATTTCATCGGGGTATTGATCGGACTTGAATCTAACAGCTTCAATCGCATAGGAATACCAAGATGTCAATCGAACGTATAACGATGTAGCCCAGGCACTGTCTCAATACCCTTCGCTGTCCCCGAGGACAGATGTCCATAGTATGCATATATCTATTTGGCATTTATGAATATCAATTGTCCTGTCTACTTTCTAACAAGCACCAGCTTTCGACAATGGCGTGTCTGCCCTCCTCTTACACCTCTCCGGTACCATCCCCGTCATATTCCGTGGGACCACATACCGATTTCCTATCTCGTTATGGATACCACACGCCTACCCACGAGAGGCACCTCTTGGATATGTTACGCCTGCCGAGAACATGATGGTACGGCCTGGTCAACATGTCGACCCTCAGGGACGTATATATCATCCCTACTTGGTGGGCTGGGCAGAATTTTGGGATGTGAGTGCACGATTTATATCGGTCGACATCCTGGCATGTATCTGGCTGTGTATACTGATTAAGCTATCAAGAAATCTTCTCTACTAGACTTCATTGCAATACTCAGGGACATATTTGCAAAGGAGCCTCCAGTGGTCTCTCGGCAGCAAGCCCATATTGCACCTATACATCAATCTGCTCCGACTCCAACACCCCCACCAGTTCCGCCTTTGCCTCCGGACATATCGAGACAACCCCTCCAGCAGATCTCCTCCTCACACATAAACGATTCGAGACCGCCCCCGCCTCCTCCTAAAGATAGTGACCTACCTCAGGTAATATCTGGGCCATCTACCGTCATGGACGGGCCTCCACGACCACCTCTGCCAGATGAGTTCCGGCGACAATCTAGTCAGTACAGTACTCCAGCAGGGGCAAGCCCAACACCGCAGTTGAATCGAATGTCCAGATACGACGCCGCCCCTCCACTACCACCCCAACAAGCCCCGCCTCAGCCAACCCAATCGTATCAACAACCACCCCCGAACCTACAATATCAGCCTCAACCTCAGCAACAGCAACAACATGCGTATCTGCATGTCGACCCTTCGACTGGGCTCGCACCGCAAGATTCCCGCCGCGTATCTATAATATCCCCTGTCACTCCCATCCCCTACAACCCAGCTGCCCCTCCTGGGTCGTCATCATACGGCGGTCCACCACCGAACTGGCAACATCCCGTACAACAACAGCCCCCGGCGCAACCAAAGCCCAAGCCACTCCCACCCCCTGACCTAATGGACGAGCCTTTCTCCCTTGCCCTTCCTTCCTCTTCGGCAACCAACCTTTCCCCTCCCCCCATCCCTCCCAACCCCGAGAAAGACGCTCTGCTACGACAACTCGCCTCGACTCTCCACAGCCTACGTCAGCGCGCCCGCTCGCACAACGAATCTTCTCTCTTGGGTCTAGCCGCGCAACGTAACGCCATGCTGGCTGCGCTTCAAAACCTGCAATCCGACTCCGCCTCTCTAACTCCTCTCACCTCCATGCTTGCCTCCAACACGTCCATCCTCCAGAACTCCCTGCAGGAAGCGGATCGCGTGATATCTAGCGCGCAAACTCGCGAGCCCCCTCCCATCGACGATTTATTAGTCGCCCCCACTGTCGCCGCGAATCAGTTATACGACGTTGTTGCCGAGGAGCGAGCGCTAGGCGACGCTATCTTCGTGCTGGGGAGAGCAGTCGAGCGCGGCAGGATTAGCCCTGCCGTATTCGCCAAGACCACCCGCAGCCTAGCCCGTGAGTGGTTCTTGAAGAAGGCACTTGCGAGGAAGATAGGGAGGGGTATGGGGCTTGCTGGGTAAATAGCTTCCTAGGTAGGTACCTTGGAGATGGGAAATGTGGATAAGCTATTATTTAGGTCTTAGGGTTAAGTTGGTAACCTCCTTTTGCGTTGATCTTGCTCAGTAACAATGGTAGTTACAGGGAATGGGTCGCCATAACAGGATCACGCGGAAGTAAACAAACTAGTGAGATGTACCGAGGTCTCGGATGGGTTCATCATAAACGAACCCTATGATAAACTACGACGACGACGATGACAACGATAACCGACCAAGAGATTACGCAGTCAATTAGACAGCTGACTAGCTGTTCAGGTATACCAAGAAATAAATGAGAGGACTCGTTTCTGATATCTTGAATTACAATCTGATAACTTCTTCTCTCGCGCCAACTGCTGGTTAACTCATATCCAGCGCCTTAGGTATAGCGTCTCCCTTGTGCCGGTTCGTATTTCCCCTGTGGCCAAATGGCCGATTGACCAGTACTACTTTACCACCAGGGTATCCAATACTCGATAAGTACCTCACAATAACCACGTTCACGGCCCGCGGCTCCCGTAACCGTCACCTTTTTGACTCCTCGGTTTTACGATAGACCTTGGAATTATTATGAGCCTAGTAGCCGACCTTGTTCGTACGCCCTTCCCCAAACGGCACTCCAACGCTGTATTAAAAGTAGAAACCAGCGTTATGTCACCGCGTCAGTGATTAGACGGCCCAGCAGCGCCGATGCCAGATCCGGAGCTTGCACCCACTCCCTTGCCTAGCTTGATTCCGCTGCTCGCCTTTTCCTTATACATATTGACAAGCTTCTTGACCTGACCTGGCCGTCTCGGCTTCGGATGTCGGAGCTTAACATCGTTGATTTGGCGCACGACGAACCCCGAAGCTGTCTTCTTGCTCCAACTGCTTTCCTTTTTTTTCCCTTCGACTTCTTTCTGCTTCCCTTTATCTTGCGTAGTCACCACTTCTTTTCCGTCGTTATCGCTGCGTTTGTTTCCCGTCACCTTTCCTTTGCCTTTGAACTTTGCTTTCTCTTCCCTTTTCTGGTCTCTCTGTTCTCGGCGAAGCTGCTTTTCCTCTTGGCGGCGTCGCTTGCGTTCTGCCACCGTTTGTTGCGATACTACTCTGGATAGAGTATTTGGATCACCACGAGGAGTAATTGAGGACGAAGACTGAAGAACATCCCCCGCCGGCGACTTGGTCCTATATCGCGTTGCCTTGGATAATAGGGAACCATCGAATCCGAAGTCGTCAAATTCATCCGTACAACCTAAGCTATCAGACATCCGAGCTAGGAATGGGAATGTCTTACTTATCGACACATCGCGTGATGGTGATCGCTTACGGGCCGGATGGGGTGCTTGGTTTTCGGTCTCCGCAACTAGGTCATCGTTGATACTGTCGCTTGATTTGCTACTAGATGAGGTAGTCGGAGAACGAACTACTTCAGATGAACGGTATAAATAGTAACTCAATATGTCTGAGCGGCGATATCGCAACCGGCGACGTAACGAGCTTAACCCGCTACCGAGATCAGCATCATAGTTACTGGGTCCTGTTTGTTCTTCACCGGCTGATCGAACAAAAGAACTGGATATTCGTCGCCATAACTCGACACTCCGTTGTCTGAATGGCCGCCAACTACCTCGAGTCTTTACCTGCTTGGCGTCGCTCTCTTTTCTCTTGAGGGAAGAACTCATATTAGCACCATATGAATCAGCCCGGAAAGATGAAGCCGAGCTAGGGGCTGGAGGGCCACGCTCTAGACGTTCAAACTGCTGGATGCGACCTTTGACAGGAGAGCCCTGCTCAGCCGACATATTTTCGTCCGATTCTTCCGGTTCTATATCGAAGCGTGCTTTGTGTTTCATCGAGATCGCGTTACCTAATGCCCCCGGTGCTGCAAAATCACAGGAGAAGTCATTGGTTGAGATTGCCGTGGTTAGCTTAGGGGGCGATATCCTCTTGGGCGGAGAAATATGTGTAGTCGATGTGGCTGCCGATCCAGCTGGATCGTATCTCGTAACAGGGACCCCCTCCACTTCTACTTTTGGCTTATTTCGGGATCGACTTTGCCAGAAGGACTTAAAAGGGTTAGGTGATGCGCATCGAGCTGGAGTTCGTTCAAATAACCTTCGAAGATCCGATACTTTCCCCGTACATCTTAGGACAGCCCCCGACTTGGATGCAGGCTTCTGCGTGACTCTATTGCTATCCCGTGGCACAGTTTCCTCATGAAGAAGCGGTCCGTCGCCTCTTATTTCATCGTGGAAATTTCCAATTGAGCTAGTGGACAGAAATGGATGGATTGAATCTGTAAAGGGATAAATTTTTCCGCCGCCCGTTTCTGGAAAACGGTACGCATTGGTTGCATAGGCTTCATCTGGCTCCATGGCGTCATATTCGAATGAGGTGGTCCCGTCCAAGTTGTGGGTATCTCTTTGACGGAATCGGCTGCTTTTTGGCAACGAAACTCTCGGTGTATGCTTTATGGTATCAATACTATTCTGCGTAAGCAATGACTGTTCTGAACATTGATTCTTGAAATTTAGATGCGTGGTCTGTCCCGTAGTACCAGATGGCTGAATATGTGCTCCTTTATTATTCCTCGCTGTTTGAATCGAAGGAGTGCTGTCTTGCTGAATTGACCCCGAGGATAGGGGCATTTCATCGCCGTTCCGAGGTGTGCAATCTGGTATTTTCTCTGTGGATTGTTTTGGTTTAGAAGGTGTCTGAGGTGAAACCTTAGGTGACTGCAATCCTTTTTCGAAGGATTTACGGAGATCTGCTACACTCGGTTGCTCCCTCCTCACGGGAATCCTCGAGATGGATGACAATTTACGTTTCTCGGCTGGGGACTGCTCGACCAGGTGATCACTTTTCTTGTCAATGCCGCCTCTCACTTGTCGTGGATACTTGACAGGGCTAGCTGACGAGGTGGCCTGTAACTCCGACTTAGCCGGGGAGTTTTGCTGGGAGGGTTTCACCCTTGGACTATGTTGCGTGGACGAGCCAGCCAAATTAGGCATCGATTTCTGGGTCTCTGGTTCTTCTAATGTCGGCTCCGCAAGTTTAGGGAAGGGAGAATACGCTACATGCTTAGTTTCTTCTAACTCTTATAATGGATATTCTATGGATGTACTTACTGCTTTTGTGTTCAAATAACCTTCTACGGTCTGAGATGAGCCTGGGATCCTATCCAGGACGTCTGCCTGCCTGAGAATTGGTATCATGAGATAGATCATTGCTATAATCATCTTGGGAGTCCCGAGTTGGCGAATCTTGTTTTTTCGGTGGTCTCTTTTCTCCCTCGGCCGATGCTATTTCCTTGTCTTTCTTCTGGGATCGAGAAACCGCCTCAGGGCTATGGTCCCCTATCATTGACTTGAACAGAGTGCTCACCGGAAGTTTCGACCTGTTTCCTATGGGAGGCGGTGACACGATCTGTCTTGGGGATAAATCAGCGGGATTTTTAGCAAGGTTGTGATTTTGTATGAAAGTGGTATTTTTCGATTCCTTGGACGAGCTCCCGGTTTTAACTAGCGTTGCCTGGCCTCGGGGTATCCCATTAGGCTTGATTTTAAATGCAGAAATACTCTCAGTGCTATTCACCGCATCCAAGATCTCGAACTTCGACACAAGCGACCCCAGTTTCGGGGCAGGAGGGCGGCACTGCGACGGTGCCTTAGTGATGGCCGCCTGAGGTGGATGTGGGATGATATCTTTGTGGATAACAGTGTCAGTCAAATCGTCCTCCGTTGTCGACGTATGTTCGTGATCAACAGAATTGGATCCATCAAAATTTGCATCTGTTCTGCGTCGCGGGAGACGTAGTGGCGCTGGTTGAAGCTCAAGACTCAAATCATGAGAATCTTCGGAGATAGAAGAAGAGCTAGTTGTTGGGCTCGGACCAACAGACGCCATTGGTAAGTTCTATAATGCAAAATACGAAAACTTCCCAAGAAGTCCAAGATCTCGAGAGCTTAGGACATTATATCCATTCAAGCAGAGCTTAGGATGCCTCTCGGGAAGGTTGGCACGTCTAAGATTACGACTCCTCGCAAAACGAAAAAAATCCAACTAGGAAGAGAGCCGTCTTAGATGAAACTTCTAACCACCGCTAAAGTGGCGCACTTGGTTGGTATTTCCATAGATGAAGATATTGAAGATCTTAAAGTTAGGAAACTACAGCCCTATGAAACACTGGCTGACACGTTGTTATGGAGCAAGAATTGGAGGCTACGATCTAGGTTGAGTACAGCAAGCGCGATTATGATTAAGGGGTAAGCGATAACGGATACTCCGATGGGCTTCGCTAACCTGACCCATAAACCGGTAAATTTCAGGAGAGACTCCTTCATTCACCAATGTTTTGTTTACTGGTAGACTTGGTCAATCTCCGGCATTCAGAGACAATATCTACACCCTCTAAGGCGTTTTAATGAATTAAAAAAATGTTACAATATAACCTCCACACTTTCAGTTTATGCCAATTTGACAAAAGAATAGACAGGGAAAAGAACCAGTTAATTCATACTGGAAACATTTTTTATTAATATCTAGGTAGGTAGGAGAAAATGTTAACATCGTAGCATCCTGGGCGCCTTATGTAAACTTCATCCTCGCAATGGCAAATGAAACATTCATTATTACGTGCCTAATCATATAATGGTTCTTAGTATCTCATTTCTTTAGATACACGGAAGAAGCTGATACGTGTTCGTTTGATACCTAGTATATGAAAACCTGATGAAGGAAATAATGTTCCGCTCGTAAGCATCGCTGAACATTCAACCGCCATTAACTTACCGGCTCACAGTCGGAGTAGGCGACTACTAGCCGCGGATAAAGTCCTACTCAGCGATCACGTTTTACATTTTCCCCGCATAATGTCAGGGGTCGAGCTGGCTATTCGCATTGGTTATATACGAATTATATACGCGAAAATTTGGTTATTAGTTCACTCTGTAGGTAGGTATAGATCTATAGATCGAACGTGAGCCTTACGTTCGCGTGTATATGCATAGGTACCTACCTACCTAGGTATGTTAAGTATAAAATCACATCACACTCACCATACTTGAAATATCGAGTGATAAATACCTACCTACACGAAAAGAAATACAGCAGAAATAGGACACGTAATGGCAGAAGATATTTATACGATCCAAAAGGAAGCCTCACGCCTCCTTACGTCGGTTCTGCTCACAGATGCGCGCCTGCAAATCCCAGAGTCCGTCAAGTCTGCGTCTAAACGCACCTCCTTCGACCCCTCGGCCCTCGCCACTCCTTTTCTACCCGCTCCTATAAAGTGTACTGAACTGAGCACTGCACTATGGGCACTTCTAGCCACATTCGGGAACGCCATCTGCGCTGAGCGGTACGGTCTGAGTGAACAGAAGGTTGTAATCAATAGCGACGTCGCCTCTATCTTCCTCATCTCGTTCTGGTTGATGAGGGTTGGCGGGAAACCTATATCCGACTCGGAGTTGGTGAAGCGGTACTCTATTTATGATACCACGAACCAATTCACCCTCTGGCGCCGACTCGTTACGAACTTATATCCGACGCGCGACGGGCGCTGGTTTCATCTACATGGGGGCTTGAACTCTGATAGGAGTCTGCGGATGCTTGGGCTGCCAACTCATAAGGATGTTGCCGATGAGATGGAGGCTGTCAAAGGGCTTTCCGAAGGGGTACAGCAATTTGACGCGGAGTGGCTAGATATCGAGGCTAACGAATATTGGAGACAAGCAGGCGGAATCTGTTTCACGCCCGAGGAGTACCGCAAGACCGAACAAGGCAAGGCGATAGCTGACGACGCTCTGTATTTACTAGAAGAATTCCACGGCGAGAATCTACCACCAGTACCATGGCCCAGAGTTGATACAAAGACATATAGGCCCTTGGAAGGCATAAAGATTGTCGATCTCACAAGAGCCATTGCCGGTCCAACGATCGGGAAGCTCGCAGCCTTGTTCGGTGCTACCGTGGTCAGGGTATCGAACATGAAACTACCGGATCTGGGCATCGTGCTATTCGAAAGTAACATGGGTAAACGGGATGCGCACCTCGACCTAAAAGCCGAGGAAGGGCGAAAGGCGCTATTGAACTTAATAGAAGACGCCGACGTTGTGCTCGACGGGTACCGCCCTGGTGCATTAGAAAAACTCGGGTTCGGTCCCACTTACGTGCACGAGGTGGCTAGGAGACGAGGGAAGGGTATAGTGTACGCTCGGGAGAACTGTTATGGCTGGAAGGGGCCGTGGATGCATCGAAGCGGCTGGCAGCAGATCAGCGACGCTGTGACGGGGGTAGCGTGGTTGTTCGCTCGGATGTGGAACGTAGACGAGCCCATGATGCCATTCCTGCCTAACTCCGACTTCCAGACCGGGATCGTAGGCTGCATAGGGGTCATGAATGCGCTGGATAAGAGAGCGAAGAAGGGTGGGAATTATCTGGTATCGATGTCACTAAACCAACTCAACAGTTTCTTGATATCGCTCGGGACCCAGAGCCCGGAAGTACAGCAATCGCTGCGTGAAATGTGGCCAGATATGAAACTACGGCATTATGATGATATACACAGGCAAATGAGAGTGGTGAGCTACTTACCTGCGTGAGATTAAAGAGCTCGAGGTTCAACTTGCTAACTTTCACCTGATAGTTACTGAGCGACTTGCCAAAGGTGAAGCCGCAGCTGTTGAATCCTAAATATTTTACAACTATCAAAGCCGAACTCGGCGTACCTGACGAGGAGATCGCGTTCGTCGGACCAGCGGCCACGTATGATACGACGAAGCTAGGCTACGATTTAGGGAGCTGTTTAAGAGGAACACACGAAGCGAAATGGCCGGATGAGGGATAGGACTGGTCTAGTCAACGCTATCGTCATTATTAGCATTTTATATAAAAGAAGTAATAGTGGGTATCAATTCATGCATATGTACTTGTAAAAACCGACCGCAATTAAGAATGCCATCGGCCTCTTTAGAGAGGAGGCTTCATCACAAGTCCAGGGTCATTAAACCCTACCCACGAAGTGCCTTCGTAATCGCTCTCTGCGTTCTCATCTTCGTCTTCATCCATCTGTTCCGGGCTATATTCGTCATATATTTCAGCTTCTATAGCCTCTACCTCAGCTAATGATCCCTGAACTGGCGGCACAGAAGGAGGAAATACCGAAGGCGTCGCGGTGGCATGTGTCGGAGTCTGAGAGGTAGGTAGTCTACTGTCGGGTAGGCTAGGTGTTCCATTCACGCCTTGTTCGTCGAGGATATGGTCCCTAGGTGAATCGCGAGCATTCTCTGCCTCTATAGTCATAAGTGCTGCCTCCCACTGTTTCACCTCGGCTTTCATCCGCCTCCGCGACCGAGGCGACCACGAACGAATTAGACGTAGCTTGTCGCCGAATGCCTCTGCGGAGATGCTCTGCGCGGTGGGTTTGCGAATCATATGACCGTAGTCCGGCTTATACCTCGCTCTGGAATTGAGGTTATTCTCGGACACGAGCTTGGGCCTCCGCCCGGGTGGTTTCATCGGAGTGGGATTCTTGAGCTTCATAGATGATCTGGCTATCCGGCTTTTCGCCACCAACTCCTCATCGTCGATCGGGAGGTTTGTGCATTTCTTATGCTGATTTTGATAGGTACAGTTAGCACAAGCGTGCTTCAAGCTACTTAGACCGAGGACGGGAGGAGGCGCTACAACACAATGCGCGTAAGGACCATTTTTTAATCGGCAATTCCTGCACGGATTCGGGTTGACCTGGCCTGATAGATAAATCATCAAAGAACTGTAGTCGATCGCTGTTCTGGGTTTGAATCCTCCTTGCTGCCGGTAGGGATTCCACTCAGCCGGACGTAAGGATGGTTGTTCCGACAGAGCTTGAGCAAGCGGGTGAATAGGTAGAAGAATGTCCTTCGACTCCTCCGGCAAAGTTTGTAGCACGCCTTGCCAGGCGGTTAGGCCACTTAGACTACCTGGGTCATTGACTTCTCTCTCTCCGCCTCCAGTCGCGTGGGTAGGACTAGCGCTCCGGTCATTATCTGTGGGGGAATGTGAGTTATGGCAACGGGGACAGACGCACGGGTTGATAGAATGCTCACGGCTAGCTTGGGTATGATCGGGCGAAGTGCTGCGTTGCGAATACCACTTTGCCGCGGCTGCATTTATTATGGAGCGAAAGTCGGGATCTGTTTGATTATCTGCCATCGTGAAGACGAAAATGTGTAGATATGTAAATATGTAAATACCAATATGGGATTGTGTTCACAACAATACAAAGGTGGGAGTTGGTTGCTGAAGATACCTCGAATCCTCGAAATGTCTAAGACGGGGAATGCAGCGATGAAGAATTTGAGATCTACACCCGAGGGGAAAATGGGAATTTATATTTGAATCTAAACAACAAATGGACTTATTACCTAGTACTTTAGATGGTTAATAAGAAGTTTTCGATTGAACGAATTCAAGATCGAGGACAAAGGCTTAGTTAGTTTTAGTCACAATGCAATGCTCATGTTCATGAATGTCTATGAATGTTCAACATTGAATGTTCATAACATGGATTGTTACGAATACAAGGGACTTTAAAATCTTAAGCTCCATAACGTTGAATGTCTGTGCGTCGGTGGGTGTTGGAGCACTCGAGGGCAGGAGGGATGTAAGAGAAGTCACTCGGGGGTACCTCCCTAATGTTACTATCAGTAACTTGAGCGTGATATCCTGAAGGCGAATGGATAATTGGATACTTTAAGTGTACTTGAGCGGATATCCGGATCAATCACATAAAAAGCACTGGGCATGATGCTTCCGCAAACTACTCAGGTACCTAGATACATGCATGTCTGTACGAAGTTCATGGGTGGTTCATGCCCAGTGTTATCTTATCTATAACAAGCCTGAAAATGTCCTTCTTCCAAACGCGGTTTTCAGCAGCACATACCTAGTACAATCGATTGAAGATAGGTACCTACCTAGGCACCTGCATATTAAGTATTCTCCAAAGTTTGTTATATATGAGATCGGAAGTTACCTACCTAGTAGGCATACCTGATTCTACTAGACGAGTTCACCAGCTGCGGACATAACCGCTACTTTCAGTTTCGTGCCGCCTACGACTCATGAAGTTAAGGCCTTTCCGTCCGAGACCGATATTGAAGGCGACGCGCATGGAATAATACTGGCTTGCCCGTAACTGTCGAGTCTCAATCCGCGATTTTCCCTGCCATATCTAGCTCATCTGTAACCTTATCATAGAAGCCTAACTTCCCATTTTGATAACTCGTCAAAGAATAGGCTAGAGCCAAACCCTTCTCGTTGCTAAGGCAGGTAGAGAGTACATTGTCCTCATCTTCTGCTAATTTGACCATCTCCGCATAGTTATTCCGGCTTTTCCACCGTTCCTTTCCTTCCTCGTCTACCGGTTGTCCGTCTTCGTCGTAATTTTCAGGCAAGTCGAACGAGGTGGGCATGGCATTCAAGAACTCTGGGAACGTTATAAGCTCTAAAGGCAAGGTGTGCGCACCTTCCCAATCAATAATACCGAGAACTTCGAAATCTTTATCGACAACAATATTACTATGGAAGAAGTCGGCATGGGAGAGTGGGAAGGGTCCGTGATCGTTATGCGATAATCGGCTGGCCATTCCCTTAATTCGAGAAGGGAACTCCTTGATGGCTGTAAGGACTTGATCTGCTGGGCCTCCTCTCATACCCAGCAGGATTTTATCCTTTCCAAGTGGGAATTTGGTGTGCTCCGCCCAAGCTTCGAAGAATGATGTTGCCGTATCGAACGGCCCGCCGATATCTGGAAATGGGCCAATATCATATTCACCATCTTCCCTTTTAAAGATGGTCCCTATCTTAGGGAAACGTAAGGCGGTCATTTGCACCTGTTTTCTAATTAGAGGTAATTTACTAATAAAAACGACTTAACTTACGTGGCATTTGGCTACTGAGCGATAGAAGCCTTGACGGTAGGCCGAAGGGATTCGGCCTCTATGCACATCATACCCGCCTGCGGAATCCATAGCAGTATTCCCAGGCAAGAATTCCATCAGGATGAAAGGGGCACCGATAGGATTTTTCTCGTCGACTTCATATGCAAATAAACGGGGTACCGGAAGATCAGATCGCTCTTTGATCAATTGCATAGTATCTACCTCGCTACGCAACTTGGATAAGTCGCCGGTAGACTTGCGCAAGCTGATCCGGGCGATCCATCGAGTCTGGTCCGAGAACTGAAGTAAACGAACAAGATTGTTTAACCCATTAGTAGTCTTGTCGAGAAACACGCAAGGTAATCCATTATTTAAGCTTGAAGCCAGTCGGCAGATGTTATCCCAGTCTACTCGTTGAATAGTATCTTGTACGGGATTGATGTGAGCCTTTAATGAACTGTAATCGGCTATGTTCCAGTTGAGTGTATCGATCAGTGGTGGGTTCGACAGCATAACGACAGTGTTGAAGTTTAGGTAAGCTCAACTCCTGCTAAGCTTACCTACTAAGTAGTATCCTTCAATGTTTTATCTTCTCTTAGTAAGGGAACGAAACAAAATACTAACATATCCATTATAGATGCAATCAGAACTAGGTACCTACATTTCCAGCGCAGAGACTCCAACCTCGAAGCACCCCACTAAAAATGCACAGTACTCCAACATCTGGATCCCTCGCAGATGGTCTTTTCACATCGTGAGGGGTATAATCTATTTTGAGACCAACATGCTCTTCTAGCTTCTCTCTCAGCAAATCATGATTATCCGTTGAAGTCCTTTCCTCGTACTAAGTATTTAAATACATATGAAGTCACAATCCCTGCCCGACGAAGAAAGCGAGCCGTCGTATCAAAGTTTAAACGATCACCCTCTTTATCTCTTGCAAGACTAGGAGAGGATGACTATTATTAGGAAGTTCTTCATGGGTTCGAAAATCCGAAGTCAAAAAATGGACTTTGAATGTTCAAACACGTGTGGGTGTTCGTCTTTCGAATTGATACCTACCTAGGTACTAATAAATATAACTCATACATAGCCTTATTCTTCAGATCAAGCCAATCTTGACACCAACCGTCTAATCAAACTCGAAACCTTCTGTCTGAGGGCGATGACTTGAGATTCTTTCTCTTCCGACGACTCGGTCTTTGACCTTTTCCATCCGAGTGCCGCGAGCCACCGGAGGATGCCCTGGGGCTCTTTCGTCCGTGAAGACCCAGCCGCAGCCGCCCTCTTCTCAATATCGACCAGCTGTGGCGCTAGGTCTCCGATGGATTGTTTCGCTGACCTATACGTCAACCCTAATACTTTCTCGACTTCTGGAGCGCTGCACTCGTAGAACCCCTCTGGCTTTGTCGTCTTCTCCGGTTCGCCAATTGGAATTGTGTCTCTCTTCTCCGGTAGCGTCTCTCGTAGTATGTTACTGATGCCTTGCATGCTCAGCTCACCTCCTACGGGGAACCACCGCTTATTTGCAGCCTCGGGAACTGTCATAGCGAGAAGGTGGGCGCGCGCGAGATCGCGAACATCAATCCACACATAGACGAATGTTGGGGGTACAGGATCACTCGCTTTCAAGCTGGAGCTGATAAACGAGTTATAAATCCACGAACAGGTCTCGCCTAGCTGATCCGGTTTCGTGTATTGAGACGGGTCGACCAGAGGCCCAAAGACCGCGGGCGGATTCAACGTCGCCAGTTCAAACTTAACTTCATTCTCTTTCACGAAGTCCCACGCCGCCTTCTCCGCAAACTTTTTGCTGGCCGGGTACGTGATCAAGGGGTTCTCAGTGACTGACGCTTCTTCGAGAGTAACAATGTTCCAGTCTTCACACGTGTAAGTTCTGGCTGGGTTCGAAATAGGGTCGGTGTGCATAGAGCCAATAGCCGCAAACGACGACGTAATGGTCACGCGTTTTACGCTTGGTGCTACTCGAGTTATACTCTTCAAGATCTCCGTCGTGCCTTTGATGGCGGGATCCAGGAATACTTCGCCTTTAACCGGGCGCAAGAAGAAAGGAGAGGCCGTATGCATGACAGTGTCGAAGGGTGGATGGGATACTAAGACATCGTCGAAAGAGCCGGCAACCGTGATGTCTGGCACGACACCAAAGTCTAGCTGCGGCGTATCTACGTATCTACCGAAGGTTTTCTTCAGGCTATCGACCTTAGATTGCGAACGAACTACGGCACGCACCGAGTGCCCAGCTTCGAGAAGCTGTGAAAGGATATGCTGTGCGATATAGCCGTTTGCTCCCGTAAGGAGAACACGATGCGGCCTTTCCATCGTGGAAGTTTCGTATTTGAAAGGTAGCGAGAGGCCCAAGGAGGTACGCAGCTCTTTTCGGCGTTAAGACACTTAGGGGATGCTATGAGAAAAATAAGAAGCTTTTAGGGGGGATGATATTAAGGTGATCGAGAGACGAAAACTCCCAGCCGCCATACGGCAATGGCGAAATTTATATACGCGTCTGGCATGGACCACGCTGCTTGTAGCTCATCCAATCTACCTAGGTCAACCCGAACGAAATAAAATTCACATGGAAGTTACGATTACAACTTGGTTGGTTAACCTCGTGCTTCATACCTGCTTGGTTGCATTGCAGCCAACTCTTGGAATGATCCTTCGAGATAAGCTTTAGCGAAAGATCACCTGGGCTCGATGTCCGGGACCCGTTAGATGTTGTAGACTGTCGTCCCCATACTGTTGCGACTTTAGAAGTTAAACCGACTTTGCTGATCCCACGATTCGGTTGATAGTTTCTCTTCAGCCGTTCACACGTTGTCACCATACCATACCTAGGTAGGTAGAGGCTGCTAGTAAGTTAAACTAAGACAATAAAGAGCTACGTAAGATAACTGACTCGGGCATAGCTCTCTTGACAAGTTTATGATTAGTCTACCATCTACTAATAAACCCTTGGTATCGATCAGCAGTGCTTCCCGATATTCTTCGGCTCGTGACTGTTCATCTCGCACCATCATCCGAAATCTAGACAACCAAGGTCCGTCAAATATAGCGGAGTTCTCCTTACCGTTAACCATGCTCCGATAGTTGGAATCGCGCGTTGGATGCCAAGCCTAGGTTGGAAGCTCTTCGAAAAGGCTAACGAATTCCCGCAAAACCTACTTAGGTGCCTGTCTACTCTTCCCGACACGCCTCTAATGCTTCCAATACTCCACAAGGCGTCGGCCCATGAAGCTAAGGCACATCTGGGCGCAAATGGGATCTGTCCGCTCTCGAGTCAAGATAAGTTGCCAATTAAGCGTATCACCTACCTAGTAAACTGGCAGTTGGCAACACCACCCTCGCATGTAACTAATTTAGCAGCAACGGTATATGAGGCTTTGCTGAACAGGACTAGGAAACTTGCGTGGTGCTCAATCGACCTGTTGAATCTGTTACTCTCGTTGTTAACTGCCAGTCTAAGAAGTAATCCTGAGACCTCAGTCCCTACAGTCGATGTATGTCAGCCCCTCAAATGCGACATTCCTCTTCTGGTCACCCCCCCAAGCATTTACCGAAGCGCTGGGTGGGATGTCCCTGGTTGTTTCCATTCCCACGTGCGAATAGAGTTAGCTCCGACGTTCATCAATACTAGATATTGCTTAGTCTACTTCCAAACGGAGTATAAAAGTCTTAGCACATCATATCGACCCACCGTTCCGAGTTTAATCGAACATGAGGCCACTCCTTTTAGGCATAGGAGAATAAAAAATAGCTCCTTTTGGGGATTGGCGAATCTCATAGCACTTGTCTTAGTTTCATTGAACCAGACCACACTAGCTACCCGAGCATTGATAGCGTCAAAGCTGAAAGCAAATGATAAGGTATCCCGTTCACATGTGCCCTATCTTTGAATGGTCTAATATTGTTTACTATATTTTATTGTTAGATATATGGAAATACCGTAGGCTCCTTAGGTGACGCCCGGACTCTTTGGTTGCGTCAGCTAAGAAACATTCTTTGCATGTAAGATTTGATGAATAATTTGAAGCCATTTTGGTGGCAAGTGGTGATCGCGAACACGGTATATTTACAATACACTCCTTTGCTGATATGACGTATGGACCTTGTGCTTCTTACCTAATATTGAATCTCCTTCGTAAGCCTCATCATTTCCAATACTAACACTCTCCCCTGAGCTTAGGTAATCATCAACTTCCAGGTATTAGGTATCGCGATATATCGTTCCCACATCACAATGGGAATGGATACCTGCATTTATTCGGGCCCGCCGCTCTCTCTCTCCATTACAATTTCCCTTTCTCTAGACATACCTGACTCATAAGACGCGCCCTTGGAACTGAGGTGCTTATCATAAAGCGGAACCAACATGTGAGGAAACAAAGATGTTCCTATGCTGGTAGCTCTGCAGTACTGTCGCTTGTGGAACGTAGTATATGGGTATCCATAGATATAAGAATTCCCCTTTTATTCATTCTATTTCAAATAGAAAGCTGAACTTCCATTTCGCAGGGTACCATCTATTAGTCATTGGAAAGAACAAACTTTTGGTAGGGCTGTGACACTCTTATCAGTATCGAGGTCACCTAAAGGCGGATCATAACTTATCGAAACGTATGCGAAAGGAATCTATGAAGTATGAAGGTAGGCCGACGTAGGTACTGCTATGATTCTCCCTTGAAACGTGATACGTGAGAATTTTCAGACATCTGGTCTTCCTCCAGGTTGGTAGCTAGGTAGAGGTCTATGAGGTCGGGATTCGGTCCGTAGAGCCCCCCGTGAGGGTCCTGTTGGCCGCTAGCCCGGAGCAGGACAGGTAAAGAGCTTCACCTGTATGTATACCATGTTCTCTATAGCGAGAATAGTTAGGAGCTCCTCGCGCAACAACGTCGTCGTTTCCTAGCCTTTTGGTTCCGCCTCTTGGCAAGAATATTTTCGTTGAAAGGGACGTCAAAGGAGAGTAGGGCTTACATTAAGGGATCCTGGCGAAGTAAAATACCTTATATACCTAGGTAGGTAATTACGTATCACGGACCATGGATTTAGGCAAGGAAAGAGTTGTATGAACCTGAATACCTAGTAATTACCTACTTATTTAATAATACTCTTATTAGGAAGATGCTACATGTCATGTTTGATGAAAGTTCGACTTCATGATTTTAGCAAGAAAAGCACCTGAAATAACATTTATATCGGTGTACAAGTGGTTGCCAATTTAGCAGGATCGGAGCTCAACCCGTAGAGATCTTTAAGAGCCTATAAAGAGGCCCGGGTACGTGTGTTAGTTGCTAGCCCTGGAGTAGAGTAATAATAGAGAAAGAGCTTCATCTGCACCTGATATATATCGTGTTCCGCCTCATGACAATGTCGAAACGTCGGGCTATCGATATATTATCTACGCGTCGCAAGAAATCTAATCATAAGTGGGATCTATGTAGGTACCTAGATATTGTTGTTGAAAAAGAGCAGATACAGACCCCTCACTGTATCCACCAGGAGCCTCAGTACCTACCGAACCTGATAAAATTTAGTGACCCACACGGAGTTTCCCGAATAGGAATATGCCTCGGAGGGTGGAGCAGAACTAGAGCCTAGAGGCAAAGCATGCATAGGTAGGTACCTACCTAACTAGTAGGTATTGTACCTGGCACATATTTTTACAACCTCTTTCACTAATAAAACATTCAATTGCCTGGATATCAAATGCGATACCGAACATACTACCGACGTAAAACTAACTACCTAGTAGGTACCCAACCTGGAATACCCATAATACCCACTCCTAGCAGGGTATCAAGACTAAGACGACATGTTGAAAAACAAAGTACTTGTTGATATCTTCACCACTTTCGCTGGTTGAACGATGCTTTTTCCAAAGCGTCCGCCTGAATACTCCAGATTTTAGTGCCATGCTTTATGAGCGCCGACCCAAAATTCTCAAGCAGCTCATCCACACCGAGATCTTCATTCATGAATCCTCGCTTATACTCCTCATCGGAGCCGAACGTAGCAATCTTCCAAACCTTCTTCCAATTATTGATCTCTTGAATAGCTTTAGGGTGGCGGCTCTGAATATCAGTAGCTACCATATAAAAGGACGACCGCTTAGCATGACCTCTTTGGGGTTTCACAAGTTTGACCGTCGAAAATTGGTGAAACTTCCATACGAGATTCACGGTGTCCCACGCTTCAAGCTTGTGGAGGAGTACAATCATCGTTCCGCCGGGCTTGAGGTGCTCGAGACCGAGAGCTAACTGTGTGGTCGAGAGCCTCTTAGCCTCTCTGTTCTCGCGATATGGAGCTCTCGGATGGACCCTAAGGACTTGGCCATCACACAGGACAAGATCAAATAGATTATCCGGTTCGAATTGTCGCGGCAAGAAGTTTCCCGCATCCGGGTGGTCTTTAGGAATCTCTTCAACCCCCATGTCCGCTGCGAGCATCGTAATGTCCATAAGCCTCTGCTCGACAGTTGAAGAATTCGGCACAAGAATCGTATGCCCACCAGCGGAAATGGGTAGACTGAATGCCAGCGCTTCGGCGCCGGGGTTCTTGCTCAAAGCCGTCGCAAGGAACCCACCCGGAGCCATACACATGTCTAGAATTCTCGCTCGGCTCCTAGGCTCTGAAAGAAGATTTCGCCGTATCGCAAATGCATTGGTGTATTGATGAAGCTCGTTTCCAATATTTCTCATCAGCTTGTAGAAAAACGTCGCTGTATGTTCATTCGCTTGGTCGGCGCTCTGTCGTAACTGTTGGAAATACGCATCGCCCTCGGGGCTTTCCCATCCCTAGGTGACATTAGAATCGCCAATGATCGCCGAATAAAAGTACACCGAGCCGGACTAACCTTCTGTCGAATCTCGCTCACTCTGCGAAATTCGGCGCTCCTCTCTCGCAGATATTCCACGATGGTTTCACTGGGATGGGCACGTTCCATCGGCTGACCATGAGTAATCTCAGGCTCCGGTCGAGCCTGATCATTGAAAAGGAGAGAGTACATGTTTCTCACTGATCTTACAACTGTATTTCCATCCATACCCGTTTCTGTTATTCCCTGACGTCGATAAGGTTGTATATCCACACGCAATCAGGTCTGAATGTACTTCACGGGACTTTGTATCGAGAGAATGAAATAATGGACACCGTCTAGCTTTGAAGGTGTGGGGAATTCAGTAATATTGAATATTATGAAACAGCTGACATCTTATGTTAGGCATGATTGCATACATATGTATCCCATTGGCTAAGTAATATATTTCATTTGTTAACAGCGTCGATGTTTGTGCGTCAGATGCTGTGTACTTTCTGCCTTGAATGTAACAGCTTCCATCCTGTCAACATATCATAACGAAATGTGTACCTATGCAGTGGCAACGGAATTGATACGCACTTTGAATGAAATGAAGAATTATGGAAAATCTGTGAAGTCCAAGCTACCAGATTACGGATCGATTATAAGATCACTCCTTTATTTTGAATGATTCTACTTACGTAGCATATCATGCTACCCAGATACGTAGGTACATAAAATAAATAACGACCTAGATGATAAGATTATCCTTATGTTTACTTATCGTATAATATACCTTCTGGTTAACGGTGATTATGCGCAGCCAGCGCCCGAAAATTACTTGGGCTGTCTTAAGGTTCAAATGACTCGGTCCTACCAAAGCCTGATATTGAAAGTCGAAGCATTAAAGAAAACGGTGGCTGCTACTGGGCGCCCTAAGGGATTCATTTGGGGAGTATGAGTTCGTACCTAGGTATGGAGAAGCTGATAGGAACGGTTTAATCCTCATCTCCCAGGGTTAGGGTTAGGGTTAGGGTTAGGGTTAGGGTTAGGGTTAGGGTTAGGGTTAGGGTTAGGGTTAGGGTTAGGGTTAGGGTTAGGGTTAGG